GAGGGAGGAGGGATGAGGGAGGAGGGCGGAGGGAGGAGGGTGGAGGATGGAGGGTGGAGGGAGGAGGGCGGAGGGAGGGAGGAGGGTGGAGGGTGGAGTGTGGTGGGTGGAGGGTGGAGTTTGGAGGGTGGAGGGTGGAGGGTGGAGGGGGGAGGGTGGAGGGAGGACAGTGGAGGGTGGAGGGTGGAGGTTGAGGGTGGAGGGAGCAGGGATGAGGGAGGAGGGTGGAGGGAGGAGGGTGGAGGATGGAGGGTGGAGGGTGGAGGGTGGAGGGAGGAGGGTGGAGGGTGGAGGGAGGAGGGTGGAGGGTGGAGAAGGGAGGGAGGAGGGTGGAAGGAGGAGGGTGGAGGGAAGAGGGATGAGGGAGGAGGTTGGAGGGAGGAGGTTGGAGGGAGGAGGGTGGAGGATGGAGGGTGGAGGGTGGAGGGAGGAGGGTGGAGGGAGGAGGGTGGAGGGTGGAGTGTGGAGGGTGGAGGGTGGAGTGTGGAGGGAGGAGAGTGGAGGGTGGAGGGTGGAGGGTGGAGGGAGGAGGGTGGAGGGAAGAGGGTGGAGTGGAGGGTGGAGGGAGGAGAGTGGAGGGTGGAGGGAGGAGAGCGGAGAGTGGAGGGTGGAGGGTGGATGGTGGAGGGTGGAGAAGGGAGGTTGGAGGGTGGAAGGAGGAGGGTGGAGAGAGGACAGTGGAGGGTGGAGGGTGGAGGGTGGAGGTTGAGGGTGGAGGGAGGAGGGATGAGGGAGGAGGGTGGAGGGAGGAGGGTGGAGGATGGAGGGTGGAGTGTGAAGGGTGGAGGGAGGAGGGTGGAGGGAGGAGGGTGGAGGGTGGAGTGTGGAGGATGGAGGGTGGAGTGTGGATGGAGGAGAGTGGAGGGTGGAGGGTGGAGGGTGGAGGGAGGAGGGTGGAGGGAGGATGGTGGAGGATGGAGGGTGGAGGGTGTTGGGTGGAGTTTGGAGGGTGGAGGGTGGAGGGTGGAGTTTGGAGGGTGGATGGTGGAGGGTGGAGTTTGGAGGGTGGAGGGTGGAGGGTGGAGGGTGGAGGGTGGAGTTTGGAGGGTGGAGGGTGGAGGGAGGAGGGTGGAGGGAGGAGGGTGGAGTGGAGGGTGGAGGGAGGAGAGTGGAGGGTGGAGGGAGGGGAGCGGAGAGTGGAGGGTGGAGGGTGGATGGTGGAGGGTGGAGAAGGGAGGGAGGAGGGTGGAAGGAGGAGGGTGGAGAGAGGACAGTGGAGGGTGGAGGGTGGAGGGTGGAGGTTGAGGGTGGAGGGAGGAGGGATGAGGGAGGAGGGTGGAGGGAGGAGGGTGGAGGATGGAGGGTGGAGTGTGAAGGGTGGAGGGAGGAGGGTGGAGGGAGGAGGGTGGAGGGTGGAGTGTGGAGGATGGAGGGTGGAGTGTGGAGGGAGGAGAGTGGAGGGTGGAGGGTGGAGGGTGGAGGGAGGAGGGTGGAGGGAGGATGGTGGAGGATGGAGGGTGGAGGGTGTTGGGTGGAGTTTGGAGGGTGGAGGGTGGAGGGTGGAGTTTGGAGGGTGGATGGTGGATGGTGGAGTTTGGAGGGTGGAGGGTGGAGGGTGGAGGGTGGAGGGTGGAGGGTGGAGTTTGGAGGGTGGAGGGTCGAGGGTGAAGGATGGCAGGGCAGCAGAAATCCTCCCAGGCGACAGCAGCAAGCAGCAGCGTCCCATGCGGCTCGTCTCCATCATCCACACACCGTCAGTTGCATGTGGTGTGCGATTGGTTGGCTGCTGTCTTGTGCATACCGCCGCACACGGAGCGCCCCGCTCAGTAAGTCGCCACACACTGGTGGTGCTCCTTGAGTGCTTCCCTGCAAGCAGAATATAAGAGTGAGAGAATAACCCAGAGTGAAGGTACGATGTTGAGTGAGGCCTTGCAGAGGCGTGGAGAAATTGAGAGCAAGCCAGAATGCAAAGACAGAAGGTCAGGCAGAGGCAACAGCACGGGGGCGATGGTGAAAAGAGAAAAGGAAGGAGGAAAGACGTCTTGTTAGAAAGTAAGATGCTGCCTCGATCGTCACCTTCGAAACCTTCAGTCTCGTCGGTCAGTACCATACTAAGACGGTGCCTCGATATCAGTTTCCGAAACTGTAGGCAAGGATTGTGAGCTTGCGTTTTTTGTGATGTCGATCGTCAACATGGGGTCGTCAAACTAAGAGGATTCCGCCTTAAACGCTGACGTCAGAACCCCCCGTTCCAGTAGGCAACGTGATTTTTCGCCGGCAATCGCCACCTCGTCAATCGCCGTTAGAAGATCGTCACGGGGTCAGCGGGCGCCAATCGTCGCCGACTCCCAGTCTTATCATCACCATCAAAATATGCAAACGTCGCCGTACGAACACCTCGTCGCGATCGTCATTGTCGGCGCGATTGTAAGAACTCCGTTAACTTTCTCCGCTTCTCTGCTCGAACGCTCGCCCTCGCCTTCGCCTTCACCGCCTCGATCGTCGACGGAGAGCTTCATCAGAAAACGCAGTCTCAATCGTGACCGCCCGTCAAAGACGCATTTTCGATACGTAAGATCTCGCTGTCTCAATCTCGATTATTGATGGGTCATCCCCGCAACTTGCCGTCCCAACCAATCCTCTCCGTCAGAAAATCATCACCGCGAGAACTCAGTGTTGATCATCAACTCCAAAAATTTCCTGGGTGACGACACCATCGGAAGGCGTCAATCATCACGGTCAGAAAATCGTCACCACTCCCAGAAAAACACCGGCAAAGATCGTCACCGTGAGAAGTTGTCACAGCCAGAAGATGGTCACCGGCAGAAGACTGTCCGCAACAGAAGATCGTCAGCAGAACTCCCGAAGGTCCCACCTGTCACCAGCAGAACTATCAGAAGACGCCAAGCGTCGCCGTAAAGTACTCCCCATCACAATCCTCACCGTCAGAAATCGTCGTCTCGATCGTCGCCGTCAGCACCTCGTTTTGACCTTCACCGTCAGAAATCGCCGTCTCAATTGTTATCGTCAGCACTCCTCGTTCGATCTTCACCGTCAAAAATCGCCGTCTTCCGTCAGCACTACTCGTATCAAATTTCACCGTCAGAATTCGCCGATTGCCATCGCCAGCACTCCTGGTCTCGATAATCATAACCAGGAATCGCCGTCTCGATCACCTCCTCCAAGGAAACCGTCCCGAACATCGTCTTCATAAAACATAAATTCTGCTCCGAAAGGGCAGAAATCGTTAACGCTGTAGACGTTGAATTTAGACGGCGTTATCGTCGCAGCCTGAAACACGACGTGCACTTGAACGGCGATACGACGTCGCCAAGCCTTACGAACAGTCTCCGACTAACGTCAGCGGTAGACTCTCAATGGTATTCACACAAAAAAGGCCGAATGCTACGGTCAACGATCACCATGGAGCATTGTAAAACGAGCTGCTCAGGATTGAACGAGGAGAGTCTGCTAGTGCTCTTCTGAATGTCTAGTAGAATAGCCGTGGATAGTAACAGATACGACTATAATTGCGCTTGGGAAACAATTATCGTAAATGGAAGTCGACAGCCATGGATTGCTGACGAAACGAGCTGAGGCTTGAAGAGTCCCGGCATCAGAGGCCATGAAACTCCGAACAGAGGTGCTCCGAATATGGCTAGAGGACACATTGAAATAAGAAGTGAACCACGACTAAGATATAGTCCTGATTAATGATTGGTAAGTATGGAAATTCAGGCGACAGCCATGGATTCCAGGGAACCGAACGAGCCTTATGTATAGGAGTCAGCGCGAGTTGCGGTCATGATGGCTTTCAGGACAGCTCGAAACAGGATAATCACCAAGCGGTGGTGTAAGAGGGGTTCAGTGGAGCAATACTGGTTTCCCAGAGCGATCCAGAGTGGTGCAGGGAGATTTACATGGAAGTGTGAGAGGTGCGACGAAAGTGGGGGACCATCTTTTCGAAGGCAGCCATTCCCCTTCCTCTACTGTACTCTGGTGCAGGCCGCCGCAGCGTCAGCGGATGCCCTCAGTTTCGTGAACCAAAACAATTGACCTTTCGCTTGCAGGAGGTTTGGTTCGCGAGAAGTGTGACTGGGTTTTGCAAACAAGTTACAGCATACTCGCATCGCGGTACTCTCGCCGTTTGCGCGGGAAACAGCATGTCCCTGACAGACGCTTTTGTGATAACACGCACACATCCCCCAGAGATGGAATGGAGACTTCCAGGGGGTATAATGTAGATAAAATGGCCGATGGGATGCTGTAGTTGCCTCACACCCAATATGATAGCGTATTGTTTTTTCAGCAAATATTCGAATCACCAATATTTCTTATGGTTGACACACCCAGGATACTTACACCTTTATACATTGTCAAAGCAGCCATGGAGGGAGGAACCGACTCTTTCTAATTTCCCTTCTTCCACTTCCATCTTTCTTTCCAATCTCCTTCCTTGCCACTCTAGCTTAATTTTGCATTTCATTTGTAATATTCATTTCTCTAATCTCCGTGCATTCTTTTCTTTAGTATTCATTCCAGGAACAAATAACACTCACGCGGTAGTAGAAGTCCATAGTTCTCAAAGGCTAAACAACTCACCTCCTGCAAGCAATATGGACTATCTATACACAGCAAGCCTGACACCTATGCACACGACTATTCACACCGCTATACATAAGCCACAAACGCACACAACAATCAAATCAACGCAACACGCAGAGAAGCCCATTATCTACACGGATGCACAACGAAAGCCCTCCATTTCTAGCGGCCAGGACACACTCCGAGCCACCAGCAATCTATACAAGACTCAACAGCCTTAAATGGCCTCACCTCCTCTACCCCCTCACCTCCTCCCCTTAGCCTCTCCGCTCCAAAGCCCCTCCGCCTGGGCCCCTCCATCAGGCGTGGCGGTCGAGCTGTCACTCAGCAGTGAGCACACTGCTGTCGCGCTGCAGCTCCGCTCCTTAACCACCCTCCCCCCCCCCCCCCGCACCACCCATCTATACAAGCCCCACCGCCCTTAAGGCCCTGCAGCCCGTCATGTCTGGGTCCCATCAGGCATGGCGGTCGAGCTGCCTCTCAGCAGTAAGCACACAGCTGTCGCGCTGCAGCTCTGCACCATACACCTCCTCCTCCACCACCACCGCCCGCCCTCCCCCCACCCCTCCCCCCGGCAGCGCCGCCTCCTGCTGACCCGCACCCAGGGGGCCAGAGAGCACTACTGGAGCAACGGCAGCAGCAGCAGAGGCAGAGGCAGAAGCGGAAGCAGAGGCGGAGGTGGGGAGCGGCTGCAGAGTGGGGAGAGCGCAGGCGAGGTCAGGAGCAACGCCGACCTGGTCAATGGCGTGCATGGCGGGCGATAGGTACTTGGCCACTGTCACAAACAGCGCCGACCCGTCCGTGAGCTCAAACACTGTCTGAATGCGCCCCTTGCCGTACGTCGTATCCCCCACCAGCGTCGCCCGCCCATTGTCATGCAGCGCGCCCGCGACAATCTCACTCGCGCTCGCACTCCCGTGATTCACCAGCACTGCCAGCGGCCGGTCCGTGAGCGCACGGGAGTTGCGCAGCGCAATGGCCTCCACGGCGCCGGTGCGGTCGATGGTGTTGACGAGCGTGGCACCCGAGCCGAGCCACATGCGCGCGACGTCGAGCCCGGCGTGCACGAGGCCGCCGGGGTTGTTGCGCAGGTCCAGGATGTAGTTGGCCACGCCCTCGCCCTCCAGCCGCTCTATCGCCCTCGCCATGTCCTCTGCCGCGTTCTGCCAGACGTGAGGCAGGGGGAATGTGACATGGTGTGGGTTGAGATCACATGGGATGGGTTGGGATGGGATGGAACGGGATGCGATGGGATAGATTGGGCGAGGGCAGGCTAAGGGTGCGCACCTGGGAGAAGGAGGCGAGGCGAATGTAGCCGGTGGAGGTGGGAGCGCCCTGCTCCGTGTGGTGGGGCAGCGCCGTCGCGTACACTGGTGACAGCGCTATTGGCTCGCGCCTCAACAGGATGTCCGTTGTTCCCTCCGGCAAATCAGAGCCGTCCACGTCAGCTCTCTGCAGCACAAGGGCCGGATCAGCGCGTGAGGGCATGTGGGCGGGCAGATTGCAGTAAACATAACCAGAGACGTAATATAACAGGGATGGGGGGAGGCCTTACAGCGGGGCGCACGGTGAGTGTGACTGCTGTGCCCGCCTTGCCTCGCAGCAGGTTCGCCGCCTCCTGCCCGCTCATGCCGCTCAACGGGGAATCTGCACCGCCCGGGGAGAGGGGAGGGGACAGATGTAGATAAGCAGGCCGTGTGTGGGTTCGTTGAATGCCACAAGAAGGAGAACAGGGAGAGCGATGAGGGGGAATCCAAGGAAAGAAGAGCAGGCGGGAGTAGCAGCAGGGAGGGAAGACGAGCGGGGAGGTGGTGCAGGAGGGGCAACGTACGGTCAACCGCAACGACCTCGTCGCCCGTGTGGATGCCAGCTCGATCCGCGGGGCCGCCCTCGATGGGCGAGAGCACCAGCTGCGCGCGGAGTCAAGGAAGGGGGAACAAGGGGGAGGGGGACGGAAGGAGGGAAGGGGTGAGTGGAGGGATGAGATGGGGAAGCGCGGAGAGGAAGTCGAGCACGTGGCGGGTGTGGGCGGTGTGCAAGAGGAGAGGGAACAGCGGAGAACGCGCAAGCGAGAGGAACGGCGCATGTGTGCGCAAGTTGGGAAGTCAGCGCGCGGAGGCCAGCGCGCGTGGGAAGGGGGGGGAGGAGCGCACCAGGCGGCCGTCAGTGGTGTCGGAGGCGAGCAACAGCCCCACTCCCTCGAGACCGCCGTCGCTGCTCACGCGGAAGCTGTCGTAGTCGCTCGGCGACACCAGGCGAGTGAACGGGTCGCCCAGCGTCGCCAGCATGTCGTGCACGAGCGCGTACGCGTCGTCCGCGCTGCCCGCCGAGACGCTGCCGCGAATGGCGGCGGCGAGGCGGCGGTCCCAGTCCTGGTGGTTGAAGGTGGGATCCACGAACGCCTCGCGCACGATCCCCCACGCCTCCACCATCGTCCGCTGCGCCGCCTCCACCTGCGCCGCCGCGGGGGGGGGGGGGGGGGGGGGGGCGGGGTAAGGGAGGGGGGTAGAGAAGGGATGGGGCGTGGGAAGAAGCGTGTGGGTCGACGTGGTGTGCTATCGCCGACGGGGAGAGCGCGGAAACGGAGAACGAAGCGTCGGCGAGTTTGAACGCCTAGCTCAACGCGTCAGCATGTGTGGAGCGCACCATGTTGTAGCGACGCGACGAGCGCAAGAAGCCAGTCCGCCTACAACGCGAGCTCATGGTGATTTCACTAGGTTGGTCTCGGTTCACCGAGATCCAACTCGTCATCTCACAATAATTCATTTCGTTCAAACCGTTTGATATAATCCCCGTGACACAAGGGCACGTACCCCAGTGATGTGCGGTCGGGGCACGATGAGAGTGAGCACGCCGTTCTCCTCCTCCACGCCCATCGCCGCGTCGCTCATCAGCACATCCGTCGTTTCGCCGCTTAGCAGGCTCTCCGCAACTGACGGGGCGGGAATCCCGACTAGAAGCACTGCCGCCGCCGCCGCTCCGACGACGGCTCCACTCGCAGCCTTCCGCAGCCATTCCGCAGCTCGAGCGAGCTTGTCGTGGCTCGAGACATGTGATGGCAGATCCGCTGCCGCCGACGGCTGAGGAGTTGTTTGATGTGGTGGTGACTGCGCCGCTGCTGACGGGCCGGCAGCTGACGGGCCATGCGAGGCTAGGACGACTCTTTGCTGACGGGAGGCTCGTGACTGGACGCGAGGAGCGACGGCAGCGGAACTCTGCTTGGATTCTAAATGGACGAATGCGGGAGAGGGAGGGGACGAGCTGCGAAGATTGTGTGCTGGTCGACTCGCTGGTGGGAAGGTGGTTGGGTGGATGGAGGAGTGCAGTGCTCTGACCGCCATCGTTGAGATTTGCGTGATATCAACGATTCGCAGAGACGGTAGTGGAGGCGGAGGAATGAACGGAGTCCCGGCACTGAACTCGAAAAATGCTGGTGCTTTTCAAGGGGATGGAGAGACATTGGTGGTGGGTGGTGTTGAATAGAGACGAGCCGCGATGTTGAAGACACAATGCGGGGAAAGGGCGGAGGCCTGACGGGTGGGGGGAGTGAATCGTGGAGAGGGAGTGGGGAATGGGGAAGCGCAGATGCATAGACGCATATTGTGATTGGACAACGGGTCTAGACACCGACACATGTGTTCGCGACAACAGTCAGTGATCAGCGCGTGCGGGGAAGAGGGGCAAGGTAGGTTTCTGGAAACTGGGGGGAACGAAGCTGACTGGAGGTTGAAGGCCTGGCGCGCGTGCGATCGAGGTGGCACAGAACACCCAGGGCAAGTACCACGCCTCGTTCTCCGCCCAGCATCGGCCACGTCACTGCCAGACGTCGCTCATTGAGCATTCCGTGTAAAGTGAAAGTGAGGGAGTCAACCCCATTCGAGCTGTCGCAACAACACCAATAAAGGGTGAGAAAACAAAAGGTCTCAACCAATAATCGAATCTCATATCCGCTAATTGGTTTAAAATTTCACGTGCCGCATAATATCGCAGACAGGTGGTTCCCTGCAGTATACTGTATGATCCGAAACAAGCAACGAGCTTATGACATGGAATGGTTTTATGCGTACATAGAAGCTGGAATACGTAGAAAAGGAACCCTATATATTGCAGTTCTCAACCAGAACTCTCCCAGATAGTCTTACACCGTGAAGGAACATGTACATAATGCATAGCAAATACATCAATCATACACTGTCTAACTCATTAGAAGCGGCATACAATCGCCAGCTTTCAATTGCTTTCTCAAAGCTGGCTGAGGACGAAAATGTGAGAATAGGGTGCTTCTTTCTGTTCCGGGGTGTCTGTCATGCCTCATAACGTGTGAGGGACCAAAAGAATGGCAAATCACATTACTGTGGCGTAACAATGGAATTACAGCATGCCAAGGCCAGTTCTTTAGTGTGCTGAAGCCTCGCAGTGCTTGTTGTAAGCGTCATCATCAAGCAAGTCGTTCAGCTCTGCGGGGTTGGCAATCTTCACCTTCATGATCCACCCATCAGCAAAGGGAGAGGTATTCACCTGACGTAATAAGGGACGGGAAGTCAGCACAATGTCACACGGGACGGGAAGAACGGGAGACTGGGAAAGCAGTGTAATCGTCCTGTTGTTCCGCAATCTGCTTTTTAATTTGTTTGCGAAAGACAGATGCGTGAGACTCACCAGGGCAGGGTTGCTGCCGAGCTCCTCGTTCGTCTCAACAACCTCTCCAGTGACGGGCGAGTACACGTCACTGGCGGCCTTCACGCTCTCCACCACGCCGAATGTTTGTCCCTTGCTGACCTGCGTGCCGGCCTTTGGCATGTCCACGAACACGAGCTCTCCCAACTCATTCTGCCAGGCGGAAAATCGTCTCAGTCTAGGCCGTTGGGAGTCAAATTTAAACACGGAAGCGAAACGCCACATTATTACTCACTTGGGCGAAATCTGAGATGCCGACTGTTCCGACCTCGCCGTTCACTTCGACCCATTCATGTGATTTCAAATACTTCCGGTTCTCTGCAGCTGCAGCACGGAATGAGATTGTATTGTTTCAGATGCTGGAATTTCATGATTATATTATGCTGTTAATAAAGAAAATGTTAACTCACCAGAAGCGAATGATCGCCAGAAGGGAGCAATGAGGCTGTCTGTCGCTGGAAGGCAACGAACCCTCAGGGATGTGGCGGCCTGCGACGCGAACACTCTGCGCAATACAAACCATCGCTATCAAAACGCTGAATCAACATAAATTGCACGAGAATTCAGGCTAACACTAACCTGAGAGCCATGGTGGCGATGTGTTCTCGTCTGGTCGTCACTAAACTGATGCACTGTCGAAATTGCTCTGCGGACAAGTGAGATGGTTTGAACTGGGAAAGCCAAACAAACCAGATGAAGGTGAGGAGAAGTGGTTCAAAAAGGCTCACAGCGCCACGTCAGATTCGCTCCCCTATCTGTCCGCAACAGTGACGACTCCGTGGAATAGATCCGCTTTTCTGGCCTGGCGGGTGCATCTTCAGCCCGTACGTCGGGTGAAGTGTGCTGTGTGGCTGGGAGTTGAGTTGACCCAAACTAGCTAGGCTATCCCCACGATGTTGTGATTATATAGATTATATAGACCGCCAAAAGAAATGTATAAAATATAACAGCGCCCCTACAATGAATCTGATTAGCTAATCTATCATATTCAGAAAAGACTCTTATCGTGTTTTCCTTTCTGAGTTCAGCTCTCTTATACTGCCATAGCCGAAAGCATGAAATACATGATAAAGAAACAAGCAGATGTAATTAAATGGTTCACAATATGCAAGCAAAAGTCTAAAATTGGCATCACCAGATAGCATGGGCCTCCACAACACTTGAAGGAACTCCAACATCACATAGCCACCATTAGTGGTGTGTGGCTATACGGGATGCCCTTCAAGCGAAGGCCAACCCCTTGGAAGATACGGTAATAGAGGGGCCTTGTAGCCGAGGTGCATGATATCGGGTGAGGCCTGTCGAGCAGCAAACAAAACACACGAAAAACAAGAGAAAGACAAAAGAAAAGAAACCCCAACACTTCATGCACTGCAGACTGAAGCCTGATGATCATGACCTTAAAACCAAAGCTCCAGCAGTTTCAGCAGCAGCCGACACACGAGATTCACACGACCCATGAGCGCAAGAGCAGGGAGCCAAGAGCAGAGCGTGCTACAGCTCCCACAGCTGCTGCTGCCACATGTGGAACTGCTCTGCTGTGGCTGACACTGCACGGTCCATGCCCCCTCCCTGCCCATGATGCTCACTCGCCTCCACTGCAGCCGCTGCCGCAGCAGCCATGGCCGCATGCACACTCCTCTCCTCCCCTTCCTCTCCCCCCTCTCCCTGCCCGTACTCCAGTGCAGTTACGCCTTCCCCAGCTGCAGCCTCCCCTCTCTGCCCCTCCCCCCCCTCCCCCTCGTCGCCTGCCAGCAGCAGCAGCGGCTCGAAGTCGAAGGCGCTGCTGTATGGGCTGGGGGACGCCGGGGGCGCAGTGCAGGGGGGCTGGGGGGGCGCAGGGGGCGGAGAGCAGGGGGGCTGGGGGGACGCAGGGGGTACAACCAAGGGAGGCTGGGGAGGGGGAGGTGAGGCTGACAGCAGGGAAGCAGCAGCAGGCATGTTGTGGGGAGGGGGAGAAGGATGGGACGTGCGGAGCAGGCCAGCAGGAACGGAGCCCTGGAGTGGTGGTGGGGGAGATGTGGGCCGTGCGGAAGCAGGCGGAGGCACCTGCGTGTTCCCAACAACCACGTCACTCGCAGCTATGTTGCTGGCAGCAGCACTGGGAGGCAGGAACTGGAATGGCGGTTCATGCATCTGTTGCTGCTGTTGCCGCTGCTGCTCCGCATGTCCCTCATGCCCCCCCTGCCCGCCAGCAGCAAGCGTGCGGTGTGACTGTAACAGGGGTGACTGCAGGATGCGCATCAGCTGCTCCCGCGCTGCTGCTGCGCCCAGAAGGCTGCTGTTGTTTTCGGGGCCCTGAACGCTGCTTCCTGGCACCTGAACATTGTCCCCTCCTGCATGGATGCTGCTTCCTGGCACCTGAACATTGTCCCCTCCTGCATGGATGCTGCTTCCTGGCACCTGAACATTGTCCCCTCCTGCATGGATGCTGCTGCCTGGCGCCTGACCGTCGTGCCCAAGCACATGGGCAGTGCTGCTGTTGTTTGGCGCGAGGGCAGGCGGCGGCAGGGAGAGCGCGGAGCCGAGGGCAGCGAGGGAGGAGAGCAGCTGCGCCAGCGCGTGCACTGCGGCCGTGGGGGCACGCGCACTGGGGGACGCGCTCGCAGGCACACCCACTGCTGCGGCCACACTCGCTGCAGCAGCAAGCACACCCGGTGTAGGCGCAGCAGCAGCAGTGTGAGGGCCAGGTGTGACAGTAGTGGCGGTAGGGTTGGCCGCGGAAGTGGAGGGAAGAGGTGAAGGGCGGGGCGCAGGAGGAGCGGCGGGGCGGTCATCCGTGGAGCCACCGCTGCTGCTCACGTGTACGCTGTGCGGGCGAGCGGTGCAGGCCGCGGGGGTCATGCGCGATCCGCGCGTTGCAGCGTCGCCATCAGCTCGATCCTCAACCTCCGCCGTCTCTGCTGCTGGCGAGTCGGGGAGCACGATCACGTCTGGAGGCGCCTTTTGCGGCGGGATTTCCACCATGGGGGGAAAGCGAGGAGCGGAGAACGGCCGTGCGCTGGGCGAGGGAAAGCTTGTTGGGGACACATTCGCAGCGGAAACGCGAAACACGGCGGAGGGGGCGGGACGGGTGGCGGAGGCGAGAGAGTGCGGCGACACGTGGCTGGAGATCTCGGCGGTGGGGACGGAGCGCGCGCAAAACACGCTACCCGCGCCGCAGCTGCTTGCTGCCTGCACGGCCGTCGGATTACTGTCCGACTCCTCCTCTGGCGACGAATCGGACGATAGAGCTTCCGCACGGAGGGACCTTTGCTCTGCGTTCCCTCCCATTCCTCCGCCTCCTTCCGCGCGAGCCGCGTCCTCCGCAACCTCCTGACACACGCGGACGAGCGACTCGGCGATGGCAGGCGGCAGCGGCACGTCCTGGTGGCTGTCGGGGAAGTTGAGACTCCCGGCCGCGTCGCCTCGCAGCATCCGCGCCGCCATGTCGTACACGCGCGCCGCCTCTTCCGCGCTCGAGTATGAACCAAGCCAGATGCGTGATCGGCGCCGTGGTTCGCGGATCTCCGACACCCACCGCCCCCACTTGCGCTGCCGGACGCCCTTGTAACGGGGGGTGCGCGCCGCGAGCTCCTGAAAGCTCGGCGGAGGGCAGCGGAGGGGGGAGGCGGCGGCGGAAACAGGCGCAGGGGGGGCGCACGGCGGAACAGGGGCGGAGGATGCGGTGGGCGCGGGGAGCGGTGCTTCGTGCGGTGGCGGAGGGAACGGGCTGAACGGCGACTGGGGCACGGCGGCGGACCAACCAGGAACTGACACGTCAATGGCGGCAGCATCCGGCCCGGATATCACCTCCCCCACAAGAGCCTTCCCGCCAGGCACGTCGACGCTGACGATACGCGCCGGTTCAATCTTGATTTGCTTCATGGGCGGCAGAATCACCACGCGAGGCGCGCTGTTCCCCCGCATTCGGCGCTTGCCGATCATCTGATGTCGGGGCGCCTCGACCCCGATCATCTGCGCGCCGGAGGGGAGCGGCTCGGATTCGGGACGCGCTTGATGAGGCCAGGCTACTGATAAGGTATCGTAAAAAGCGGTAGACGACTCGAGCATTGGGGAGGATTGAGACGAATCCAGCAAGAGAGGCGCGACGGGCGAAGCGGCGGGGGAGGCGACATGAGAACGACGATGGACGTGCGACAAAGGCGACGAATCAGAATGCGGCAGCGATTGCCCTGGCGACTGCGACGAACGGGCGTAATGCGAGGAAGCCGGGTCGCCGTAGTGTGCGGCACGGTGGTGATGGGGGGACATGCGAGGCAGGCAAAGAGCGGATTCCGTCATCCATGCACTAGCGACGATAAACTCAAACGCGAATTCCAACGACCAAAGCCCTAAACTCGTGAATACTGCGTGTGGGTGGCAGGGCCACGATGCTGCACCTAACCTGCAGTGGAGTGGTGTGGCTGGACCAAATGAGGAACACAGGAGGGGACAACAGAGGAGTGGGACGGTGGCGAGGTGATGGCGTTGCCTGGAGTGACGCAAGGTCTGGGCCGTTCAAGCGTGACACGAGGTGCAGAAGAAAATGGTGGAAGTGAGGGCATCAGATTTCTCAAGAGCACTGGCGAACTTATGACACCTTCGTAGGATGGCGAAAACGTTTCGTCAGACATCTTCGTGAAAGTTGCAGTTACAAACGACTTCTGCGAACAACTTCGCCGAGTTGGTGTGTGAGCGACATCGCAGGGACTGTGGAAGCTGTAAGCGGAAACTGCATGGAAGGAAAGCACAGTACGTCACGTTTTCGGAGGAATTCGGTGCTGGTGTGCTGCCGGGTCGCCTTTGGTCTCACATCACACGGTTTGGCTTGCCTGCCAAAGCAAATTGGTGGTTTTTTACTACAAGGGGACAGACAAAAAAGCATCCACCAATCAGGTCTTTCTTCGGTGCTTTACTGCTGTACAGCTGGAACAGACATGTGTCGCTGTCTTGACGGAAGCGGTCTTTTGAAAAAACTGAACTGTGGGGCCACCGCTGGAGATCTGGCGTGTGTCGGAAAAGATCTTGCAGCGAAGTGGTGGCCTGAATTGATCGCATTCGTTTCCGCTAACCGAAGCTCCCTTCGCCATCTCGGTAGCGGCGCCACCACCGCTCCCTACAATAATGGGTGAGGCAAATCGTTCATTAGAAAATTAATTTGAAGTGTACATGCCAGGTTAGTCACTAAAGCAAACACAGTAGTCCACAAGGACATGACTAGGCTCATAATCTGGCGTCTGACCATCAGCCAAAGGCAGAAAGCCATGGCACACAGGGCAAGTAGGACGGCCATCTTCATCAGCCTCTTCTTGCCCTGTGCTCTCCCGGTCATCATCCGGCCTAGCCGTTGCACGTCTCTGCCTCCTCTTCCTATCCCGTCGTATTCTCACCCACTCCGACTCTTCCTCCTCCGCATCCGCCAGCACATACTCTGACTGCATCACCTCAGGCGCTGAAAACGCCTGCACGTCAAACCCATCCAGAGGTGGAAACTCAGGTGATGCCACACCCACGCCTGATGGGCCTTCCCCTTCCCCATCACCTGCCCCTGCCTCTGCCAGCCCAGCAGCTGCACTGGAGGCAGCGGCAGCAGCAATGCCCCCAGCAGGCATGACAATGCCGTAGTCGGGGCTGCCAGGAAACTCATCCTCCTCCGGCCACCCTGCCATGCTCCCCTCCCTGCCACTGCCCTCTGACCCCCTCGCCCTCACTGCTGCTGACCCAACCACTGATCCAATACCCACCCCCACCCCACCCGCCCCATCCCCACTGCTTCTCTCTGTAGCCCCCTGTGCTCTTGTCCCCTGCACGCCCCACGTCACTGTCCGCCCCCTCCCTCCCCCTGCCACCTGGCCCTGTCCGTCACCCTGTCTGTCCCTTCCGCCAGCGCGCACACCTCTGTCCACCCGCCCATCTGCCTGTGCAGGCCGAGCAGCAACCCTGACGTCCTCTGAAAACGAACGCGGCCGCACCATGACCCTCCGCTGCTCTTGCTGCTGCTGCTGCTGCTGATGCTGCCGCTGCTGCCCCACCCTCTGCTGCTCCACGTCAGCAACCATGAACCCGCCAGGTGGCAGCGCACCAGAGGCCGCAGCGTGGCGACACGCCATGTCAGCCTTGCAGAGCTGCACGGCATCAAAGATCCGCACAAAGAACCACTGCCGCCCAATCAGGTCGGGGATCCCCGCCCGTGTGAGTCTCTGCATGACTGCATCACTGGGGTTGGCAAGGGCCAGGCGCACCCCCCTCGCCTGGTACTCCAGGCAGATCTCTCTCAATGCATGGCACGCTGCTGAGTCCACTGCATGTACTGACGTCATGTCTATAATCACGTACTCTATAGGCACGTTCGTCGCACCCAATGCTCTTCCTTTTGCCGCAGCTCCTCTCCCCCCCTGCTGTTCCCTTGCCGACGATTCTACTGGTGACACCAGTGCCTCGCCTGCCCCCGCTCCCTCCTCCACGTCACAATCTCCGCTTCCCCCACTGCTCCCGCTCCCCCCTCCCCCACCCCTGCTGCTCCCACCGCTCCTGAAGCTGCTGGTGCGGCCGTCTAAGCTCCCGTCGCTGGCTCGCCGAGCCAGGCTGCTAGGACTGGTGGAGGATCGGGCAGGGCTGGGGGTGCTGTTGCGGGTGCTGGCGGCAGGTGTGGCAACGGCGGTGGCAGTGGGGGAGGAGCGTGTGGGGGTGGTGGCGGGGGTGGGGGCGGGAAGGGGCGTTCTGCTGGTGAGCCCCTCGTAGCGCCTTAGCACGTCCCGCAGGTTGCTCACATTCGCAAAGTACCTGGGGGAGATGGGGGGGAGGGGTGGAAGGGAGAGCACCCAGAGCAAGTTAGCCAGCAGATGGACGGATAGAGACACCAGGCTACGTTGCAAACGAATCAGGAAAGCAGAGTGGGTGGTGTAAGCCTGTGAAAGCAGAGTGGGTGGTGTAAGCCTGTGAAAGCAGGGCGTGGGTGAGGGTGCGAGGGTGCGATGGTGTTCTCACAGGGGCGAGGCAAGAGGTGGCTCACAGGTGGGAGTGGCATTTGATGACGGCAATCCCAGGGGTGACCTTGGCATCAGGGTACTGCTGCACTGTGCGGTACACTGTGGTGCCAGGCAGCCGCCCCAGCTCCTCACACTGCGCGTTTGCCGACTCATTTATGACGAAGCCGAGGGATATCACCACCGCCACCATCACCCCCGTCTGTATGACAAGGTATGGGGCAGGGAAGACGAGGGGGGGAAGGAAGGGCGAAAGGGATGGGTTGGTAAGAGCAACGCAGCCGTCCCAGCTCCTCACACTGCGCGTTGGGCAACTCGTTGATCATGAAGCCCAAGGATATCACCACCGCCACCATCACCCCCGTCTGTTTGGCAAAGGGGTTGGGGGGAAAACAAAGTGGAGGGAGGAAGGGCGAGAGTGGGGGTTGATAAGAGCAATGCTCCTCACAATGCCCGATGGCCGACTCGTTCATCTCAAAGCCGAGTGATATCACCACCGCCACCGTCAACCATGTCTGTGTGCCATGGAGTGGAGAGGGGAAGAAGGGCGCAGGGAGGCGGGACGGGGATGCGTGGATTATGAAACAACAACTAGGTGACAATGGAAGGCAGGGAAATGACTCCCTCCAGCTGCATTCTCGTCTGATGGGTGGGATAGGGACTGTAGACGCCCGTGTGATTGACACAGAGGAACGCAGCAGATCCGAACCTGAAGGCAGGAGGTGAGCGCACCTGGATGCCGAAGAAGAGCGTGCCGCAGAAGGCGAGCATCCACACGACAAAGTCCTTGGGATCCACTCGCAGGAGAAACGCCGCCTCCTCGTAGTCCACCAGCCCACACACCGATGACACCAGGATGGCTGTTGGCGAGAGTTGGGGAGGGGGAAGAGGGAAGGTATGTTAGGTAGAGCATTGTAATTTTGCTGATGGCGGTGGCGATGGTGGTTGCGATGTTGATGATGGTGATGGTCCACGCGCAGCAGAAAGGCTGCCTCCTCGTAGTCCACCAGCCCACATACGGATGGCTGTTGGCATGGGGAAGGGCGGCGTGGAATGTTATATGAGGCTTGTAATGATTCGTGGTTGTGGTGGTGGTGGTGGGGGAGGGGGACGAGGATAGTGGGGGGTGGTTCGTGGGGGAGGGGGGTAGTTGAGGTGGGGGGGGGGGGGGGTCGTGGGGTAGTGACAAGAACCATGACCATGGACTCACCACAGGCACACATCTATCGCCCCACCCTCCCTTTCCTTTTGCACCCCTCCCCACGTCTCACCTCCGAGCACAGGCAGGGCAGGAACTGGAAGAGGGGCGTGAGCAACATGAGGGCGAGCAGCACGAGCAGCACAGCATGCATGCACGCCTCATATCACCATACCTCCACTCCTCCGTCCCCATCCCCATCCCTCCTGACCCCCCCAGTCCCCCAAACCCCCCACCCCCCAATCCCCACATCCCCACGAATACCTCCGAGCACAGGCAGGGGCAGGAACTGGAAGAGGGGCGTGAGGAACATGAGGGTGAGCAGCACGAGCAGCACGGACACCACGCCTGCCATGCCGGTGGCGGCGCCACAGTCGTCACTCACTGCCGACCGTGAGAAGCTGCCGCCCGTGGGGAACGCCTGGAAGCACGACCCCACTGTGTTCGCCAGGCCTAGAGCTGGGGTTAAGGGCAGGGGGGAAAAGGGGAGGAGGGGAAGGTGGGCGAGTGGGGAAGTGGGAATGAACGAGCGAGAAGCTGCCGCCCGTTGGGAACGCCTGGAAGCATCTGCCCACTGTGCTCGCCAGACCCAGGGCTGGGGTGGGGGGAGAGTGTGAAGGGAGTGCGTGGGCGAGGGGGAACGGAGCGAGTGAGAAGTGGAAGGGAAGGCAAACCTAACCGAGAGAGAAGCTGCTGCCTGTTGGGAGCGCGTGAAGCACGAACCCCCTGCATTCGCCAGGCCCAGGGCTGCCAGTGGGGGTGACGAGGGCTTGGGAACGTGGATGGGGGAGGAGGGGAGTGAGCGGGTGGGTAAGTGGAAGGGATGGGACGGAACGAGCGAGCGGCGGAGTGCACGAGGTGTGAACGCTGCGTGTCCTTGATGCACATCCTTGATGCACATCCTTGATGCACATCCTTGATGCACATCCTTGATGCACATCCTTGATGCACATCCTTGATGCACATCCTTGATGCACATCCTTGATGCACATCCTTGATGCACATCCTTGATGCACATCCTTGATGCACATCCTTGATGCACATCCTTGATGCACATCCTTGATGCACATCCTTGATGCACATCCTTGATGCACATCCTTCACCCTCACTGCCATCCCACCACCTGCTCCACATACACATCCCCTTCCCCTTTGGCGCCCTCCCAAGCAACACTCCCCTCGCCTCTCTTCCACATCCTCGTGCATGTACCCATTCCTCTCCTCTCTTCCACATCCTCGTGCATGTACCCATTCCTCTCCTCTCTTCCACATCCTCGTGCATGTACCCATTCCTCGCAGCGAGCATCTTGGTGACAGCAATCGTCTCCAGATACACCGCACTCGCCATGCTCTTGTCCTTCATCCCCCCATCCCAAACCCTCCCCTCCCCTCCCCCAACCCACCACATCCACATGCGCGTACCACCAACAAGCCCTTTCACCCTCCCCTTCGCCCTTTTTTCCTCTCTCTCCCCGCAACCCCCAGCCCCCAGGCCAAAGCCCCCACGCACCAACGAGCTCCTGGTTGGCGTCAACGGAGTAGCCATTCTTAGCAGCCAGCGTCTTGGCAATCGCAATGGTCTCCAGATACGCCGCACTCGCGATCACCAGCGCGGGCGACACGAGGTCGCGCCAGCGCGCCCAGGGGAACGCGGAGAAGGCTGCGGGGAGCCCCGAGGGCACGAGGCCCGTGACGCGGATGTGCCAGGGGTTGCGCAGCAGGTATATGGTCGCCGTGCCCATGGCTGCTGCCAGGATGGGGCCCATCGTGCGGAGAATGCGCAGCCGCTTGTGCCGCTTGCCCAGGTGCTGGGGGGGGGGAGCGGAGGTGGGGGGGTGGAGAACGGGGAGAGCGAGGGGGGGTTGACGCGGATGTGCCAGGGGTTGCGCAGCAGGTAGATGGCCGCCGTACCCATGGCTGCTGCCAGGATGGGGCCGAGGGTTCGCAGGATGCGCAGGCGCTTGTGACGCTTGCCCAGGTGCTGGGGGGTGAGGGGGCGCGCGGGGGAGATGGGCGAGGGAAAAAAGAGGGGACGGGGGAGGGGGGGAAGGGGGACATGGGCGCCAGGATGGGGCCGAAAGTTTGGGAGATGCGCTGTGCTTGTTTCGCTTGCCTAGGTGCGGGGTGGGAGGGGGAGACGTGGGAAGAGCGGGAAAGGGGGATCGGGAGATGGGGATGGATGTGGAAGCGTTCGAGCGTGAAGGGGCTGAGGAAGGGCGGTGGTGGCACAGCGGCGAGGCGAGAGCGTCAGCAGCCAGGTAGGGTGAGAAACTGGAAGCAGGCGGCTGGGTGGTGGAAGAAACAAACATGTGAAACAACAGTGCCACCGAGCAGTGCGGGCAGGCACGAGAGAGCGCGGGAGCACACCTTCATGATGAGCAGGAAGGCGAGCGCCAGCACCCCCATGACAAGCGAGGGCACGTGCGTGGTCTTGAGATTGACGAAGATGTCATAGAGTATCATGTGCATGGTCTCATGGCGCGTGGTGTAACCTAAGAAGTAGCGCATCTGCATGAGCCCCAGCATTATGGCCGCGCCGCTGCTGAAGCCAGAGACCACCGCGTGTGAGAGGAAGCGCACGACCCAGCCCAGGCGGAGGAGGCCAGCCAGCAGCTGCAGCGCGCCGAGCATGAGCGAGAGGAGCAGCGTGAGGCCCAGGTAGAGGCGCTGCTCCGCGGGGTCGTGCGAGTCCGGGTCCGCCATCTGCCTGATGCGCCAGCGGCGGGGGAGCATGAGTGGGAGGCGGGAATGGGGAGGGGGTTTGCGGGAAAGGGTGGGTGGGGACTGGAAGTGGGTGAGGGTGAGTGGAGGAGAGGAGTCGAGAGGAGGACTTGAGGTGCATGGAGAAACGAGGGGGGGGGGGATGGCAGAGGAACGCGATGAGGTGCAAGGGAATGACTGCTGCGGCAGCGCGCGGTCAGGAGCAGCGCAGCAGCAGCGCGCGGTCAGGAGCAGCGCAGCAGCAGCGCGCGGTCAGGAGCAGCGCAGCAGCAGCGCAGCAGCAGCGAGCACTCACTTGATGGCTTCGTTCACCAGCAGCGACACGAGCGACGTGGGACCCAGCGCCAGCTGCCGCGAGCTGCCGAATATGCTGCGCGCCATGGGGAGCATGCGGGGAGAGAACGGGGAGAGAGCGGAGAGGGCGCGGGGAGAGAATGGGGAGTGGGGTTGGTGCATGAGAGGGGGGTCATGATGAACAGAGCTCGCGGAAAAGGAAACAGGGCACGGCGCACCATAATACGACGCACGCCTTAACTTCTCATCCAGCCTCTCGTAATGCATAACAAAGATCGTTCAGCAATGACCCACGTGGCCGGGTACCCGTCCTTCACAGACCAACAGACAAGGCACGGCACGGCCAGGCCTGCTAGGTTATTCCCTGCTGCTGTCTGGAAATGTATGGGGTTTACGGACGGACCTATAGACAAGGCACGGCACGAAGCCGGTGTAGAGACCGTATATGGACGGCAGGCCCGCGACGCGCGCGTACGCCATGCCTTGCGGGATGATCATGAACCCCACCGACAGCCCCGCCACCATGTCGCCTTTCAGGTCGCGCCGCACGTCGTACGACAGCAGCCAATCCAGGCACGGCACAGCGTCGCGCACCAGCCGCCACGTGCCGGCGAGCGACGCGGAAAAGCGGAGGGACGCGAAGGGGTTGAGCTGTGAAAGCCATGACTGCTCCCGGCTCTGGCCGAACCCGAAGCGGAGAATGCGGACGGTGGGGCCCACTGAGTTCTGGCGCCGTGGTGCAGTCTGCGAGCCGCTGTTAGGGTGGTCCTTAAGGAGAGGCGTCTCGAGCAATGTCACATCACGGAACGAGCTCGACGGCCCTATGGCTTTAGCGGCGCGAGACATGATCAACGGCGTGGTGCGTAACTGGGGCTAGCCGAGTGGATATTACATTTCCTGCTAACGAAACTCGATGCCCTAGTAAATAAGGACGTGTTGCAATTGCCGGTGCACTGCATCGGCTCGGGACGAATGGAAGTCTCTAAGCAAGCGGGACGCCAACCCCGAGCAAAAAAAGTTTCTAGATAATGAATAATAGAGTTGCTTGCCTAGGTTGTACTAGGGCATCAAATATTTTTGCGCGTTTTCTGTAAACTTTTTACGGCCTCGTCTTGCCCGAAGCCTTTCTGAACCCGTGCCCCGAGCCGAGCCGATGCAGTGCACCGCGAATAGCAACACGTCCTAACTTTCCTTAGTCCATCCCTCCCTACCTAATTCAGACTCTCTGCTGTCTCCTTCATGGCCCTGTTCGGTAGCCTCCCAGTCACAATGTGAACTGGGGAAGTCTCTGGTACGTTTCGTAGCCTTGAGCCTCCACTCGCACTTGAAAGATGTTTCGTCCATAGTTGTAAGAATTTACCTCGCGTCTGTCAGGAAATTTCAGGCCGAATTTTGCCAGCTGCCCGACCCACAAACAAGAAATCAGTCCGCCAAATGGTTTCCCCTCATTATGGATGAAAGAAAAACGTTTTGTGAGCAGGATCTCTTATCGTTTTTCATTCTAAAGACTAAAAGAATTTAATTCATCCCGTAATGACATTAATGCAGCGTATACCCTCAAGCATGACACTTAGAGCGGGCCTGCCTGAGTGGAACTGGAAAGCTGAAATGGGATCCACTCCCACTGACTGTCTAGTTTGCCTGGGCTCGCCAATTTCGTGGTAGTGTCTTCCCCTGCACTCAAAGTGGGTTTTTGCGCGTTCGGTCGTCACCTCGCACTGGTCAGGTTTGGTGTTCTTTCAAAGCTCGCGGCCCAAATTGCGGGCCGCGCTGGGCAACCTTACTAAGGTTGATTGATAGTTGTTTTGCAGGTGCTGGTTTTGCGAATTGAGGTTACGGGTTGTACGAATGAAGTTGATTGGCTAGTCAATTTGAAACACTGAGCTGATTGGCTAGCAAAATTGAAACAGTGTTTGCGGAGGGGGCTGGGTGGGAAACTGGCAAGGATAGTATTTGTGCAATATGGGACTCATGCAACCAAACGCGAAGTGGCCCCTGGAGTCTACTGAGTCAGCGAAATGTGTTTGAGATTGGCGAGAAGTTGGGCGAAACTTAAGCCCTCAACCTACCCAACACCTTGACTAGCCAACCCTGCTCCCTCACCTCCCAACATGCAACTTTAGTAAAGTTGTATAATTTGGGCCGCGAGCTTTGACGATTCGGTAGGCTTTAAGGTAGTTCGAAATTGGGCCACGGAAGATCACCTGCACCAACCGCAGTGTGACAAGAGAGGTTACCAAACAGGGCCCATGTAGGCTCGAAAGAAGTGGTGGAGCGTGTTACACCTCCCCTTAGAGCCAGGTTCCACTCCAGATTCCATAAACAAAGAATTGAATGGGCATCACTGCATTGCAGTGCAGTGGTGGCCTGACCTGATCATCTCCTGACAGGCTGGGCGAAAAGTCAGGAACACCCGCCAGGAGGCTGGGCGGAGGCCCTTGGATTGGTGGCGATGGAGGAAGCTTGGTCCGCTCCGCATTGTCAATCCGGGGAAGGCGGGGAAGAGGGGAAGGGGTGGTGGAGAGGAGAGGAGAGGAGAGGAAGGAGGGGGGGGGGGACGTATGGGAACCAGGCGCAGGTGCGCGTGCGGAAATCTGCTAGGACCGCAATCTGCTCGCTCGCACGTCTTTCCATGGTCCGCGGGTTCAATCCCCTCGAACAAACAATTCTGGCAGTGTGGCAGGGTGGCCTGGCCGTTCGACGAATCCGGAAAGGCCATGACGACGGGATGCCTTTTGATTGGATAAGCCGCAAATTTCGTTAACAAAAGGGCATCCCATATACTGTACTGAAACAGCCCATTCAGAGTTCAACTGCTCTTGCATACAAGGACATTCAGACAGCATAACTGCAGACTCATCAGCTAACTAGCTTGTTTTCATGCTTAGTAGCATTATAGCATTATCACACTCGTGCATACAAGCATGAGCCTACGCTTACTTCTGGCACCACATTTCTAGATTCACTAGCCAGCCTACCATGCCTACGCTTACTACTCCTCAAGCACCTCCTACAGCTGACAATGCATGCGTCTCCATCTTGGATGTTCCAGCTTGGGTGGCACTTGCTTTGGGTGCTGATACTGACTCGTGAGCAGCATCTGTTTTCAATGGAACCACCAGCACTGGACCAGGAGCATGGTGCACACAGTGCGAGCTCACACTCCCGAGGGCCATGCTGTGAAGAGAGAGGGACGTGGCACAAGGATGTGGTTGGGAAGGAAAGTAAGACGGAGCTCCAACAATTCAACAACAAAACTCCAGCGCTTTTCGTTAAAACCACTCCACAGGAAGACTCACCGTTTGAGCAGGCTCATGCCACGCGTCCCCATGACCATGAGATCCGCGTCAACGCTCTGCACGTGACTGGCCAGCACATCCCGAGGGTCGCCCTTGAGATCCACGCCACTCACCGCCACACCCTCGTCCATTCCCCGCTTCCTGCCCTCTTCCTTCACCACCGCAGCACACTTCTGCAGCAGCTGCTGGGCCTTGGCGTGCCGCTCGTGCTCCATGCGCTGGTGGTACTCCTGCCATGAGAACAGTGAGTCCGTGCGGAACTCTGTTGGACGCTCGCGGGGTAGAGGCATGGAGGACAGGGGAGTGTAGCAATACCCCGGATCTGGCAGGATGATTAGTTACACAGGAACAGGTACCGTAGATTGCGGTATTGCGTAGCTGTAACATGCAGCAAACCATACAACATACCTCACGTTTCCATTCAGGCAAGAAACTGCACACAAGAGTGTCATAACAGTCATTATAGATAGAAAAGGTAGTTTTTCTTCCCAGGAAAACTTTCTGCCTGCTTCGTGGGGGGTGGGATTACCATTAGGCGGCTTGTGCGCGTGCATGATGTGGAACTCCTTAGCCGTGCGCGCGAAGAGCCGCACCGCCTCCCGAAGCGCGTGCATGCTGTTGTCGCTGCCGTCCACCGCCACGGCTACCTTCACGTTCCTCTGCACCATCGCCGCACACACGCGCACCCACCGCCATAGTAGTAAGATAGTACTTACAAGCGAAGGAAAAGCGGATGGAACTAAACCATAGGGGAAAAGAAGCGAAGATAAGTACCTGAGTGCCCATGTTCGACTTATGGAACCAAGAAAGTTCATCCGATTCAGCAGCCGCAGTGCGTGAATGCTATCCAAATACCGCATACGATTAACCTCAAGATTAGTGATGCAGCCTGTATATTTTGAATCGTCGAGTTCTTTCTACCCTGTGTTCTTGAGAACAGTGGAATAGCCAGCTGCAGGAAGCGGTACGCTTCACTGAATCGAAATCGCAACGCCATGCTGCGCCCCGTCCCGACAGCACGCGAACAGTGGTGCTCGACACGCGGCAAGCGAACGATGTTTGAGGTGACGAGGGTATGCGATGGAGGAGGTCAATGGGATTGCTGAGTGTGAAAAAATCTCAGCGCGTTCAGGTCGTCGCCCGGCGGAGCTCGCTGCCCGCGGGCAAAACAAAAACCCCAGTCGGGCATGCATCCCTCAGATGGCATGCCATTCGATAGGGTTTTAGTTTGTTTCTGCCCGGGGCAGCAGGTCGTCAGGTCGTCACAGGTCGTCAGGCCTGACGACCCGTTTCCGCTGAGAGATACTGACTGATTGGCTTTGAAAATGTACTTGCTACGGTGCTGCCCTACAGTGTGTGGGTTCAGTGGTTCGAGAATAATGAACATAACATCTAGACAGTGAATACATAAGTCAAATTCAGGCATATTGGGCACTGAATGTAAACGGATTAGGTCCACTTAAATCTATGTTTTTGTCAGAAAGAAGCTTCAGTGATTCATTAATGGATGCCTCGGGAAGTTTAGGCGTCCTCGAAAGGAGCCGGACAGTGATCTGCAACACAAAAAAAAAAAAAAACAATATGAAGAAACAATTGATGTATGTTTCAACCAAGAGGTGATTATGCAGGTTATCAATCCTCACCTGACCATCTTGATCTGATGACAAGCCTGGCGTGGACTGGTAGCACGAGTACACAAGTGCATGTGAGTACCCCTTTGCAGAATTGCCCCACAGACCTATCACCCAGTGGTCTGTCTGCACGCCCTGATACTGCTGGATCATCTTCCCAGCCTTCCACATAACCCACAAAACACAGCAATGTATTAGCGCAGCAGCCAAAGAAAAGAGAAGAAAACAAACCGCAGCCCAAACGAGTGCTGCCAACTGCATGCATTTCCCCGTCCAAATTCCATCAACCAACCTCGGAGGTGAGTTTGAGAGTGGCGGTGGCGGTGGTACGTGTGGTGTAGATCGCAGGGCTGGGGCTGCTGAAGAGGCTCGACACGAGGGGCGACAGAGAACGCGTGGCGGAGGCCAGCGCCGCCACGCGCTGCGAGAAGGTGCTGCCGTTTTGACACTCCGTCATCACGTTCGCCATAGCCAGGGAGATCTGCCACGTGGACATGGGGAGATGGAGTCACGCGGATTGAGCCATGATAGCGCAAGCGAGAACAGGATGGAAGGCATCGTCGAGAATGGAGAGCGCAGCTTTGTATTTAGAGACGCAGACGCTTTTTTTTTTTACATCAACCTGAGCCTGACTCGTGATAGTTCACGTACTGCTTCCTTCCCCTTGGCGCTGCCCTGCGCTGCAGCCACACCGCCTACAATTACGCGATTCATGGCAGCGATAGAAAACATCTCGTTCCGCTTCGCATCGATCCCCTTCGCCGCCCCCTGAATCGCGCTTGACGCGCTCCGCAACGCGCTCTTCATCCGCGTCACCAGCGCGAAGGAGTCGCGCTGGTTCAACTGCGCGTTAGCGCGCTGCACGTCGTCCAGCTCCGCCCAGAGCGTCTCTGCGCGCCGCGACACGTCAGCCACCGCGCTTTCGATACTCCCGAGGCCGTACGACACGGACTGCTTCACGTCGACCGGGAGCTCTTCGGAACCGAGCGTGAGGTACGACGTGCTCAGCTGCTGCTTCGTGCGCACCGACGACACCGTGCCGCACACGGCGCGCAGCTGCTGCTCGAGAACGGTGGTGGCGGCGGAGATCGCGGCGACCTGGCTGCGGCGCATCGGCATCACCGCCACCACGCCCTGGCGCGTCAAGCTTCGGGCGGGAAGGGAAGCAGGCACAAATATTGACCATGGCTGAAGCACGGGATTGGGAGACTTCGGAAAAGTAAGAAATCAGAGTAGCGTGAGGGTGCAGTGTGAGTGAAGCTTGGTTAGTGGGCTTCATCGGTACCTGAGAGCGCCGCGGGACTTTCCCTTCTTAGCGGTGCTGTAGGTGTAGGTTATGGACGCGATACCCAGCTCGCCCTTGCTCTGGAACTTGCCCAGCGCCGTCGCACCAATCTCGTACCACTTTCCCTGCTCGGCAACGGGGGCAGCGGAATACCGAAAGGGAGGAAGAGGGGAGTTGAGAGATCCCGTGGTACGAGAGGATTGACGTGTGGCTGATGGTTGACGGGCGGTGCTTACCATGAACTTGCCCATGTTGAAGTTCGGCACGGTCTCGACGTTTGGGCACTTTGTGGATGAATCCTCAACGAATTTCTCGCAGAAGGGTACGTCGTCGGAGCCATCGCTGGGCGACACATCTTGAGCTAGCGCGCCTGGTGGCAGAAGAGTCACGAGCAGGATAGCGAGTGGTAGAACGAGCAGGCACACGCGGAAACACCTTGTTTCCATAAAAACACTAGTGGCCGTAGCTCTAAATTAGGATTCAGTCTACGTGCTTCTGGAGATTCAATAACACAGGTCAAAGGTCTACAGATTGTTACTACTTCAGACAGACACAAGAAAGGAGAAGGCGAGAACATTTCGATTCTAAGTGTGGAATTTGTGTTGCTTCGTCAGTGCGAAATGAGGAGGGGGAGAGAAGGAACAAGGCTAGGAGCAGGGCGACTGCGTTGTGAAATGAATCCAGGGAGGACCATCGTGTCACTCTCAAATGCGCGATTCGAAATGTCGGTGAAAATGTTGTTGAAATCTTGCTAGGCGCCCAAATTTAGCTCCGTTGCGACGCGTAAAGGAAAAGTGACGCGTAATAGAACAGCTGGCTTATAAGAAGTCATTTTTCTGATGTAGCTGAACAAACATTGTATGCCCAATCAATCAAACTCCTACAGGATCCTCATTAAGATATATTATCCAGGGGCTACTTTAGTCGGCTCCAATAATTTTTGCACCAGCTCTGAGTGTGATCAGTGCGCTGTAATGAATTAGCGCCTGTGAGCCGGAGGCCAGCAGTTGTGAGACGGCCCAAAGCAGCATCTATATCGGATTGCGCCACATTGGGGGTGCGAGACAGAAGCCAAACCGTTGTCTGCACTGAGAAACCAAGGGGGGTCAGAGAGTGACAAAAATGATGCGAATAGGCACTACAATCGACGTACCTTGCCCTGATAGCAGGTATAAACGGTGGCAAGGCTGTAGCCACTGGACGCGTCTCCTTGCAAGTCAGTGATAATGTAGTTGGGCTCTTTTGACTTCTTACCATAGAATATCACGAACAGTTTGCCAGCCTGCAAGCAAGAGGGCACATCGTTTATGGAAATGGACAAACACCATATAATCGCTGTATAATTTTCTGGATGTGACAAAGAATATGAAGCACTTTCAGTTGAGGGGATGGAAAGATGGCAGCAGTGCTCACATTGGTCTTGCTCTGGATGGCTTTGGCGCGTGGAAAGCCGCCCTGACCCACGCGGGAGAAGGGGGAGGGCACCATGGAGAGCACAACGGGAACCATGGCGGTGGCGAGCCTGCTTATGCTGCTGGATGCGAATAGCAGCCTCGTGTTTCGCACAAATGACTGAAGCTGCACTCACCACAATGCACACAGGGACACAGCAATGGAGGCAGCACATCCAAGGCAAGTCAGGGACCGATGGAGAAGCATACAGACAAAGTAAGTTATTCGCAGTTAAGTCAGAAAAGAACAAAACAGGAAACTAGCACGTACCCCATTGGCAGCAGTCTTGGCATCCTGTCCGCCCAAGGACTGCACCACTCCGCTGAGCTGCTTCGCTGCGGTCCTCCCAGTAAACCCCGCCTGGAAGATCCGCCCAGCAGCGCCCTGGATGTTGGAGATGGACTTGAGCATCTTGCCCTTGGCGCCGCTGTATTCCTTGGGATTCGGCCGCTCATTCATCGCACTCATCGCCGTCTGGAAATCCCTTGCGGCGTTGTCAATAATTTCCGCGTCGGACGACACCGAGGCGAGAGATGCTGCAAGCTCATTGGCTGCCGCGAGCGGGCCTGAGGTTGTGCCGACACTGGTTGTGGCGGCGTCCGCAGAGGCGTTGGCGGTGAGGAGGGCCTGCACCTGCACGCTCGCTTTGGCTGCGTTGTATGCGACTCGGCAGACAATTCCGAGGTTGGTGGCTATGCGGCCGGCGTTCGTCGAGGACAGTAGAACCTGTGCTTGCCGCGCGAAGGCAATGCTGCGCTTGCCACGATTGAGCACCCTGTGGAACGGGCGGAGGGTTGAGACGGGGGGAAGCATGGGGAGACGGGGGGTGGGATGGAGACGGAAAAAGGTGGAGTAAGGACGGAGCGAGGGTATGGAGTTTCAGCCTTGTACTGAATGGACGAGAAGGGGTATTGTGGGCGAAGAAGTGACGACAATCGTTGCAGTGATGCTACCGCGAGCACAACACAAAAGCTGTGACAGTTCAAATCGTATCGGTTTTTGGTGCGTCCTGTAGGTTTTCCTGAGTCATGCACCAGAGGTGAGTTTGGGCACAACCCACAACTTTAGCTCGCTCGCGGCTCACTTACTTGATTCGCTTCTGCCCGTTGACCTGCCCGTTGGGCGTGTAATCCGCCGTGGTGCACGCGAGCCCCACCTCCCTCTCGTAGTGGAACCGCGCCGTCAACGCCACCTCGTACCACCGACCCTGCCGCACCACAGCAAGTCACGGCGAGCAGATAAAGTGATAGCGGATCAGGGCGAGAGGTCGCGGCGTCGTGGGAAGTCATGACGTTGATTGGAAGGCGAATAGCTATGATGAGGGGAGCAAAGTGCGTGACTGCTGTTAGTACGAGGAGGGCGCGATCGGGCGCTGCGAGGATTCCTCGCCAAGGCCCAGATGTCGGGCCATGATTATGATGAGCGGCGCGAAGCGACGCGTCGACATCGCTGAGAAGGGAGAAGTCAAGAGATGGGCCGTTCCTGGCAGGGCGAGTGTCAGTGGGGTAGCCACGTACGTGGCCACAAACCAAACCAGCAACGTCAAAGTCACTGTTTCGAGTAGTGAACTTGACGCAATTTTTCATGTCGCGAGACTGGATGCGCATATGCACGCTGGTCACTTTGTGTATAGAAAGCCGCAGTCAAAAACACTCTTTGTCTCTGTCAAGTGCCACCGAAGCGATGAACCTTGACTTGAAAACACCAGGGATTTTGAGTGATTGAAGTGACTTATCAATAACCTTCACGCATAGACATCGCGAAAGTTATCAGGCGACTGCTTCCTGTACGTCTTGTCCACATCAGTCCTCCGCGGTGGCCTGATGGTCGGGCCAGCGCCAAACCGTCGCGGAGGCCCAACTCAGACGCGCCGCGCGCCGCTTACACGAGCAAATGTCGGTTGATCCATGCGAAAAAACGCACAATACTTATAGTAAGAGGTTACACATACCGTGTAAGCCGAGATGTCAACGGTGTCGAAGGACGCGAGCTTGGGGCATTTGAAGGCATCAAGATAGTCGGCGCAGAACGACGCGGAGGCGGGTGATAGCGCAGAAAGCGCGAGGAGCAGCGTAACAGCCGCCGTAACTTGCGCCAGCCTGCGAGCAGCCATCGTTCGACAGCCTTACAGTCAGCTCAGAACTTGTAGGCGTGACCGACGCGTCTGGTAGTCTAGTCGGAAAGTCGGCACTCAGTGTCAATAGCTGGATAACTATCAATCACAAATCACTGGTAGGGAGGTGCTTTGGGGTGGTGTGTTGTGCGGTGAGAGGAAATGTAAAGCGACGAGTGTTTCAACCTTGCTCACACTACAGTGTCCGCGCTACATTTCCTGTGCTATTCAGTTCACCTACCCGCACCGCATGTCTGAATTTCGCCCAGCATTCACTAGTGCGTGAGTTCGGTTGGGAGGGACTTGTCATTGGCTAATTGTGTGCTGATGTGGAGTTGCCCCCTTTTTGTAGGCGTCTGGCGTGTGATGACGACCACGAACCAATTCCACCGCTCCTACGCGCGCTTCGCCTTCTTGGGACCCGCCGTAAGGCGATGCGGAATTGGTGGCTGGCGATACTGTAGTGAATGATCGAATCGAGGTCCAAGCAGAGTGCACTGGGCTGGAGTCTGCTCTATGGAGGAGGGGAGCACACACAAGCACGCTGCGCCACGAATTTCCAGCTGGTAATGTTCCGCAGTGACGAAACATGTCTTCGTTCGAAGCTCGGAAGCGCGTCAAACTTCGACCACAATCTAGATCGCTGCAAGCACCGTCAAAACTGTGTTGAAAGGAGCTAATTCTCGTTGTGAGCGAAAATAGAGCAGTAACAGTGCGCCAGAAGCGCTGTAGCTGCGCTGGGAGTGAAGAAGTTCAGTAACAGTGCGTGCTCAACTCAAAACCCCAAATGTACTCGAGGAACTGTTGACGGGGATTACTGTGGATTTCACAACGTGTAGTGGGAAGGACTCAACTACAATCTGGGGCTCAAACGATACATTAGGCTCTCAGGATAAATACGGTAACAGCAAGCAAGTGTACCAATATAACATTATCTCAATGTGCTCCAATATTTGGTGCACCAACTTGTACTCTGGTCAGTGAGTAAGAATGCGTTGGCACCAGTTAGCCGTACTCCAGCATCAGTAACACGCGCCAATGCAGCATCTATCTCCGACTGCGGGATTGTAGGTGTGCGAGACAGAAGCCAGATTGTGGCCTGCAATGGTAACGAGGAGGAGGTTAGTATGGTACAAAACAATTAATATAAAACATCAACAAGGAAAAGAGAAAAATGAGCCTACCTCGCCTCCACTTGTATCAACCACAGTTGCTTGTGTGTACTGCCCCGCCGATGGATCTCCTTGCACGTTAAACACCAAGTAGTTGGGCTTTGATGGCGCCGGGCCAAAGAATGTCACAGAGAGCCGGCCCGCCTGCATCACCAGAGGAACCAAAAAAGTGTGAGTCCAAAGGGGATTTAGTGTGTGAGCCAGCACAACTCTGCAAGGACAAGGCAAGCCTGGAGCAAGCTTACATTCTTCTTGCTTTGCAAGGCCTTGCCACGAACAAAGCCTTGTGAAAGGCTTCTGAGAGGCGACGGCACCATGGCAACCGTGGGAGCGACCATGACTGTGGCGAGCCGCACAATGCTGGTGGCAGCAAACATTATCCTCGTGTTTCCCACCAGCGACCCCAGCTGCACATGCCACATACACAGGTATAACGCACAACGCACACACAACACAAAGGACGCGTGAGCAAAGAAAGATTCTTGCTGGAGGCACTAGGACGGCTTGGCAGAAGGTACACCTATGCTGATCCCAAGGACTGGATTCAGAACCCACGTACCCCGTTTGCAGCGGTCTCTTCACCCTGCCCACCCATGGCTCTCAGCGCTCTAGACAACCCCTGCGCCGCAGTCTTCCCTGTAAACGCCGCTTGAAGGATTCGACCCGCCGCGCCCTGGATGTTGGAGATGGATTTGAGCATCTTGCTTCTTGAGGCGCTAAACCCCTTGGCCTGCCCGCGTTTATTCAGCTTATCGGCCTCCGTCTGAAAATCCCTCAGTGCGTTGTTGATCATCTCGGCGTCAGACGACACCGATGTAGCGAATGCGGCGAGTTTATCGGCCGCAGCGAGGGATTCAACGCTGCTGTTCGTGGCGGTGTTTGAAGAGAGGAGGGTCTGTGCTTGAGCGCTTGCTGTGGTGGCGGTATTGGTGACTCCACAGACAATCCTGAGATTTCTGGCGATGCGGTTGGCGTTTAACGAGGTGGTAAAGATCTGCGAGCGACGCGGGAGAGCAACGCTGCGCATGCCGCGGTTGACCACCCTGAAAGATGGGCGCGGAAGGACAACGCAGGGAGGACGGAACGGAGAAAGAGTAAAGGAGAGGGCGGGGGGGGAGTAACACAGGACAAAAACAGATGCTTCAAATCGGAGCCACAATGGCGTGACTATGCGGCAGTCAGAGGCAAAGCTTGCACTTTTGACTGATCCACGTTATTCAAGCGGGTAGCGCGACGCGCATGGCACCAAGGACTCACTTGACTTTGTTGCGGCCGCTGGGCGTGACACCCTTGGCTGTGTAGTTGGCCGTGGTGCACGTCAGCCCTAGCTCGAACGTGAACCGGAAACTCGCAGTCGACCCGATCTCGTACCACCGGCCCTGCCGACGATTAGTCAACAACGAGGATGGAGGGTTGGCGAGATTGGCGAGGCGCACACCGATGGGGGGAAATCAAGGAGAGGGTGGGTCAAGAACGATTACGAGGCGGCGGGTCCCGGGAGCAGCGATTAAGGGGAAGAGGGGAAGTGTGAGAGCCCGCATTTGTAGGCGTGAAATTCGTCTCCTATACCAAGGCGGGGGACCGACCCGGGTACGGGAAGGGTGTGATTGCGCAGCTGCGACTGCGCATTGCGTGGCGTGAACGCGACGGTCGCTCAAATCGCAGCCGAGCCGACCGGGAAGGGGTGTTAATCGGCTGTGAGTTAGGACTTTCACTCGCAAGCGTGCGTTTCACAGTGCGTTATGTTGAAGTGACTTTCAATGGCGAGCGTGCGGTTAAACGTACCGTGTACGCGGTGAGGACGATGTCATCCACGGATGCGAGGTCGGGCGATTTGAAGGCCTTCACGTAGTCGGCGCAGAACGACGCCGCGACGGGCCGCGAACACGCCGCGGACAGCGCGAGAACCAGCGCGACTACCGCCGCGACTTGCGCTGAGCTGCTAGGGACTATGGAGGTAAAGGGCCGCGCGGCCATCATGTGCGCCCGAGGATCGCTGTGAGCTACCTGTCTAATCAACCAGCAGTAAGCTTATAACTTATAATGCTACGCGGAAACGCGAATGGTCTAGCTCACCGTGACAAGCGCAAGGGCAGTGAAGGGCGACTGCGTCAACCAAGAACAATTCTCAATGGGCCTTTTACTGCTAACACCGCTCCTCGTAGTCGTAGTAGTACTACTAACGCTCCAAATTAGTGGTAGTGAGGGTGGCAATGGCTGCCAGCTGGTTTATGAATCATGAACGCAATGAGGCTACGGCTGAGCTCCGCCTGAGGTCAGGATGTGGTGGTGGTGGCGTGAAGGGACGCGCCACGTCATATCCTCCTCGCTCACACCGTCTTTCACCGCTTCGGTGCGCGCGTTTTCAAAACCACACAGAGTGGCGTTTTCAAGACCACCGCTCGGTTCTCTCGCCGATGTTGAGGTTCCCATCCCATCCCACTGCACCTGCACGACTTCCGTGAGTCGTCGTGAGTCGTGACAGGCACTGTCGTCGATAAAACCTGGTTGGAACCATTTCTGCGATGTTTCCTCACTGACGTAATAATTCAAGTTTAGGGTATGGGCCCAATCGAGTTTGATCGCGATTGTTCTGATCGGGTCGGATCTGATCAGATTGCTTGTGATCGTAGTGCCCGAGCCGCCCGATCAGAAATGTTTTTCGAAGAAGATTTTGTGCGCCTGCGGAGCAAGCGCTATACATTTACGTCGCAGTTTCGTCCCCATTCTAGCGAGATTGGGGACTACACGTCACCTGGCGAAAGTTTTATTTTCCCTGTAATTTTAACAGTGTAACTGCTCGCAAGCGTCGTTGTGGGCCCCGATCACATGCAATCAGGTGATCGCCTGTGATCGAGGAAAATCGACTTTGATCGGGGTGAAATCGGGTCTGATTGAGTTGAGACGATCAGCTGATCGTAATCAGCTGATTGCCCCTGATTGCATAAAATTGGCTTCCAGGCTTCCTAGAAATTATCAATCGCATGTGATCGAGGCGATCAATCTCGTTTTGGACCACGCCCTTATAGAACCACGCGCGGCCACTGAACTACGTGCGCCTCGCAACAGTGAAGCGCGCTAGCTTCTGCCTACGCGAAGCTGAGCCACAAGAGAAGCGAGTGGCGAGGGAGGGTGAGGGATTGACCAGGTTGAACAGTGGGATAATAGAGGATTTCACCCAGTGCTTTACAGTTCCGTATTTTAGTTAGATAGAACCGTTTACCCGACACTCCAGCTTGTATCAGTGGAGGCGCGTTGTTGTGGGTCGGGCATCCACAGGTAACTGCGAGAAAACTGCTCTCACCTCAATTCTAAGCTTTGAGTTGCTGAATGTTTCGGCGGAAAAAGTCTACCGCACACTACACCTTTGCAAGATCCAGTACCTTCTTGGATAGGCAGAACCGTCCCCAGTTTGCATTGCAATTTGCAACTCAGTTCAGGTCCTGCATTGCGTTGTGTCCGTGTACCGTTGGGTACCAGTACAGTATGACCGTGGAATATATTGTGTTCAAAATCGCAACCAGATTCATGATGCGTGGCTCGCCTATCAAGAGCAGTTTCCGTGCACAATCGATGGTGACAATGTGCTGACGTGGGCTGTTGTAGACCGTAAAGTGTAATGTCTGCTAGGCTGACAAATAGACTTGGTAAAAGCTTGGTCTCGTTAAATACAAGAAGGCAGATATTCATGTTTACTGAATGTGCACGCAAGCTACGGTATACCAAACACGACGATTTCGCTTTTATCATCAGCACTGACGCCTTGTTGAACATACTCACAGTCCAGCGTTGGGAGACACAATCAAAACGTAATCCCAGCCCCTGAAATTTGTAATCAAGCCCTAGCATGCACAAAGTAGAAATCGCGGCGCGTATCTCCAATGTGCATTTGACATCACCGCGCACATGCTGCCGCCAACATCACGACACTGTGCCTTTTTGGCAAGAACGAGGTGCAGACGCCATCGTCCATCTACGCCCCTTTGCCACCCCGCACCCTCAGCCCACATCAGTACATGAGCCCATCTCTGCTCACCCACCTGAACCCCCCGTCTTCGTGAGTCTTGTGAGGATAGAACCTCTCGCCGCGGTTCACGTTCTGCGTCTGATTATATCACGCGGTTTGCACATCCATTGTCACTTCTCCACTGTCCGCTGTCAACCGTAGTAGCTACTTCGAGCACGTCCAGCCACCTTAAAGAGTTCAAATCTGTTGCCCGGCTCGTCTTCCCAGAATTAGTGGTCAAGCATGGGAACTTTCGAGGGCCATCTGCTTCCCGGGGCCGCCTTCCTCCTGTTCGGCTCATGGCAGGAGTTCAACGTCCTGCGAGCCTTCTTCAAGCACCCTGGCAGCTTCCAGTCTCACGCATGGTTCCCTACCGCCACCACAGGCGTCTGGCGCTACATGGAGCTAATCTTCATTGCACTTGGAGCTACAGCATCAATACTCATGTCAGTTGCGTGTGTTTAACAACACACAACCTGCTATGGTTTTCCTAATTCTTTAATACATCTCCTAATTTCTATTTGATTTGCTATGATGTGCAATTCCGGTGCACAGGGAGCTCGTGCTCACTCAGCCGCATTTCACCCCACTTGACAAGCACCACGTGATCCTGCTGGACGCATTCAACAACCTGGAGCACGCCGCCATCTCCCTCTTCTTCCTCCTCTATGCTCTCACATGCCTGCTCTGCGACCTACTTCCGAACCTCCCGCCGTACCTGCCGTACCTAGTGGGCGCCTCGGCTCTTGCTCAGGAGTTTCTGCTCTTTCACTTCCATTCCGCGGATCACATGGGCTTGGAAGGCCACTACCACATGCTGCTGAGGATCCCTATTGGCATCGGGGCTATTTGTGCAGCGCTTGAGATCGCACACCCCACATCCTTCATGCTCTCTCTTGTACGCGCGATGAGCTTCCAGCTGCAAGGCGGGGTGTTTATCCAAATCGCCCTGTGCATCTGGGTGCCCTCACTGGTGCCCCTTCACTGCGTGCGCAATGCGGTTACCAACACAGTTACGTGCGAAAGCGAGGTGTGGCACAGCAGGGCGAAAGCACTCGCCACTCTGCAGTTCACATGGTGGAGTGCAGCTGTTGTGGTGAGCACACTGATTGCCACTATCGTCGCCAGCCAAGCCTTCCAAGACCCTTTGGAAGAGGTGTACGCAGGTGTTGGGAGGGAACGCGAGGTGGAGATCCCAAGAGACGTCGAAATGGAAGACTCTAGACACCTGTTAGACACTCCCTTCTCCGAAGAGGAGGCTCTGAAGGGAGAAGAATCGTTCCAAGGGGCTGTGAAGAGGTGTGGTTGGATGAGATACAGTGGCTCAGCTAGGAGTCACTGTAACCCTGGCACTCCTGGCACTCACCTGAATGGGTCGCTGTAGAATGATAGCATACACTCAGTTGCACATGGATGCCTGATTTGGAGCTCAATCCCTAGTGAAGTGACCACTGAGACTGCAGGAGGGAGTAACGCCCCTTCTGTGTTGCGGTATGATATTAGGATCGAAACCGTAGTAAGAGCAGTATGGGTTTTGTTCTGTTTGAATAAAGCTTGTGGTATCCATTGGAGAGGTGTGAAATAAATACATAGCCGGAGGTCCCAGAGATGCGAGAACTGGAGCAGTGCAGCTGTGTGTGGAATCAGAAGACCTTGGAGAGCCAGCCCCTGGTGGTGATTGAACACACATGTGACAATATGGAGCGAATGAATAGTGAGGTGGGAGAAGAGATGAGACACAGGCACATCACAAGCGAGAGAGGGGTGAGAAAGTCGAGAGTCATGGAGGGGCAAATGAGCAGTGAGAATGACCGAAGAGCGAGGATGTGAGGGCGTGCATGTGGCATGTAGCATGTGCATGGATGTGCAGTGAGAGGAGGGCTGCTCACCAGATGCCTTCTGGTTGTGTCTCTGACCTTGGCCTGCCATCCACCATGCACCATGCACCACCATGCACCACCATGCACCATGCACCACCCAGCATGTAACATGCAAGATGCCCCATACTCCATGCATACACCGTGCCCCATTGCCATGCACCATGCAGCATACACCACGCAGCATGAAGAAGACACCATGCATTATGCAGCATGCATCACACCACATCACAACCACGGAGAAACACCAGACAGATGCAAAGGTGACAAAGCAGGGATGGAATCAAAGGAGCAGCAGGGAAGGATCATGCACGAGGTTGCTGGACATGATCGCACTCATCAGCATGCATGCTGTTGAATTCTTCTCCCCACCCCCATCTCTTCCCTTACTTTTTCCCATCCCCCTGTCTTCCCCATTGTCCCTGTTTCTTTTCCCCAACCCCACCCGTCACCATCTCCCCTCTGCCTGCTCACGTCTTGCCAGCGAAGGAGTCGCTGATGTCAGCGGAGGTGGGCAGCGAGGGCAGCGAGGCCATGAGGTCGTACCGCTCCACGCCGAAGGATATGTCCACACGCTTGTACACCTCATAGGGGGCTGGGTAGCGCATCCTGGGGGGTGAGAAGGGGGGAGGCAGGCGTGCTCTAAGTCACTGAAAGCATCTAAGGAGGTCGTAACACTCCACGTGTTTGAAGAAGTGTTTTGAGACGTCTCAATCCACGCCACCTGACACATGACACATCCACTCCACCCGCGTCTGCACCTCAAAAGGAGACGGGTAGCGATCCTGGGGGCGCAAGGGGAGATGGCAGGGTGGCAGGGAGCGGTGGTGGCAGGCGTGCTTGAAGTCACTCATAGCAGGCCGTCAGGTCGTATTGCTCCACTCCGAATGACACGTCCACACGCTTGTACACCTCAAAGGGGGCCGGGTAGCGCATACTGTGGGGTGAGAAGGGAAGGCGTCAGGGTGTGATGCGAAATAATTTCCAGAGTGGTTGTTTTTGGGTTTAAAAGATGCCATGAGGTCGTATCTCTCCACTCCAAGTGGCACGTCCACTCGCTTGTATACCTCAAAGGGAGATGGGTAGCACAGCCTGTGGGGTGAGAAGGGGAAGATGGGGTACGGTGTGCCGGAGAGGTGGAGCAGGCGGATGAGACAAGGTTGCGGAGGACGATGGGTTGATACATGTTGTCCCACAGGTGGGGTTCACACAGAAGGACTCAAAGAGCACTCTTCCCAGCTACCTGAGGGCGCCGAGAATGGGATACTGTGTGCCGGAGAGGTAGAGCAGGCGCATGAGGTAGCAGAGCTCGAATGTGTCGGTGAATGCCACCCGCTCTGCCCGCCCCGCCACCTGCATCACCCCTGCTGCACTCGGTAGGTCCTGGTGGCGCCATGGGAGGGCGTGCATGGGAAAGAGGGTGGGAGAGCGTGAGGGAGGATGTGCGGAATGATGGCAGTGAGGCGCTTGAGGAAGGGTGCAAGGGAGGATACGTGTGACAGCTCAGCAACATGGCAGCAGGGCAGCAGGCGGCAGGGCTAGAGGGCAGCACGTGAGACCTTGAGGCGCGGGTTGAGGATGATGACAGGCCGCGGTGCTGCTACCTCCACCATGGCTTGCAGATCCTGAGCGCAGGGCGCACGGGATGGGCGCACGGGATGGGCGCACATGGGAGGGCGCGTGGTGGTGAGTGGATGAGGGACAGCAAGGGGAGCAGCCGAATGGAAATGCCTCAACCTGAGGCGACTGATTCGTGTTTCCATTAGAGCGGATGTCACTCATACCAGCAGTGACGTGACTCACATCCAGGATGCAGTTGCCGACCGCATTCTGAGGAGCCATGATGATCACCACGTCATCCTCTGGTGCCACCTCAGCAGCTCCTGATTGGTGCATGATGCGCACAAGGAGCATGTAGGCACAGCAAGGAGCAGGAGAGCAAAACAAGAATATGAGCACACGGAGCATCAGTGGACACGGGTCGTGAATGCACATGGAGGAATGCACATGGAGGAATGCGGAATGCACTCTCAATGCTCCCACGCAGCCATCCACACTGATTGGCTCCCACCCCCAACGCACCCACGGAGCCGAGTACAATTCTCTCGTTGAGCTCGTCCCCCACCCATGACCCACAGCAGCCTGCGCGTGCCACCCACCCTTGTACCTCCCCACCAACCCTTAATGCACCCACATACCGAGTCACCTGCCTTCAGCTCACCAACAGAGCCCAGTACAATCTTCTCGTTGAGCTCCTCTCCCCAGTCCATGGCTTCCAGCAGCCTGCGCGTGCCCGCCAGCTGCAACGGCATGCCCGCGAATATGCCCGACCCCATGCTGCCCTGCACACACACCTGGGGGGGGTGAGCAGGGGGGAGGGCAAAAGGAGCAGGGGCATATGCAGAGGCAGGCAGAGGGGAGTGTGAGGCCTGTTCGTGAATATGCCCGACCCCATGCTGCCCTGCACACACACCTGGTGGGGTTGGCAAGGAGGGAAGGGAGGGAGAGAGGGAAGGGGACAGCAGCAAGGGCATAGACAGGCATGGAATGGGCACGTGCGGTGGCAGGCAGAGGGGCAGGGGCAGGGGCATGTGAGGCATGGAGTGGGGATAGTGAGGGCTACAGGCAGTTAGAGAGGCGAGAGGGAGGTGAGCATTGCACAGCGCCTTGCCACATGCAGGAGGAACGTGGATGAGGAAGGCCGGATTGGAGGAATAGGCAGTGAGGAAAAATGAAGTGAGGTGGCTCCAAGGAGAAGGTAAGCGTAGACAGACGTTTCACTCACTGCCCTTCTCTCCTCACCATCACGCCTGCATTCCCTTCCCACTCTCCACCCTTTATTCCCCCTTTGATCTGCAGAACGCCCCCCTTCACATCCACTCCCCCTTCAACCGCACACCTCGTCCCTTGACTGCCCCCACCTTGATGCGCTTGCCCGTGCGTGCAAAGGCGCATGCTAGCTCCCTCATGACCTCCACCCTTCCGCTCCCCCTTCAGCCCCACCCCTCCTCCCTTCACGCCCCTCACCTCCCCACCACCCCCATCACCCCCATCACCCCCATCACCCCCACCACCCCCATCACCCCCACCACCCCCATCACCCCCACCACCCCCATCACCCCCACCACCCCCATCACCCCCACCACCCCCATCACCCCCATCACCCCCATCACCCCCATCACCCCCACCACCCCCACCACCCCCATCACCCCCATCACCCCCATCACCCCCATCACCCCCATCACCCCCATCACCCCCATCACCCCCATCACCCCCATCACCCCCATCACCCCCACCACCCCCACCACCCCCATCACCCCCATCACCCCCATCACCCCCATCACCCCCATCACCCCCATCACCCCCATCACCCCCATCACCCCCATCACCCCCATCACCCCCATCACCCCCATCACCCCCATCACCCGTCGCTTGACTGGCCTCACCTTAACGCGCTTGCCCTTGCGTGCAAAGGTGAACGCCAGCTCCCTCATGAGCTCCAGCAGCGTGCCAATGCGGTACACGTCCTGATTGGCAGGCAGGACACAATAGGCACGCAGGCAGGCAGGGCACCGCACGGGGAAGGACAGGCGGGGGTATTGAATAACACACACGCAGGGTGGCAGAGGGCAGAGTGAGCCAAGAAGGGGGGCAAGGGGCAGAGGGGCATTAAAGAAAACTGAACTGAACAGTCAGTGTGGTACATGTTCTGCTGAGTGGCGTGGCACATGGGGTGGGAGCGGCAGAGTGAGTGATCGACTGGGCTACAGTGTGCGATGCAGTGCAGGGAGTGTGGGGTGAGTAGGTTGGAGTGGAGAACGGTGCGGGGGAAGGAGGGGTTGAGAGAAGTAGAGGCCAGAAATGGGGCGAGAAAAGAGGAGGGGATGGAGGGTGAGGGCTTGGAAATAATGAGACGGGGGAGAGGGATTGGAAGGGAGGAAATCTGGTGAAACGCATTACGTATGGCACACGACGTATGGGATAGGAATGTAAAGAAAGGGTTGAGAAGTAAGGGACGATTGACCGTGCAAGGGTTGAGAAAAGGGCTGACCATTTGAGGGTTGAGCTCTGGGATTAGACACTCCAGCTGATGGATGGGCGAGAACACACATGCACACACACCGCACACACACACATTGTACACTCACACAGCGCACACACACACATTGTACACTCACACACAGCACACACACACATTGTACACTCACACAGCGCACACACAGGCACAGAGTGCCCGCACCTCCCACCCTCATATGCACCCCATCATCACAAGCACACACCCACATGCCACAGCATGGTATGGCCATTCAGTCATACAACGAGCCACACACCACATACCCATCCATGGCACATGCAGGATGACAGGGCAAGAGCACAGGGGGGTGGAATGGGGTTGGCAATCCGTAAATCATCACAGTAGCCCTTCCATGCACTATTCTATCGCTGCACGTTGTATTGCCATCAGAATAGGGCCAACACATGCTATACCAAGAGAAATGCCAGATGCCAGCCATGCCATGCACTGCCCCCCCGCCCCGCCTTGATCCTCTGTTTCCCAGCAGCCACGGCGTTAACAGCAGCAGGACAGGCATCGTCATAGAAGTACTGCCGAATTTCCCACCTGTGAGGCACCTCAAAGCCCATGCACTAGCCACTTATCCCACCTTGATGCGCTGTTTCCCGGCTGCGACGGCGTTGACGGCAGCGGAGCAGGCGTCATCATAAAAGTACTGCCGAATCTCCCGGCTGTGAGGGATGTCGTTCAGCCGCGTTGGCATGCCCCTCCACGTGCCCTCTTCCGCTGCTGCTGGTGCCCCCTCCTGCTGCATGCACAGGCGCACAAGTGCACGGGGGCACGGGGGGAGGGGACACACAACGTTCAAGCAGAGGCGGGAGAGAGGCAAGGGAGGAGCGCAGGTGGAATGAGTAAAAAGGGACGGGTGCAACAGGGTGGGAACGGTTTTGTGGTCCCTGATTGGCCAGAGGAGCGGCAGACAGAGAGTGAGAACGGTTTTGTGGACTGTGGGGAGAGGCACGAGGATGCTTCGTTGGTGACCCCACCTTGTCTGCCCTGGCCTTGTCCAGAGCGCTGCTGATGTCAGCAAACACCTCGTGCTTGCCTCGATGCCCGTTCACCTGCATTCGATGAGGAAAGGGCGACGAGGGTAGGGGAAGTGGGAAAGAGGAAGAGGGTAGAGGGAAGAGGGGCAGGGGAAAGGGGGTAGAGGGGAGATGACAGGGTGAAATGGATCTGGGAGACAGGGGTAGGGGAGGAAGAGAATATGGGCAGGATGAAGAGAATATGGGCAGGATGAAGAGAATATGGGCAGGATGAAGAGAATATGGGCAGGATGAAGAGAATATGGGCAGGATGAAGAGAATATGGGCAGGATGAAGAGGATTTGGGAGGAAGGGTTGATCCAGCCCAACACGTTCCATGTCACCCACTCATGACAACCCACCCTCCTCCATCCATTTTCCCTCCCCCCAGCTGACACACAGACGTACCTCCACCAATTTCTCCCTGTATGCATTCACCACATGCGTCACGTGCTGCTTGTATACCTCCACCCGCGCTAGCGCCTGTGTAGTAGTGAGAGGAAGGGGGCGGTGAAAAACAAGAGGTGCAAAGACGTTAGGCAACAAAGCGAGCGTGAGAGGCAGGAAGGCGTGTGAAGGTATTTGAAAAGGTGGAGAAAGGTGTGAGTGAGTGTTGAGTAGGTGCTGTGCAAGCAAGCAATGCTACCTTGTACCTTCTCCTCCGTGTCGTCAGACCGCTGGATGAGCCGCGCTCGAACCTCCTCGCTCTCGGGAGGGGAGAAGGTGAGGTGGTAGATGCGGTTGGTGTGCGGGTCCAGCCTGCGCCCCACCACCCTCTCCACCAGAATGCTGTCCGGCACCTGTGGAGACACGCGGCAGTAGGGAGGCAATGCCACCAAAGCAAAACACTTTCAGTTATATGAATGACGTCGATCACCATCCCACCACCCTGGGCGCACACACTGGATTCACGCACGGCGCTCCTGCAGTGACGTCCAGAACCACCCCTTTCGTCCATGAGCCCCTGTGCCTTGTGAGTCGCCTCGGAATTCGGCCTCACTCACGAATAAATAGTAAGCCCACAGCCCCAACGCACCTGCAGCAGCAGGAAGACGTCTGGCACCACCCCAGCATCCATGAGCGCCTGTGCCTGTGCGGGCGAGCGCGGAAAGCCGTCCAGCAGCCACCCCTTGGTCCGCGCGTCCGGCTGGGATAGACGCGCCTGCACCATCTGTGAAGGAGAGGGAGAGGGGGCGATGGGAGTGAGATGAGACTGAGACATGACAGTGAATTTCCAAGGCAGGGCGAGGAGAGTGCGAGATTTGAATGATAGTGGGAGAGACAGGGTGCTATGGAGTCGAAGATGGGGAGCTATGGGGCGCTATGAGAGTGGGGGACATACAGGACCGTCATCTACCCCAACCAATGCAACCTGGCCGACCACACAGCCCTTCCCTTGCAGCCAGCTTCACACCACCTCGTGAGAGCTTTCTGAGAATTCTCCTCAACAATCTCATCCCATCCCCACTCATGCTGATGATGAGGTCGTCCGGCACGAGCTGCCCCGCGTCCATGAACGCCTTGGCAGCACTCCTCCCGCTCGTCATGCCCCGAGCGACCTCGTGAGGGATTTCTGAGAAGCCTCAACAATCTCATCTCATCCCATCCCCACTCACGCTGATGACGAGGTCGTCAGGCACGAGCTGCCCCGCGTCCATGAACGCCTTGGCCTGCCTGCCGTTCTCCGTGTCGCGCGCCACCTCGTCCCGCAGCAGGTCGCCCGTTGATATGTGCGCCAAGCCGTACTGGTGGCCACGAGGGGTGGAAGGAGCGGCGGAAGGAGGGGTGAAAGGCGGTAAGGAGGCGGGAGTCAGGAGAAACGAGATAGGCGTGTCATAGCACAGTCAACCCCCAGCAGGTCGCTCGTTGAGATGTGCGCCCAGCCGTACTGGCGGCCACGAGGGGTGAAAGAAGAATGGATGGAAGGAGGGGTGGAAGGCGATAAGGAGGCGGGAACGAGGAGTAATGAGACAGGCGTGCTTCAGCGCAATCAACCCGCAGCAGGTCGACCGTTGAGATGTGCACCAAACCGTACTGATGGCGAGGGGGTCGGAGGCGATAAGGAGGCAGAAACGAGGAGAATGAGACAGGAGAGTTGCCAGAGAGTTAACCTGCAGCAGGTCGCCCGTTGAGATTTGCGCCAAACCGTACTGGCGGCCACGAGGGGGTGTGAGCTGACAGAAAGGAGCACATTGCACCTCTAGAAACAAGCACCTTGTCTGACCCCAGTTCCTCATGGGGACATGCACCAGGCAGTAGTGGCGGTGAGGGCCCAAGGGAACAGCGCTGCAAGAAGCAAATGGGATGAAACAGCGGGGGTGACTGAACAACAGGCAGGCATGACGCTGTCAGCAGTTATGATTGTCCCCGCAGCTCTGGTCCTTCCACCCCATTTCGGTGAAATCTGTTCTGTCGCATACCTTCCAATGCACGAACCTTCTTTACAATCTCCTCGCATTGTGTGCCTTTTCCCGATGCCGGAGCCCCCGATATAATCACACGCAGCACGGTCGATTCCTCCTCTACGGGTTCTGCTGTCTTTGTCGCGGATGACGCCGCAACCTGCGGGTTGGAAGATAACGGTGGGAAGGAGCCGAGGGGCAGGATGGAAAGAGGTGCATAGCGGAGCTGACTGCTATGGGAAGCAAGACGAGCGCACGCCGAACGACAATACACTTCCCACATTTTACTTAGTCGCGTGCATGTGAACATATGTAGCGCAAATATGGCACCTTCAGCGACCGCCATTGTCGTCGCTGCGCGGTCGCCTTTCCTCTACGAACGCACGAACGGCTGGCGTTGGTCGTCGCAACTCGCGGAGCAAATGCCACGCTCACTGACGTGGCATCGCGCGCGCGTTCCTGCTTGAACGCTGCGCGCAGCGGAACGGCGGAGCTGGCTTGCAGCGAGAGAGCCATTGGCGAGCAACCAGGAACCCTTGGAAACAGCCTGATGTTAGTCCTGATTCCTGCCTCGTCTACCAGCGGACTATCAGCGGCACTGGGAGTGCCGAGGTGTTGTAGTGAATATGGGGTGAAACCAGATGCATGCATGTGCCTCATCCATTCAAAAATTGTGCTCCTAACTGTGTGACTCGCTTTTCGTCTTTATCTCGATCAAACCAATTCTACAAACAATGATGCGAACTGTCGCAGCTACACCGCATATTCCCATACATTGTTCGCAGAAGCTTTCGTGGGCTGTCGCAACGTCAATCGCCAACTGTACTCGCAGGCAAGTGTGCCTGCTGAATCTTCATGCTCACGCTGGCTGCGCAAATCCCAAGGCTCCCTGGTGTAGTGGTCAAATTTGAGCATTTCATTTCAAATGTGGAGTGGAGATCAATCGAAACTCCTGAAATTTCTCTAGAAGCCTGAACCACACTCTGGAGCGTGGACTGGACATCCTCTGTCTACTCGTGCTTTGGGTCTACCTTTGTCACCTTCCGCGACACACGTTGCTCGACCTCCGCATTCGCCTGTTTCCACTTCGCGTATCTATCTTAGTGATTGGGGTTTCATCTTCTCTCGGCGTTGGTTCCTATCGTGAAGCTAACAGTTCGAGTTGAAGCGAGCAGCAGGTGGTGCCATGGAGGTGGTTCGAGTGAGCTTCGCGGATCTCAAGGTCTGTCATTAGCCAGTGTCGTGACGTCTCAGTTACGTCAGCCTCGCATTTACCACGCGATCAGATGACGGCAGCGCTCCGTCGTCGGTGGCACTAGAATGTCCCTGACGCACGCATCGCAGTTGCATCGCGTCGCTGACTCCCGTGTATAGTTCGTTCAAAAAGCATCAGCGAGAAAGCACTAGTAGTTGCGTGAGCTATCACCAGTAGTGACTCACCCCTCGTTTCTGCCCGTCCGTTGGATTACAACCAGGAAGGCAACGATCTCTCCTCTCAAATCGAAGCTGCTTTCGGGCCTGGAGGTCTGGGAATCATTGCTGTTTCCGATGTAAGAGAACATGCTGCGAGTAGAGATACGCTGCGAGCTACTGCCTTGAGTGCTGCGTTTCTTCGTTTTGTAAAAAGAAAGGAAAACAAGTCGGCTGAAGAGTAGCGTGGTCTGTTTTCAGGTTCCCGGCTATCCTGAGGCAAGGGAACGGCTTCTTCCGCTCGCATTAAGGTCTGTATACCTAATACCCAGCAGTGTCACATTGTTCCAACTCGTCCAAACCACACTTCAGCTGATTCCTGTGCGGGACTGTGCATCACTGTGTTGGTGCGTGCATGACCATGGGCGTGTGCACGTGTCCAGGCTTGGGGCGCTCCCAGAAGAGGCCAAGAGACGCATTGAGGACCCAAACAGCAAGTAAGTGCCGTGGCTAATCCTTCTCTTCAAACTCTCGTGTTTCGTGCCTGTTCATGTCAACTCACAACAATGTCGCATGCGCCTGATTCGACTGCACGCGTACGGTGCACGGCAGGTACAGCTTTGGATGGAGCGAGGGTAAGGAGTCGGTGGAGGCAGGCAGAAGGGACGCGCTCAAGGCGTCCTTCTATGCCAACCCGCTCACCGACACGCCCACCACCGATCCTGAGCTTATACGCAGGTGAGCAAAAGCAAGCCTGTTGTGAGGGTGCCAAGAAGGCACCTGCCCTGAATTTCGTTCATAGCTTTATCCACTAGTGCAACCCCACCTCATTCTTACATGCATGTCCATGTGCGCGAATGTGCATCTGCACTTGCATGTGCACCTACGTGTGCATGTGGAAGTTTGTCTGCACATGCACCATGTACTCATGTACATGCACCCATGCACATGCGCATACCCTGCACACAGGTTCCCCACCTACTGCCGCCCCAACGTGTGGCCCTCACAAGACCTTCCCGAGCTTGAACCAGGTGAGCTGGCCTCCAGCCACTCAGCTAGCTGCCTCCTGTGCATGTGATACTGACTCGTTATAGTCACATCATGACGCTGAATTGACTTCCACTCTTTCTTCTCCCTGCTCCGCTGTAATTGCCTCAGCCTTCAAGGCGCTGGGCCGGTTGATAGTGGACGTGGGCAAGCAGTTGCTGCAACATTGTGATGCCTACGGTGAGCCTTCAAACCACAACTATCTTGCATGAGTGGTTTTCCTTCCTTCCTTTCAAACGTCGGCATTTGAGCATTGTCAAGTGGAACCGTTCTTTCAGCCTGTCATCCCTCTCCACGCCACCACACCACCCCATGCCAGTGCACAGCAGGAACCCTCACGTGCCCTCAGGCAAGCTGCTACGAGTGGTGGAGCAGTCCCCCTGCCACAAGGCCCGCCTGCTGCTCTACCTGTCACCGCAGCAGCCCCCACCCGCACCGTCAGCAGCACAGGGAGAGAGAGAGGGAGAGGGAGAGGGCGAATTGCCTGCTGAGAGCAGCAGGGTATCAAGGGAGGAGGCAGTGGCGTGTGCAGGCAATGGGGGCAATGGGGGTGTGTCTGCTTCTGAGAGTCTAACGGCTGTGGCAGATGCGGACGTGTCGTCGTGGTGTGGCTGGCACCTGGATCATGGCTCCCTCACAGGCACGTGCTTGCGTTCTCTTCTCTCCGTGCATCTTCCCAAGTTGCGCTCCTGCTTGCTCCCACGCAAGTACCTCTCTTGTGCCGGCCTCATTCACTCACTCGCGCTCTCCCTCCCTCGATCACACACTCGCCCCTCCCTCACTCAGTCTCTTCCTCCCTGCCTGCTTGTATCTATGTCAGGCCTGACGAGGGCGCAGTTCTGGAGGGGAGGGGAGGCGGTGGAGGGCAGCGACCTGGACCCCTCGTGTGGCCTCTACATCCGAACCAGGGACGGGCAGATTGTGCAGGTGTGTGTTGCAAGAAGCAAGCACCATCCTTGTCTTGCAAGAAGCAAGCACCATCCTTGTCTTGCAAGAAGCAAGCACCATCCTTGTCTTGCAAGAAGCAAGCACCATCCTTGTCTTGCAAGAAGCAAGCACCATCCTTGTCTTGCAAGAAGCAAGCACCATCCTTGTCTTGCAAGAAGCAAGCACCATCCTTGTCTTGCAAGAAGCAAGCACCATCCTTGTCTTGCAAGAAGCAAGCACCATCCTTGTCTTGCAAGAAGCAAGCACCATCCTTGTCTTGCACGAAGCAAGCACCATCCGGTGGTTCTGTTGACATTCTCTTGTTGTCCATTCACCATCCTTGTCTTGATTCCATTTTGATTGCGGTGCCGATCATGCCTCATTACGTGTTCCATGCATCTTTGTGCATGCATGCATGTGTACCAGGCGCGTATACCAGAGGGGTGCATAGCGTTTCAAGTGGGTCACGCCATGTCCATCCAGTCGGGGGGGCTCCTAGCTGCCACGCCCCACTGTGTTGCGGTACCCTGCCTCTTCTCCCACATATCCCCTCTTCTCCCACATATCCCATCTTCACACTTGTATTCATTTCCGCCGTCCCTCATTCTGCTTCGTCCCGTTGCCTCCATCCCATCAGCTCTGTGCCGTTGCCATCCCAACCCATGTCACTCCAGTCCATGTTCGTCCTGCTAATGCCATATCCACCCCCACCTGTCTTATCATACTCAGCCGGCCCTTCCATGCCATTTCACCCACCCGTGCCATGCCATGCATGCACACAGGCACCCAAAGGGTCGGCATCATCAATAGGCGTTTCTCGCGCCACATTAGCAGTGTTCATGCAGGTACGTACTGTTCATGCAGGTACGTACTGTTCATGCAGGTACGTACTGTTCATGCAGGTACGTACTATTCATGCTGGTACGTACTGTTCATGCAGGTACGTACTGTTCATGCAGGTTCGTACTGTTCATGCAGGTTCGTACTGTTCATGCAGGTTCGTACTGTTCATGCAGGTTCGTACTGTTCATGCAGGTCCGTACTGTGTTCATGTGTGCCCGCACTTTCCATCCATGTGCAATGCCTAAGCTCATAGGGAGATGCTCTTAGCAATGCTCATGTAAGTCATGCAAGCAATCACCATGTGCTTGGTCCAGACGTTGCTGCTCCTGCCACCGCTCTCACCATCTCAAAGCTCTCACCACCTCCATTCCCGTTGTGCTTCCACTATGTTGCCCAATTCTCCTTCTCATCCCTTCTCCCGTGTTGCATCTCCACTCCCATGCCACCATCCCTCCCATGCACCATCGCTGCGCGAACCAATCACAATCGCCGTGCTGCCCTCGCCCGATCATCAGCCCTCATGGTACGTGTTGCTAGCATGCACTGTGCAGCATAGTCGGGGGCTCTGTGTCTCTCCCACCCAACCAACCCCTCACATGCTGACGCCTCTGTCAACATGGCTCAGGCAGGCACTACCATCAGCGGAACCATGCCATATGTTTGTTTGGATGTCTTCCACCTGCATTCCCCCCATGCTCTCCCAGTCATGCCATCCCTCACAGCTCCTGCTCACCCGCACACTCTCCTCTTGATCCATGTCTCCCACTCTCACTCACTCCCCGGTGTTCTCCCCACTTCTCCGCAACCCAGGAACGAGCCTCTCGACATGCCTCCCTGCTGCTCTCTTACACCAGAGGTGGGGCCCACCACTAGTCTGCTTGCACTCTCTCCTTTCTTATTGGCTCCTTTCTTATTGGCTCCTTTCTTGTTGGCTCCTTTCTTGTTGGCCATCTGTGTCAGACAAGCTTTATCACTAGCGCCGCATCACACCGCCCCTCACACCTCTCGCACTCTTCTCACTCTCACACCTCTCACCCTTCACACCTCTCAGCTCTCTCCCATGCATACCACTCCATTGCATTCCCTCCCTTTCATCACAATCCCTGCAGGAGTTGGTGCCATGGCAACCGGGCATGGACTTTGGAACCTTTTCAGAACGAACAATCAAGCAGTACTACTGAAGGGTGGGGCGGGGCTGCCCTGCCCTTGCTATGTGTTCAGAGATGTTCCAAAGGTTGCACCTCAGGCAGTGCTGCTGGCAAACTAATGGTGCCACTGCCCTTGCCATGCTATGCTGTGTACCCAACCATACCTGCAGAAAAGACTCAGCTTACAGATGGGCATCAGCTATTTGGCCTGGGACGTTTCAACCTGCAAATCAGAAGATCACTTACAAAATTGAAGGCACAATAATACACTCAATATTACAATAATAACCTACATAACCTAGGTAGCAACACATGAAATAAAGCATATCTTCCTGCAGGCTACTACTGCCCACGGAAGCACCTACCCTACAACATAAATGAAACGAATATAGCACCTACACCCTACAGCCAGCTACATTTCTACAGTCTAAACTCGTGGAGTAGAAGCGCCGCAACATGCGTCAGGAGCAACACGATCAGATCAGACGCACATGATGCTGCTGCCGCTACAATCCACACACGGCTCGGACTCTCGCCTTCACTGCCACTGCCTGTCAGTTCCACCATGCAGCAAGAAACTGCTTCCTCTCTTGCCCTTCGTTTTGGGGACAACACAACCATTTACCACCGTTCCTCTCTTTCAGCGCTGCACCAGTACACGAGCTTTTCACGAGGATGTGATGTGAACACGAGAGCCACAGCCGGCAGCTCCCACTCACTCGCTGCAGCCCAGGGTCAGGTCTCCCTGGCTGCATGCCAGTCCATGTCACCTCACAGCATGCCTGCTGCAGCAGCATCGCAGGTCCGCCTGAAGCTTCTTGGGTTGAGGAAAGAGAGACCATCAGCCCCAGGTGCTTCACAGCGTGCCCCCTGCTGGAGCATGCTGCTGCCTGCTGCACACTCATGTGGGTAGTGGATATCCCTCACACACAGTTTACAGGTAAACTAATTCCCACCCTCCTGCAGCAGGTATGAAATTGCCACTGCCCCAATGCCAACATCTCCCCACCACCACGGCCACTGCCCCTGTCAATGCCTCCTCTCCCTCTGCCACTGTTATCTCTGCAGCCTGCCCCTGCCTCACCCCCTGTCCGTGACACGGCCACTGCTGCGTCCCACAGCCCATCAGCCTGCTGCTCTAATAGAAGCTGCCCGGGAGGGGAGGGGGAGGAGGTGGAGGGGGTGGGGGTGGGATTCTTCCCGCCTGTGCTGCTGGCTCAGGGGCGGGCGGGGGGGGAGGGGGAGGGGGAGGGGGAGGGGGAGGGGGAGGGTCGAAGGCAGGCGGTGGTGGTGGTGGAGGGGGGGGTGGGGGCGGGGGGAGGGGGGGGCGGGGCGGATTGAGCAGGGGGCGGGGGGGCAGGAGGGGCAGGAGGGGCAGGGGGGGCAGGTGGAGGAGGAGGAGAAGGAGGATCAGGAGGAGCAGGGGCAGGAGGAGGGGGAGGCACTGAAGCGTCTGGTGCAGGAGGTGGGGGGGGAGGCGGGGCTGGAGGGGCGGGCGGAGGGGGAGCAGGTGGGGCAGGCGGGGGAGCAGCAGGGGGAGCGGGAGGAGGAGCAGCGGGCAGATCAGGTGGTGCTGGCGGTGCCGCTGCTGGTGGCGGTTCTGATTCTGCTGCTGGCGGGGCGGGAGGTACAGATGCTGCAGTTGAACCTGAGACTGCTTCTGACGACGCCTCTCCTCTCCTCTCCCCTGAATCCGCACTCTCCCCTCCTTGACCCGCCAACACAGCTCCGCTCTCCCCGCTCCTCTCTTCCACCACCACCGCATCCCCTGCCTCCCCTTCCCCACTCCTCTCCGCCTCCCCCGCTTCCCCCGCCATCCCATGCGGTTTCCTTCCCCCGACCAGGTCCGCCATCCCCAGGCGCTTCCCCACCTCCTCCTCGCTCTCCCCAGGCGACAGCTCCGCCTCCTCCCAACCGCCCTTCCCCACGAGGTACCCCCCCTTGCCTATCTTGAGACGCGGAAGCTTCCCCTTGCCCTTCTTCCCGGGGGACCCAGACCCAGACGAGTCCGCGTTCATACTCGCTGTAAGCTTCTCCAGTAGCCGCTGCTGGTACTCCGGCGGGTACGTTACAGAGACCTCAAACGGGAAGAACGTGTTGATCATGGCGATATGGTCGTAAACCGCGTTATAGTCCACCCCGTTATGCACACAAGCCGCTCCTCCCGCTCCTCCCTCTCCACCCGCCGCGTTAGCCGCCGCTCTTCTCGCCTCTGCCTCCTCATGCAACCTCTGCAGCTTCGCGAAGCCTCGCGATTGGACGAAGGTGGAGCGGCAGGCGTTGCTGCTGCTATTAAGGACGTGGAAGATTCGCAGAAGCACCGCTTCTAGCACCCCTTCGGGGAGAGTGGTCCACTGTAGCAGCGAGTCTAGCGACTCGAGCTCGCCCACCCCACTAACTAGGTCTTTTAAGGCCCTCACTATTCTCGTGCGCGCCTCGACTGCTGCCAGCGAAGCAGCAGCAGCGCCACCAGCAGCGTTGCTAGCACCAGAAGCAGCATGTGCGAGATCAACGGTCGCCACCGTCACCATGTCAATCAACGCTCCAGAATCCGCCACGGCCTTCACATGCGCCGAGCTATGCCGCCCGATCTGACTCAGCGCCCACGCGCACGCGCCGCGCACGCTCTCCTCCACGTCAGGCTGAATCAGCAGCTCTTTAAGCGGCGCGACCCCCTCAGACGCCACTATCGCCAGCGCGCCCTCCCCCCCCGCGCCCGCGAGGTGCCCCAGCGCCTGCACGACCGCCAGGCGCGCGGAACCCGCGCCGCCCTCCTCTGTAAGAACCGCGTCTATAACGGGGCCGATTGCGCCCAGGTGTATGAGGCGGTCCGCGGCGGCGGGCGACTTGCGCGCAATCTCGCGCATGGCGAAGGCGGCGTTGCGGCGGAGGGCTTGGTCGGAGTCGTGCAGACAGAGGAAGAGGCGCGATATGCCCTCCGCGCACGCCACGCGCTGTGGGGAGGGGGGACGGGGAAGGGGAGAGGAGGGGAAGGGGGAATTGGGGAGGGAGAAATTGAAGGTATGGGGAGAGACGGGGATGAGCGGGGGTGTGAGAAATGGCGAAAGGATGGCAAGAGCGCGAGGATAGGGGAGCGGTGTGCAGGGAAGCAAGAGCAAGCATGGTGTGTATGGAGTCAGCACTGCGTGTGTATGTTGCTAAGGGTGTGTATGTTGCTAAGGGTGTGTATGTTGCTTAGGGTGTGTACGTTGCAATGCTTCAGAATTGAGAGACGGGTGGCGCGGCACTTGAAAAGGGGGAGAGGGGAGGGCGTGGGGGTTGGGGAGTGTGTGAGGGTGGGGAAGGAGGAGGAGGAGGAGGAGGAGGAGGAGGAGGAGGAGGAGGAGGAGGAGGAGGAGGAGGAGGAGGAGGAGCGTGAAGGGAGGAGGAGCGTGAAGGGAGGAGGAGCGTGAAGGGAGGAGGGCTTACAATGGCGAGAGCTTCGGAGTGCTTCACGATTTGCGATAGACACACGCACACCTGCGCGCAGAGAGCGCACGGGGAGAAGAGGGAGAGAGGGAGCGGATGGGGCACGCAGGGGTGAGGGAGAGGAGGAGGACCGAGGTTGGCAGATTGATTTGAACACACTACTGTCGCCGATCATCTCCCCAATTCCCCCCGATCTCCCCTGCAGGCCCCGTCCTCCCGCTTCCCCCATCCTGCCGCTCCCCCCGCGCCTCTCACCTGGCGGCGCATCTTCACGTCCTTCGATCCCAGCAGCGCCACGATTCTCCCGATCGCCCCGCCTTCCGCTGCGCCCGCCCCGCCGTCCGCCTCCCCTCTCCCCCCGTCCGCCACAATAGTCGCGTGTTCCGCGGAGTGCCGCGCGATGTCTCCTAGAACCGACAGCGCCATTCGCGCTACCTCCTCGTCGTGTAGCGACCCTATTAAAGTCGCCACCGCGCCGGTCTCTATCACGCGCGTCGCCGCTTCGCGGCTCTGCTTCGCCACGTGGCCCAAAGCGCACGCGGCCGTTTCGCGCACGGCCGGCATCGCGTCTGTGAGGCACTCCGCGAGGACCGGCAGGACGCTACCCGGGCCGCTGCTGCCGACCGCCGCCAGCTCAGCGCCAGCGTGGCGCGCCACGGCCTTGACGGCGAACGCGGCGGCGCGCTTGTGGTGCCGGTTGTTGCCGCTGACGAGTGGAAGGGGGTGAACGAGGGACAGCGGGGTGAGGGGGAAGACGCACGTGAGGGGGGAAGACGCGGGTGAGGGGGGAGACGGGAAGGAGGAGACGGGGAAGCGAGGGTGGTGAGAGACAGAGGAGAAAGAGTGGAGGGAAGCAACGAGAGAACGGTGCTTTGCGCTCACGCCAGGCTCCGAGACGCCTCAGGACTCACGCGTGCTTTTGAGAGTAAGGCCGCATGACTCACGCGAGAGCCTTGCAGAGGTCGGGGAGTATGTTGCGATCGACGATGTCATTGGCCCACGTGTCCGACACGTTGGCGAGGCGGCCCAACGAGAGAATCGCGGCGGATCGCACGGACGACATGACGTCATGCATGAGCGGCAGGAGCAGCTGCATGGCGCCCAACGAAAAGAACGCCTCCGCGTTCTGCGGCGCGTGTGGCGGGGAGGATGGAGGGGACGAGGGGGAAAAGGGGGAGGAGGGGAAACGCAAGCGAACAGAGCATGAAAGAAGGCGCGGGTGGCTGAGACGAGGGCTATAGAGAGGGGATACGGGGGAAGCTGGGAGGTGGAAGGGAGGGGTGGCGGGAAGGGGAGGGGTAGGGAAGTCCTCTTTGTGGCCCCATCTGTTAGAGGAAGTGAGGGCGAAAGGGTCACGGTTTTGCCCTGGCAGTTACGCCAACACGACGGGTCGAACGAGCGCTGCTCATCGCCGTCCTATCCTCACAACCCTACCGCGAGTAACTACCGCGAGCTTAGAACTATCGCGAGCCTTGCAGCAGCGCGAGCCACGAAGTACCGCAGAACCGAGGGCTATCTGCTCCCACCGTCCTGCACCCTGACTCTTCTCGTCGCCTTGCCTTCCTCCGTCTCTACCCGTTCAATTGATCTACCAGAGCTCCCCTCAGCTTCCGCGTCCTTCCCTTCCGCCGCTGCCCCCTTACCCTCCCCTCTCCTCCCCTCGCTTCCCCTCCCCCCCACTTCCCTCCAATTGCCTCCCCTTCCCCTCGCCTCCCTATTGCACCGCATGGCGTCGAACCTCTGCCTCGCCCCGAACCCCCTCTGCGCGTCGATGCGTCCGTCCGCCACGTCAGCTTCATTCTCCAGGGACCCTGCACCCGGCTCCTACACGGCACGCCACACAGCCCTCTACCTCCGCTGCTGCCGCTTCAGACGTCGCCATCCCGACAAAAAACGCACCGTCCGCTGCTCGTCGTGCGAACCAGACCTGGCGGAACCTACTGCTGCTCGTGCACCAAGCGGAACCTGTCCGCTGCTCGCCTTTCCGCAAAGCTACTTCCGAAGTGTCTCACGGCCTGTGTGGGAGAGAGAGAGAGAGAGAGAGAAAAAAAAAAGCGTTACCTGCGGGGAGAAGGCGAGGTCGCTGACTTTCCCGACGAACTGGATGCGCGCGTCGTGGTACGTCTCCATCGCCGACACCACGGCCCGCGCCGCCCTGCCAGGTGGCAGCACGGCGGCAGCCGCCATGGCCAACGGCAGCACGCACTCGCGGTTCGAGACGCCTTGACCACGCTATATGAGCTTCGAGCCACCTTCTCCAAACCGCAGGAACTCTAAATGTGCGATTGACGGGTTCTGCTGTTACCTCTATCAACGAGTCAGAGCTAAGACTCTACGGACCTACAATTGGTCGACGCTACTGTCCGTTATCCTACTTCGTAGCACAGCTGCGCAGCTGTGTCTGGTCGACGACTTCGACAAGCCATGGTGACGGAGTAAGGAGCTCACGACCAGCGAAGCAATGCTAACAGAAAATCTGGAAAATCCTGATCCATGGCGGATTGCGGCTTGCGTGGACGCACAGGATGGACGGGTCATACTACAAACGGCGAAAAGCTTTGCGACTAGGCCGAGGGCCCTATGACATCCTCATTTCCTATCCACAAGGAAGTTGCAGGCGGTGGTGGTTGTCAGACGTAATGTGGCCGTCCGCGCAGCAAGCTGCAATCAGTCAAGGCCAAGCCGTGTGAGTATGGAGAGAGTGTGACCAGGGTGCCACCACAATTGTCATCTCGTCGTTTTGTGTGGAAGGACTCGGACGAGAGAGACTAGGGGACGCAGGCAGGCCTGGGTGGTGTCTCGCAAATAGTTGTCATAAGCACTAAGATGTTCAAGGGTAGGAGTGGTGGGAGAGGGATGGAGCGGATGGTGCATGTGGTACGATGCTCAGGCAGGTGGGTCTTCAGCGTCTTCGTTTTCAGAAGGTAATATGCGGTTCAAAGCGGTGCTATCCGAAACCTGCTCTTTACCGTCTGGCAACGTACTGAACCGTACTGCGAGATTACTGGACGAATATGCGGACACTGTCTAAAAATTCTTCTGCTCACACATGCGTGAAGTTCCCGGCGAAACCTGGGTGCGTCGCACAGCGTCGCAGCCCCGCAAGCGACGAATATCAGAGCGTAATAGGCTGCGACGAAAAGATGTGATTCAACGTCGAAGATGAGATGATTACGACGATGACGAAAGTGAAACGGCCACTTAGAAATGCCCATGCGATTGGAGTATGCTCTGCACAACTGAAATGTGAGAGTCTGAGCTCATACTGACCTGGCTGGAGCGGACCGCATGTTTTGTGCGACAGTAACATGGAGTTCGTTAGTTCGCAAATGGTTGTCCTTTAGCGAAGATGGGGGTTTTGCGGTACACGACACCCGCACAGGTCCGTTCGTATCTCACCAACTTGAGTTTGTTGCACCTCGTTACAAGGACCAACCGATTGAACGAGCACCAAGCACCCTTCTCAGCACTTCCAGAATGCTCGCCGTAACTCAAGGCCGCTTCCCCCCATTTGCGTCTCGGAAAGTGGTCCTCGTAACGGCGCGCTGTCCCTATGTCGCGGCTGGTTTGTGATTCTCCCACACATTGAACAACTTTGATGAGTTTGGCTACACCTTCTCCAACTGTATACTTTTGCGTACAATTGTCCTCATCAGCGCATCCAACCAGAACTTGCTCAATTGTGATTCTACAGAGCAGTGTCTATTGACGCCATCCACCAGAGTCCACAGCTCATCCCACGTCAGAGTGCCTTGAGTCCACGCATAAAGGCTGCTGCAAGAACGCACGCGAATTTCAAGGGGTACAATTCAAGCTGCATGGAACTCAGCTCACGTGCCACATTCTTCTTCGGCGCGCCACATTCTCGAGAGAAGAGACGTACTCGCGAACTTCTCGGCAGGTGAAGCGGTAGCTTTGGCATTCGGGGACGACACAATTGAACATATCGAATTTACTGGGCAGGAAATTGGAGTTCCGTGCGGAAAAAATGTTCCTAGTCGAGCATTTGTCGCAGTGCGTAGCCATTTCCCAGTCTTGGCGGTGGGTGTGGAGAATGTTATTGTCCGGAATAGTTCAGGCAAAAAAAAAAAAACTTCATGTGCCCAGAACGACGGACCAGCCTCGGTGAAGCTCAGTTGAACCGAAAGTTCGTGACAGCAGGCTAGGCACAAGACAGGAGCCTGCTCCACATCTGTGGCTTGGTAGCGCAAGATAAGTCCTAGGGAACTCATCACGATCACAATACACAGGGCGTTCAGTTGTGCTTCAGCTTTTATTAGTGGTTTATTCAGTGTCTATCAGGCCATCCGTGTCGTCAGTTCCTTCCGAGCTCTCTGCTGCCAGATTCGTCCCCCGCAATGGCGACGGAGTCGAAGCAGGCCAAGGAAACCAAGGCCGCCGCGCCAGAGTCTCTGTGGGACACGATCCGCGGCGTCGTTTTCGTCCTCGGGGTTGCCGTGGCGTTCACGCTGTCGTTCACCGTGCTCGCGTCGTACGAGTCGGCCATCGCCAGGGTGTCGTACAAGGGCCACCACGCCGCTGTTCCCGCCGCAGCAACCGCTCCGCTTCGAGAGCCGGAGGTGGAGGAAACGCGACCGTTGATGATGGCTGCTTAGCAGAGTCGTCCGTCTCGAAGGGTTGGCGGATTTGCGGCCTTCTCTAGTCCTCGCCACGCCTGCTGATCTTTAAGGGGTTTACTCATTTTCTGCCGAGTATTCATTGTAAATACCATACGACTGGCGGAAGGGTATCCCAGAGGAGTGGCATGATATAAACGATTCGTTCGGACGGCCATTCTATTGGGGTGCTAGTTCTGGCCAATTCCAGCAAGTCGTTTCTGAATAAAGCTTTGATGATCTACGATGGAATATTTCAATGTGAGCTGCTCTATGGAACAGGGAAAGCATAGATAGATGCCCTTACAATAAAGAATGTGCAAAACAAAATAATTACCATACCTCTGGAACTTGGCTGCGTTCTGTTCTGTCACAGCTGCTTGCCAAAGAACCAAGCAGCCACCACGTCCCTGAGCCTGACACCACTGGCATCAGGTACAGACCAGTTGTCATAAGCCATGGTACAATGGCTTGTTTTGTTAGGAACTACTGCTGTTGACTGCACCCCTGCTGCTTGCCGGTTTTGCACCAATGCTTGCAGTGAGTTTCTGAGCACTATGGCATGGTGCCCTACATACTTGCGGATTCTCCTGGGGCAGGAGAGAAAGCGTTCGGAGTGGTAGCACGGAACAACGCTCTCATACGAGCCAGTCATGGCCTCAACGTTGCCTCTGGTCAGCCCGATGGCCAGCGCTGCAAGGTCAAACGCTGAGTTGAGGACGAGGAAAGGCGTTTGTGTGTGCTGGAGGGCGTTGGCTGGGAATATGCAGCGCCACTTCTCGGTGCGGGGATAGGCTGGTCAAGGGGAACAAGTTGGCGGAAGGGAGCGGCGTGAGGATGGGAAAAGGTGAGCCAATAAGGATGGAAGTTGTGCTGGATGGTGGAGAATATGACGGAAAGGAGGAGGGGGGAAAGGTGATGCTAGTTGTGTGTGGACACATTACACATTTGCAGGTGCTAGGATGATTCCTCACAAGCGGTTCAGTCACGGTCTCACCTTTCACGCATTGCGGGTCGAAAGACGCGTCGCTCCATTGGCTGACCATCATGCGCTGCATCATGCCACGGAAGGAAAAGTGGCCCACCAAGTCTGGCTCGTCTGGAAGGGCAGGTGGCAGGAAAAGGGAGGGGAGAGGTTAAGTAGTGTGTTAAGGACGTGTTGTTTCACTGGGAGATCAACATGCGCTGCATCATGCCACAAAAGGAAAAGTGTCCCACCAAGTCTAGCTCGTCTGGAAGGGCAGGTTGGCAGGGAGGGGGGGATGAAGGTATGGTTTAAAGGAGGCGGGGGATAGGATGGGGGAGATGGGGGACGAGGGAGCAACGGATGGAGGATGGTCGACAACGAAACGAACGGGTGAAGGGGAATTCTCAATATGTTGATCCATGCTGCTGAAGGGTGACCGCAGCAGCATGGATCAACTTGCTCCTCATAAGATTTTCAAACTCAACCAAAAAGTAATCAAACCATATTTACATACTTCTGGAATGTCTCACCTAAGAAGTATCCGGCATCAATGGCGCACTTGACAGTGGTGGTAGAAGGGAGGCGAGAGGCCATCCAGTCACAGCTCACCGCCACCCCCTGCCCACCTGCTGAGCAACCCGTTATAAGCACTGCTGATGCTGTTGACAACCCACGAATCTTGAGCATATCTGCAAGGAGGAAAATACAGAGAGCATGGGTTGTCCAGTAATAACTATGCTCCTAGACGTGGGATGAATCATCTTGAGCCTTTACAAGAATTTCCCAGTTCGTCCCACGGGCCACTAAGCACATGGTATGCTTGATATTCTCCAACGTCCCGTGGAAGAATCACCTTATGCTACTACTATCTTGGAGCTACTGCTTTCGTTTGCTGCTCATTCCCCACTGAGACCCTCCAGTGGCGATTCTCCGACGCCTTTCAGCCCCCACGCACCTTCCAGCAGCAGCATGACGACTCGCCGACCCGAGTAGAACACACGAGACGAGCCCACTGCCACGCGGCCCTTGTACCCCATATACGCCCCTCCGTCACAATACATAAGCACCGCCAGGTTCCAGTTGCCAAAAACGGGGTTGGTTATGGTGTCTGCGCTCAGAATGCCTGTGAACTGCGTGTGGTAGTCGTTCATCTGTGGGAGAGATGCAGGGGGATGGGGAAGAAGGGGGTGTACGGGGGACAAGGAGGGATAGTTTGGGGAAGAAGGCAGTTTTTGAGGGCATCATGAATTATTTGCACTCAGAATGCCCGTGACATGAGAGGGGGGGGAAGAGGGGGTAAGGGAGGAGAGGGGCTATGCGCAAAATGCAAGGAGCACTGCATAAGGACGGAATATTGACCTGCCTTCTCCATCCTTCTCCACCCCGTGCACAAGGCAGAGCTACACCAGCCTGCAAGTGAATATCCCTGTGCCTTTATGTGCCTCTCTGCACATTGCACCTCTTTGCACCATACTAAAATCGTCACCCCATGCGCCACAGCATTCCCAGCCTTGCACTTAACTCCACAAGTTTTTTCACCCCCCATACCTTCTGACGGACCTCTCCCAACACAAGGAAAATACCAGCACTGTGGGTGTTGTCCTGAATGCTCTTCCCTTATCACCACACCGCCCTCTGAAGGAATGCCAGTCTCACCATTGCGAATTCTACTTTACACACCCCATCCTCGTTACTAGACTTCCTACAGGCCCGCACAGAAATACCCTACCAGCCTCGTGAAGTTGCCATCCGTGGGTTTCGGCCAGAAGCGAGAGGAGCCGCGGAAGGTCTTGGCGCGCTGCTGGCAGTCCGCTGCAGTCGTGCACCACCCGCCGCCCTGGAAGCAACGCATGGAAAGCGGCACGGGAAGGAGCAACGCAAGGAACAGGGCGTGGAAGAGGAATGGGGGTTGGAAGGGCGAAGGAGACTGGGTACAGGGAGGAACTTTGGATGCTGCCAGTTGGGCAATTAAGAACATGGCGCGGATAGAGCACGGTGACATGCGCGTGGATGAGTGACGTGGCAGGCATGCCTTACGTGGAAGTAGATTAGCCACTTGTTGGTGCCAGTGCCCGTCCCCTTGCGGAAATAGTAACCAGCAGGGCTGCAACGACGAGAAGGGAGGATGGAGCATGACAGGGACACATTGATGGAAGTGAGCGTGGAGAGTGGCGGGTTGGAGGGTGAGAGGGGAGGAAAGAAAGGTGGTAGGAGGTGAGAAGGTGGTAGGAGGTGAGAAGGTGGTAGGAGGTGAGAAGGTGGTAGGAGGTGAGAAGGTGGTAGGAGGTGAGGGGTCAGACAGTGCAAGTGAGAAACCGGACTTTGCCGAGAATGGCGCAGCGGCATTGACGAAGTTGAAAAACGATGGGAAAAAATCGCTCATAACGTGCTGCGAGTGAATCCAGCGTCGCTCAGAATCTTCTTAGCGATAGCATAGTAGGACTTCCGTTGGGCGGCGCACCTGCCGTCGAGGCACACGGCTCTGGCAGATGGCACCGTCACCAGCTGCATCCTCGACGCACCCCATGCCGCCGGTGCTGCTCGTGGGGGCAATGATGGCGACGATGGAGATGATGGTGCTGATGGTGTTGGTGATTTTGATTGTGACGGCGTTTTCCGGGAGGAATTGGAGGAAGAGGGTGAGGAGGGAGGGAACAAGGATGACACGGCTTTGGTTGGCGGAGGCGATTTCTTGGCCGTTGATGGCGATGGTGCTGATGGTGAAGATCGCGATTTGTTACCGGATGGGGGAGAAGATGACGTGGACGACGCTGGGGAAAAAATCATTGCCGATGCGCGTCTCTTAGTCCTTCCACCTCTGCTCCGCCTTTTGATACTGTTTTCTGTTTGCGGCTTCTTCTCTTTATCGATTCGCTTGCCCATCCTCCCACCCTGTGCTCCATTTGAGGCCTCAGACCGTCGAGTGTGTACTCTGCTATCCCGCTTCCGGCTGCTCATCGGAGCGGTCGACTTTGCTAATTTTCCTGGTTTTCTTGAGTGGTCTCTAGATACATCCACATTGTTCAGCAAGCTCCGACCAGCCAGCACGGAGCGCTCGTCCCTCGTTTCTTGCAATGGCGCAGCTGTATCGCTCCATTCCCTTGCGATAATCGTTAATCTCCCTCCTTCGGAGAGAGAATTTGGAATTTCCTCGGGTCCTGACCACGTATCGGGCAGCTGCTTCAATCTTAGCTGCGGATAACCTCTTCTTGAAGCGTCGCTGACCGTCAGGTTCTCTGCAGCTATTGATGACCAGCAGCCAGTCGCCACTAGAATGAAGAAAGCGATGGCGGTACAATCTAATGTGAAGGTAAGGGGAGACACGCGTGCCATACCGCTCTGTATCGACGATGGATTAACAGGTAATTTTGCAAACTATATGGCGGCCATATCTGCAGAAAAGGTTGCAGATAGTAACTTATTTCAGGGCGAGCATCAGCAACAGAAAAAAGCTCCGTCTATGTCACAGACGCCATTTTCAGGAAATCTCCCCACCGCTGCCTTAACATTCCCAAGGAATCTCAGCGACATAAGAGCGGAAGCCTTCACACGATTACACCGCGGCTGTTGCAAGCCAACCACGCAACGTGATGGTCGCGACGAAGTGTTGCGATGCATTGAAAATCTTCACTTACTCCATAGCTTTCTATCAGCAACCTTGTTTTCCTAGTGGGCCTCAGCAGCAGCGGCGCCAGCACCAGCAACAGGCATCGCATTTGTTCTCGTCTCGTCTCGCCGAAAAGGAACATTTTGGCGTGGTACCCAAAGGTGAGGCCGTGAATCGAAGCGCCACTTCCTTCCAACGGTTACACGGGGGACAGGAAAGGCGACTCCGTTGTGGAAGACTGAGGTGCTTTGATGTCAGAGCTCGTCATTGGACAAGGCATTTGATACGTACATGACTTATTAAAACTAATCGAATGTAAATTTATGTTAAAGATAATTTACAAACCAGAAGCAACAGCACGCTCAGGCTCAAAAAGGTGTGTGAGGCGAGGGTCGTCACGGCGGGGCAGGCCTTGACGCGCTCCAAGGGCTTGGCACTTCGCTGCAGCCTGGGGGGCACAAGTACATCCATGAAAAAAGAATGGAAGACGGAACGGACCATCGTGCTGGCATGGCAGTACATAGCTAAATGAACGCGACTGGGGAGAAGGACGCATGGAACAGAAATTGGGACAGAGGAAGCCTAACGAGAGCATGCATACTTACAATAGTAGCTCCTAGTATGAGCATGCGATCAACAGTGAAACCAGCTGAAATGGCTGCACGTAGGGCAATGTGGGGAGAGAAAAACGTAACATAGTTTTCATGTAGCACTGGCATACCGAAGGACCAAGAGGGAGAGATGATGCATTTCATCCACAGCACAGACATACCTCAATAATCGAAGGAAATGCCGTAAATCGATACTCATAAGCAAGCAATTTCCACTTTCCTTTCATGTATGTTTTTACATGAACAACAGAACTCACCGTAAAGAACAGCACCAATGAAGGCATCGCCAGCGCCGGTGGTATCGACCACCTGCCCTGCCTCCAGCGGCACAGCTGTCGCTGCCACCAGCTGGGCGGCAACTTCTGTCCCTTGTGCCATTGACTTGAGACGCAGGGGCTGTGTGACAAGGAAACACCAGGACGGATGGCAAAGAGAAAGTCTCAGCCACCAAAAAGAATGTCTCGGCCAAACAAACAGGAATATCGCAGACAGGGTAAGACATTCAGGAGCCGTAGGCATGGAGAGCAAAGGAGAAGCATGGGTGGCAAGGGTAGCAGTGCAGTGACGCAAGAATGAGTACCCGAGAGGAGAAGACCACAGGGTTGCCTTGCTTGCTGCCCTTCTCCTGTGCGGCTCTTATCACCCACTGCAGTGCCTTGTCCACATCCTCACTGGGTGCCTCTGAGGCTGCAGAGGAGAGGCATGAGGTGGGGGGAGGGGGGGGGAATATCATGAAGAGCAGTGACGCATGATGAGGAGGGGGCGAAACAGGGAAATAGGATAATTGAAGACAAACATGAGGAGGGGGGGCAACATCGTGCAGAGCACAGGGCTCTGGGAGAAGCCATTAGAACGTTCCGTTGCAAAGAGTCGCTGCCCACTTATACCCATACGAATCAGAACTGAAACACTCTCCACCACTGAATCCCGCTCTGCACCGCACAGCACACAGCACTTACTGCAGCAAGTCCTCACCTGCAGCCACCCGTCGGTCCAGCATGGCACATCCGTCTGCCCCCAGTGTGACTATAATGAAGCGTGCCATTGGCAGGCGCACTGCCATGGCCAGCAGCGCTGCTCCCAGCGTCTCCTCCCCGGTCCATGCCTGCACGCATGCCATGCCATGCCATTCCACATACAGCAAGAGATCTGTGGAAGCATACACGCATGCCCATGTGGTGCCTGCAGAAGGTGGTGCCTGCAGAAGGTGGTGCATTCAGCACTGGCTGCATGCATCCCTGGGGCTCGCTGCATGCATCCCTGGGGCTCGCTGCATGCATCCCTGGGGCTCGCTGCATGCATCCCTGGGGCTCGCTGCATGCATCCCTGGGGCTCGCTGCATGCATCCCTGGGGCTCGCTGCATGCATCCCTGGGGCTCGCTGCATGCATCCCTGGGGCTCGCTGCATGCATCCCTGGGGCTCGCTGCATGCATCCCTGGGGCTCGCTGCATGCATCCCTGGGGCTCGCTGCATGCATCCCTGGGGCTCGCTGCATGCATCCCTGGGGCTCGCTGCATGCATCCCTGGGGCTCGCTGCATGCATCCCTGGGGCTCGCTGCATGCATCCCTGGGGCTCGCTGCATGCATCCCTGGGGCTCGCTGCATGCATCCCTGGGGCTCGCTGCATGCATCCCTGGGGCTCGCTGCATGCATCCCTGGGGCTCGCTGCATGCATCCCTGGGGCTCGCTGCATGCATCCCTGGGGCTCGCTGCATGCATCCCTGGGGCTCGCTGCATGCATCCCTGGGGCTCGCTGCATGCATCCCTGGGGCTCGCTGCATGCATCCCTGGGGCTCGCTGCATGCATCCCTGGGGCTCGCTGCATGCATCCCTGGGGCTCGCTGCATGCATCCCTGGGGCTCGCTGCATGCATCCCTGGGGCTCGCTGCATGCATCCCTGGGGCTCGCTGCATGCATCCCTGGGGCTCGCTGCATGCATCCCTGGGGCTCGCTGCATGCATCCCTGGGGCTCGCTGCATGCATCCCTGGGGCTCGCTGCATGCATCCCTGGGGCTCGCTGCATGCATCCCTGGGGCTCGCTGCATGCATCCCTGGGGCTCGCTGCATGCATCCCTGGGGCTCGCTGCATGCATCCCTGGGGCTCGCTGCATGCATCCCTGGGGCTCGCTGCATGCATCCCTGGGGCTCGCTGCATGCATCCCTGGGGCTCGCTGCATGCATCCCTGGGGCTCGCTGCATGCATCCCTGGGGCTCGCTGCATGCATCCCTGGGGCTCGCTGCATGCATCCCTGGGGCTCGCTGCATGCATCCCTGGGGCTCGCTGCATGCATCCCTGGGGCTCGCTGCATGCATCCCTGGGGCTCGCTGCATGCATCCCTGGGGCTCGCTGCATGCATCCCTGGGGCTCGCTGCATGCATCCCTGGGGCTCGCTGCATGCATCCCTGGGGCTCGCTGCATGCATCCCTGGGGCTCGCTGCATGCATCCCTGGGGCTCGCTGCATGCATCCCTGGGGCTCGCTGCATGCATCCCTGGGGCTCGCTGCATGCATCCCTGGGGCTCGCTGCATGCATCCCTGGGGCTCGCTGCATGCATCCCTGGGGCTCGCTGCATGCATCCCTGGGGCTCGCTGCATGCATCCCTGGGGCTCGCTGCATGCATCCCTGGGGCTCGCTGCATGCATCCCTGGGGCTCGCTGCATGCATCCCTGGGGCTCGCTGCATGCATCCCTGGGGCTCGCTGCATGCATCCCTGGGGCTCGCTGCATGCATCCCTGGGGCTCGCTGCATGCATCCCTGGGGCTCGCTGCATGCATCCCTGGGGCTCGCTGCATGCATCCCTGGGGCTCGCTGCATGCATCCCTGGGGCTCGCTGCATGCATCCCTGGGGCTCGCTGCATGCATCCCTGGGGCTCGCTGCATGCATCCCTGGGGCTCGCTGCATGCATCCCTGGGGCTCGCTGCATGCATCCCTGGGGCTCGCTGCATGCATCCCTGGGGCTCGCTGCATGCATCCCTGGGGCTCGCTGCATGCATCCCTGGGGCTCGCTGCATGCATCCCTGGGGCTCGCTGCATGCATCCCTGGGGCTCGCTGCATGCATCCCTGGGGCTCGCTGCATGCATCCCTGGGGCTCGCTGCATGCATCCCTGGGGCTCGCTGCATGCATCCCTGGGGCTCGCTGCATGCATCCCTGGGGCTCGCTGCATGCATCCCTGGGGCTCGCTGCATGCATCCCTGGGGCTCGCTGCATGCATCCCTGGGGCTCGCTGCATGCATCCCTGGGGCTCGCTGCATGCATCCCTGGGGCTCGCTGCATGCATCCCTGGGGCTCGCTGCATGCATCCCTGGGGCTCGCTGCATGCATCCCTGGGGCTCGCTGCATGCATCCCTGGGGCTCGCTGCATGCATCCCTGGGGCTCGCTGCATGCATCCCTGGGGCTCGCTGCATGCATCCCTGGGGCTCGCTGCATGCATCCCTGGGGCTCGCTGCATGCATCCCTGGGGCTCGCTGCATGCATCCCTGGGGCTCGCTGCATGCATCCCTGGGGCTCGCTGCATGCATCCCTGGGGCTCGCTGCATGCATCCCTGGGGCTCGCTGCATGCATCCCTGGGGCTCGCTGCATGCATCCCTGGGGCTCGCTGCATGCATCCCTGGGGCTCGCTGCATGCATCCCTGGGGCTCGCTGCATGCATCCCTGGGGCTCGCTGCATGCATCCCTGGGGCTCGCTGCATGCATCCCTGGGGCTCGCTGCATGCATCCCTGGGGCTCGCTGCATGCATCCCTGGGGCTCGCTGCATGCATCCCTGGGGCTCGCTGCATGCATCCCTGGGGCTCGCTGCATGCATCCCTGGGGCTCGCTGCATGCATCCCTGGGGCTCGCTGCATGCATCCCTGGGGCTCGCTGCATGCATCCCTGGGGCTCGCTGCATGCATCCCTGGGGCTCGCTGCATGCATCCCTGGGGCTCGCTGCATGCATCCCTGGGGCTCGCTGCATGCATCCCTGGGGCTCGCTGCATGCATCCCTGGGGCTCGCTGCATGCATCCCTGGGGCTCGCTGCATGCATCCCTGGGGCTCGCTGCATGCATCCCTGGGGCTCGCTGCATGCATCCCTGGGGCTCGCTGCATGCATCCCTGGGGCTCGCTGCATGCATCCCTGGGGCTCGCTGCATGCATCCCTGGGGCTCGCTGCATGCATCCCTGGGGCTCGCTGCATGCATCCCTGGGGCTCGCTGCATGCATCCCTGGGGCTCGCTGCATGCATCCCTGGGGCTCGCTGCATGCATCCCTGGGGCTCGCTGCATGCATCCCTGGGGCTCGCTGCATGCATCCCTGGGGCTCGCTGCATGCATCCCTGGGGCTCGCTGCATGCATCCCTGGGGCTCGCTGCATGCATCCCTGGGGCTCGCTGCATGCATCCCTGGGGCTCGCTGCATGCATCCCTGGGGCTCGCTGCATGCATCCCTGGGGCTCGCTGCATGCATCCCTGGGGCTCGCTGCATGCATCCCTGGGGCTCGCTGCATGCATCCCTGGGGCTCGCTGCATGCATCCCTGGGGCTCGCTGCATGCATCCCTGGGCTCGCTGCATGCATCCCTGGGGCTCGCTGCATGCATCCCTGGGGCTCGCTGCATGCATCCCTGGGGCTCGCTGCATGCATCCCTGGGGCTCGCTGCATGCATCCCTGGGGCTCGCTGCATGCATCCCTGGGGCTCGCTGCATGCATCCCTGGGGCTCGCTGCATGCATCCCTGGGGCTCGCTGCATGCATCCCTGGGGCTCGCTGCATGCATCCCTGGGGCTCGCTGCATGCATCCCTGGGGCTCGCTGCATGCATCCCTGGGGCTCGCTGCATGCATCCCTGGGGCTCGCTGCATGCATCCCTGGGGCTCGCTGCATGCATCCCTGGGGCTCGCTGCACTGCTGCAGCAGCAGAATGCTGTGAAGGGAAGAGAGCTAAGATGCGTTGAACAGTGACTCACTGCTCACCACCCATACAGACCTGGGGAAACTTCTCGGGAACGACGACATATGTGGCATGGGCCAGCAGGTCGTCCAGCCCCTCTCGGGGCTTCTCAGCGTCCACCAGCACTGGCAGACCGAGGGCCACCGCCTGGTGATGTAAGGTGAGGGGGGAAGGAAGGGCGTGAAGAATGGAGGATGAAGCTCTAAGGTGCCTTCAAAAGATGCCCCTCTTGGGGCTTCTCAACGTCCACCAGCACCGGCAGACCCAGGGCCACCGCCTGGTGATGAAGGGGCGGGGAAAGGGGATTAGGGGAGAGTGTATGTCTGCAGCGCATGAAGTATCGGCCCCTCTCGGGGCTTCTCAGCGTCCACCAGCACCGGCAGACCCAGGGCCACCGCCTGGCGACGGGGAGAGAGAACGAGAAAGACAACCAGGAGGTACGAGGGGGAGTGGAGGCGGGGGGGTGGATCTCTGAGGATTGTCCCCTCTCGGGGCTTCTCAGCGTCACCAGCACCGGCAGACCCAGGGCCACCGCCTGGTGACAGGGAGAAGGGGGGAGGGGGGAAGAGGAGAAGTGTATATCTGAAGTGCCTACAAGTCTGAACCCTCTTTGGAGCCTTTCAGTAAGCACCAACACTCGCAGACTCAGGGCCACAGGTGGGTGGGGGGTCATGGTGAAGTGTGAGCAATAAAGAAGGAGCTGCAGATGAAGGTTGCACTGATGTGATGTGATTGTGCAATTCCAAGGTGAATGCAGAATTCCACAGCAAGTGCATAGATCCACTGTGAATGCACCTGCTGGCATATGCGGATGGTGGTGTCGGCGAGGCGGCCATCAAAGTAGGCGAGAGAGGCCCCTGAGAGCAGAGACATTAAGGCAGCAGCTGACAGCTCCGAGGGGAGCAGAGGCGGGGAGCCGGGCGTGTGGATGCACGTGCGCGTGTTGCTGAAGGGGGGAAGGGAGGAGAACAAGGTGCGCAGGGCATGGAAAGCCATGAAACGATATAATATGAGATAAACGAATCAGGAGACAAGCAGCGAGAGATTGAGATGAAGGTAGAGAGGGTGAAAGCAAGGTGTAGAAAGGGAGAGATGATGGACGCAAGGAAGAGTGCAGGCAGGCACTGACGTCTGTTGGTCCACAATGATGTATGTGGATGGAGACATGCCCCCCTTGCCAACCTGCCCAACACACGCCAGCAAGACAGGAATACACATGAAGATACCAGTACATAATAATGCATGGGCTTTTAGGTAGTGTGATGTGAACTGCAGTCTCTTGCAATGATGTGTAAAACTCCCTTCCACTGGTGTGGCATGGAATGGAGTAACAATGACCTGGAACTTGCTCCCACTGACGTGGCACTGACAACGATGTGGAGTTCACACCTACTGACGTGGCATGGACTCACAATGATGTGTGACGTGTCCACGCCATCCGCCTGCAATTCTGCAATCATTGCCTTGCCCACCAGGTCGTCCGCCAGCTGTCGCTCACACACAGGCCAGACGGGTTTGGATGCGGTGTGTGTGGGGATGGGAGGGGGGGAGGACGAAGAGTTGAGGTAAACAGGAAAAAGAAACCCCCAGGACAGGGAGCGGTGGTAGGGGGAGGGGAAGTGGCTGGACCAGGGAAGACAGGAAGGCTGGCGGTGAAACTTGTGCGCTGATGGGATGATTAATCCAACGTGCCTTGGTGAAAATGCGTGTGGAGAGCCCAAGGCGAGAGATGGCCGTGAGTGTGTTGCCCACATTGCCTCCGCCTTGCACCTGCAATGCACACACACGAGCAGAGCAACGGTGCCCACACCACCTTGAGAAACCAAGTAGCATGAGAGCAGCAACGGCCACGAGGGTGGTGCGAGAAAACAAGGATGGGAAGAAGAGGAGCCTCAGCGTACCTCGAAAGAGGTGCTTCGGATCTTGTCGTCTGGGTGGGGGAATGCGGAGACGGTGGCGAGATAGTCGATGCACAGCCCTCCACAGCCCACCTGCCATGCACGCACCATCATGGAAAGGTTGTGTGAAAATGCCATGTATGGTGCTACGATAATAGACTAAAACAATTAATGACGATCAATGCTGTCTGTACTTGTGAATGATGGTCCACATTGATCCATATGATGGTCAGTGCTAGTCCATGGTAGCCGTGCTATGATGAAAGCTTATGATGATCCATGATTACCCACTATGATCCATGAGAATACATGATGCGATTCATATGATGATCCGAGACGATGGATAAAATCATCCATGACCATCCATGGTGACAACTATCCAAAGTGCTCTGAAGGTAACTCCTAATTTCCTACCACACAGACACGGCTAAGGTCGGAAGCAGAAGATTCGTCGCGATCTTCCGATTGGTTGTTGCCAGGCGAGGTGCCTGACATCGCTCTGGTAGCTCGTCTGCTGCCACGTGGCGATGCTGTCGGCACTCCTGACAGAGACGGGGATACACGCAGGGACCGGGAAAGACGCCTGAAAGGCGCAGGTTGCGCGAGCTATTTGGTTTGCCTGGGAGAACTTGCAGTTTCGAGCCGATGGAAGGCGCATGGTGCAAGAATTAAACAACTGTGTAAGGAGCGAGGTATCGCCATGTACTCGCAATCCTAACCTCGAGAAGAGCACGCGAGCTCGTGCCTCGTTGACTGTCAGCTTCGCAACGGCTGGTAACGCGTTCGCCGTGACATTTCGCAGCTGCTGCACGGAGGATTTGGGAAAGGCCTGGGAGGTGGGGGTTAGGTTCAGGCCGGTGACGCAAGGGACCGCGCACCCGGCAATTGCGGCCATGGTGGACAGTCTACTTCACAGCTGAGACATGAGCAGAGTAAGGACGCGTCACCTCCCTCGATCGATCGTGCAAAATCGAGGAAGATCGATCGTCCACCGCACTAAAATCCCGCGTGCTGCATTTAAATTTGTCTGAAAACTTTTTGAACCGAATCAAAAATCGAACCTGCGCAGGATCGATCGAGGCAGGTGACGCGTCCTAAAAAGCTCACACAACTACCGTACCTGCGGGATGCTGTATTGATCCTACTGAATTGATGAATGCTGTGGACAAGAACTGCAATGGTTGCTACAGCTCGAGTATTTTATCAAATGCAGAAAAGGAAGGAAGAGCGGAAGAAAGAAAAAAACTGTTGTTTGGGGCTTACAGAGTTTCTTTGCATAGAAACCAGGTCAGCTTGATCTGGCAGTGCACTCAACAATGCAGAACATATACAGCAGCATATATACTCCAAAGCTAGAAGGAAATCCACAGCAAGCGCATGGAACAAGACAATGTTGGCTGTCAATGCTTGTTACTTCTGTTCTGCATGGGGTTCGGCGACTGCTGTATAGACTGCATGAACAAGCCAGGCTTGGCATCTCGAATAAACGGCGGGACCCCTTGAGGTGTACCAGCATTTGCCATGTGCTCGGGTCGTAACCCTGGGGGTAACTGTGGTGTAGGCCCTCCTTGATTAGGGGGAGCGAATGGAAACGGGGCAAAGAATGGAGAAGGATGGGTGGGCGGGTGCTGTGTCAGCTGGGCGTGGGGGTGATGCTGCTGCTGCTGGTGATGCTGCTGGTGCGGCTGTTGCTGCTGGTGCGGGTGTTGTGGGTGCTGCTGTTGCTGCTGGAGACGTTGCTGTTGCTGGAGCTGCTGCCGCTGCTGCTGCTGCTGCTGCTGGTGCTGCAACTGCTGGTTTGGCTGGAGCTGCTGTTGTTGACGCTGCAGCGGTTGCTGCGGCTGCTGCTGGTGCAGTTGCCGCGGCTGCGTCTGCTGCTGATGCTGGGGCAGTGGCTGCTGCTGCTGCTGGCGATGCACGTGGGTCATCCAGGCAGGAAGAGACGACGGGGTGGCCGCATTAGGAGCTGCACCACCATCAGCTGCAACAGCAGCTGTAGCAGCAGCAGCAGTTGTGCCTTGTGCAGCAGAACGAGTACCACCAGTAGCTGCCAAAGCAGCATTACCAGCAAACACAGCACCAATAACGCTACCAGCAAAACCAGCACCATTAGCAGTACCACCACCGCTAACAGGAAACATAGGAGACATGTGGGTGCCCTTCTGGCTCTGCTGCTGCTGCTGCTGATGATGATGATGATGATGATTCTGACTTGAGACTGACTGCTGGCCTGTTTGGGGAATTTGGAACGTTGCCCCAAAGCGGAATGGGCTACTCATCTCCTCAGCCCCAGCAGGGCCACCCTTGCTCCCACCTCCTAAGAACGGTGGTGCTACTAACGATCCATGCTGATTATGGCTGCTAGATTGTGCTGCCACTGCAGCTGCTGTTGACAGTGCTGCTGCTGACGCTGCCACTGCTCCTGCCCCTCCCCTCCCGCTCACCCTCTCACCCACTCTGCCACCCTTTCCTCCCCTTCTGCCCCCGGTCCCTGCTCGTCCTCTTGCTGCCTGCGTCCCTACCTCCTGGTTTGAGCCTCCACCAACAACCGCTCCACTACTCCCCCCACCACCGAACCCACCACCAAACCCGCCACCACTACTCCCACTGTCGTGCCCACTTGCTGCTGTTCCTGTGCCGCCTCCTGCTCCTCCTCCCATTCCTCCTGCTCCTCCTCCCATCACTCCCATGCCTCCGAACCCTCCTATGCGACCAACAGCAGCAGCAGCGGCAGCAGCAGCAGCGGGGGCGGCAGGTCGGAGGCTAGAGTCAGAGGAGGAGCGAGGGAAGGGCTCTGCTAGTTCTCTCGGCAGCTGTAGCAGCGAGAACCCTCCCTTCCCTCCTGAACCAGCGGCAGCGGCTGTAGCGCCAGCAGCACCAGCGGCTGTAGCAGCAGCAGCACCACCACCACCTAGGGTTGCAGCTCCAACAACAGACGGGGCAGTAGCAGGAGGAGAGGCGTGGAGGAGAGAAGGATTGGGAGCGGAGGAGGGAGGCAGAGGCACAGCGAGAGCTGGGGTAGGGAATCTTAGACCGGGGCCCACAGAGGGGGGATTGGATGGAGGGCAGGTGGCAGAGAACTGGTGGTGAAAGTTGGGGGGGAGACTGAAAGAGAGGAGAGGCGTTGCATGGGGCTTCTGAGTGGAGAAGTTCTCAGGTGCAGCTGAACTGTTGCCTGCAGCATTAGCAGCAGCAGCAGAACCGGCACCAGCACCACCCGCAACATTACCAGTAGCACCTCCCACTCCCATCCCCACCAACCCTGCCCCCAAACCAGCAGCTGTGGTTGGTGCCGAAGCTGCCATGGAGGCTAGGGAAGGCATGTGCAGGGCCATGGGTGATGGCGACGAGGAAGAGGATGCGGTGGAGAACGGTGCAGATAGGTTGGGGGTGGAGGAAGAGAGAGGGGGAGTTGATACGGGTAGAACCAGGGGAGGGCGCTTGAAGGGGGAGGAGCCTGGGGGAAGGGGGGGAGCGGAGCGGGAAGAGGGAGAGGAGAGGAAGGATGAGGGAGGGAGAGCGGGAGGAGGGTGTGGGGAGGACGCGAGGGAGGATGGGAATGGGAGAAAGAGGGGCGGACGAGGGGAAGTTGAGGAAGGGGGGAAGGGGAGGGAGAGGGGAGGACGAGGGGAGGTGGAGGAGAGTGGGGGGCGTATGGGAGGAGAAGGGAAGGTGGGGAGAGAGAGTGGTGTGCTCTGTTTGCCCTGCTGCTGCTGCTGCTGCTGCTGCTGCTGCTGAAATTGTTGTTGCTGCTGTTGCTGCTGAAAACGATGTTGCTGCTGTGGCTGAAACTGATGCTGCTGCTGTTGCAGTTGCTGTTGCTGTTGCTGTTGCTGTGGCTGTGGCTGAAATTGTTGTTGCTGCTGGTGCTGCTGGTGCTGCTGCTGTTGCTGCTGCTGTTGCTGAAACGAGTGCTGCATCTGCTGATACTGTTGTGAGTGCTGCTGCGACCGCTGCTGTCGCATGCCCAGCTGCTGCTGCTGCCAGGCCTCCGCCCTGCCCTCGGGAATCAACTGTGGAGCGCCAAAAGAGGGGAACGCAGAGCCTTTGTCGGGCGATTTGGCGCACGAGGGGAAGGAGCTCTGGCTGTCCGTCCTGCCGAGACCAGAAGCAGTCCCCACAGACGCCGCAGGGGTGGCTGAACGAGAACCAGTAGCAGCAGCAGCAGCAGCAGCAGCAGGAAAAGGTGTAGCGGTGGCAGTTGCAGCAGGAGCAGCGGGATGGGCAAAGGGGGAGGGGAAAGGGACCCTGTGCCCCAGTGGTGTCTGTGCTCCTGCCCTCCCTGCTGCCCCTCCCCCTTCTCCTCCTCCTCCTGCTCCTCCTCCTGCTCCTCCTCCTGCTACTCCTCCTGCTCCTCCTCCTCCTCCTCCTGCTGCTGCTGCTGCTGCTGCTGCTGCTGTTGCTGCTGCTGCTGCTGCTGCATCAGACCCACCTGATCCCGCTGCAACCAATGCGGCCCTAGCTGCCGCCGCCGCCACCGTCCCTGCTGTTGCTGCTGTGTTTGCCACTGCTGCTCCTCCTCCCCCTTTCCCATCCCTCCCGCCAACACTACCCCCTCCTCCTTCCCCTCCTCCCGCTCCCTTGCCTCCACCTCCTCCTCCCCCTCCCCCTCCCCCTCCCGCGCCTCCCCCCTTCCCCCCACCTCCTGCCCCTCCCCCTCCCCCTGCGCCATGGCCAGAGAGGGGCATGCTAGCGACCCTGCACGCAGGGATGGTGGGCTCGTATCCCGGAGGCAGCAGATCGTCAATGTTCTCCAGCAGCTCCTTGTACACCTTCCTTAGCGTCACCTGGTGGGGACAAAGGGATAAGCACACACGGTCTCAGACACAAACACACACACTGACTGCTCGTAGCCCCCAGGGAGCAGGTCGTCAATGTTCTCCAGCAACTCCTTGTACACCTTCCTTAGCGTCACCTGGGGTCACATGATAGCAAACACACACGAGCAGAGCAGACACAACGTAAGCACACAGACACACATCTTGGGGGAAGCAGGTCGTGTATGTTCTCCAGCAGCTCCTTGTACACCTTCCTTAGCGTCACCTGCACACACAGACACACGCGCATACATGTGTACACAGGCCCATACATATGGGCACACATAGACCCATGTATAATCACACACATGCACCAACAGGCAGGCCACCTCTCTGAACCGCACTCCACCCATACACACCATGCAGGACTCTGATTCCACCGTACTGCACCGCGCTGCACGTACCTCTGTGAAGCCGGTGGCCTTGCAGATTTCGGTCTGTGTGCGCCTCTTGTCCTCCAGCTGGCAGGCGAGGTAGATGGCCGCAGTGCTGATACCAAACCCATATATGAGCCTCTTTCAACCGCACTGCACCCCAATTTCTACCACATATTACCGCACTGCACTGCACTGTACTCACCTCTGTGAGGCCGGTAGCCTTGCAGATCTCGGTCTGTGTGCGCCTCTTGTCCTCCAGCTGGCACGCGAGGTAGATGGCGGCAGCGCTAATGCTGATGGGGTTGCGGCGCGTGCAGAATGACTTGGATATCACCACCTCTCCCACGTGCGTTGCTAGGTCCTGGTGGGAGGGGGGGTGGGAGGGGGAGGCGGGAGAGAATTAGGGAAGAAAGAGGAGACAGGAGGGAGATCGAAGCATGTGGAAGGAGACAGAGTTGGAGTTCGGAGGCTCCATGATCCATCAACTGCTTCAAACTCCTCTCTAACTCCTTCATTGCTTCGTGCAAAACAAGAAGCTCACTAACAGGCAGATCGGCCCACTGGCTTAATAGTTGACCACCGAGTGCATAAGTGAGAGCGAGTGTGACTGAGTGAGTGAGTGAGTGAGTAATTAACTGAGCGAGCGAGTGAGTGAGTGAGTGAGTGACAGAGAGCCCAACCCACCTGGGTGGACTTGCGGAGCTGCAGGATGGATCCAAAGCGGGGCATGTGGAAGGACACAGAGTTGGAGTTGACAGGCTGCTGCAGCCGCAGCACCTCCATCAACCCCTTCAAACTCCTCCCCAACTCCTTCACCGCAATCCCCGCCACCAGGGAGACTTCCTGGAGGGTGCGGGCCTCCTGAGCCTCGCGCATGGCCTGCACCACGGCTGCAGTGGCTAGGGCTTCGATGTTGCGGTTCCGCGCCCCGCCGGCCGACACCACGTAGTCTCGGAACAGGGTAACCGCGTGGTCCGTGATGCTCTGGTCTATGTCCAGCAGGCCACTCACCTCCAGGATCTGAGGGGGGAGGTGGGGAGAGGAGTGGGAAAGGGAGTAGTGAGTCGATTCTGTCCGTGATTCTCTTCTTGTCCAACGAGCCGCTCACCTCTAAGGTCACAAGGGGGTGGGGGGAAGAAGGGTGGGGACGAGACGGGGAATGGAAATTACTGGGAGGAAGATGATGCTGCTGATGCCTGAATTCTGAAGAATAACCTTACTTGGAGGGTCTCACCTGGAAGTAGGCGCGCAGGAAATCAGTCGTCCCCACGGCACTCCCCCCTGCGCCCCCAGAGCACCCGGTGTACAGCACGGGGCCAATCAGCCGCTCCATCTCTGCTAGCTGGCCCGAGAAGGGCAGCGAGGCGGCACAGAAGAGTGGCGGGGCGGACTCGAGGGAGAGCGATGAGAAGACGTCCAGGAACTGGTCCGAGGGGTCCAGGAAGCGGGGCGATGGGTCGTCGTCCGTGAGGGAGTTGGGGCTCGTTTGCTCCTCTAATGCTTCTCCTTCCTCCATGTCCTCCTCCTCCCCGTCCTCTGCTTCTTCCTCCTCTTCTTCTTCGTCCTCCTCCTCTTCGTATTCCTCTTCCTCTTCTTCCTCCTCTTCTTCCTCTTCAAGTTCTTCCTCCTCTTCTTTCTCTTTCCCCTCTTGTCCTTCCGAAACTCGACCTTCATCCATTGCTTCATCTCCTCCACCGTCCATCCTCGCTCCCGCCGCTTCATCTCCACCGTCCATCGCATCCATGTTCAGATCAAAGTTCAGATCAAACCCTACCAGGGACTTACTCTCCTCTTCCTTCCCCACCAGCTCTCCTGCCACCTTCTCCTTCCCATCCCCTCCCAGTCTTTCTTCTTTCTTCCCCACCTCCCTCCTCCCCTTCTCCACCAAACCCTCCTCAGTCTCCACCTTCACTTCTGGCTTCCCTGAAATAGCAGTTCCTCGACTGTCATCTGCTGCTGCTGCTACTTCTGCCTTCACCTCATTATCTCTGGCTTTAATTTTTGCATCCTTTAAGGCTTTGAGCTCTTCTATTTTATCCGCTGCTGCTCTCACCTCGTCCGGACGAAGCTTGGCGTGCAACAGCACGTCCCTGGCGGGTAGGCAGAAGGAAGCTTCTTCGACGGTGCGCGGAACGAACAGCAGAGGAATAATCCGCCGCTCCGCGACAATTCGAGCGCAGCTAGCGCACGCCACTAGGACCGTCTCATACGGCGCCTGTGCCGGCGGCTGCTGCGCCGCGTGATGCGCCGCATGATGCGGCGCGTGATGCGGGTGATGGGGAGTACTATGGCTAGCTTGGCCCTGCGACGGGTTCTGCGACAGCTGGTGCGACAGACTCTGCGCCGGGCCGTGCGGAGCGGGGAGGTTCCGCGCACCTTCCCGGCTGCCGCAAAAAGGACACTTGTCTTCCATTAGTCTCCTGGGATGTAGTCTACAGGAGCGACGAGCAGTCTGCTCGACGTCTTAAACTCGCCTGATTGAGAATCACCTGGTTCTCTTTCACCTTTTCGCCTGAGGCACGCGGACTTGGCCTTTTCGTTGCTCAATCGTCATTCAAGACAATACGCTGCTCGGGGCTCGTCGCGTTGCATCCCGGCATCTCGAAGGATGACCTGACTCTACTCCATGACCAAGCCAAATCGCTCGGCCATGATTCAGGGACATCGACGCTGGGAAGACCTAGACATTCCCGAAAGCGACGCCAGGCAAGAAGGGCTGAGGTGAAGAACTCGAGGACAACCTGAGGCGAAGGGGAAACTCGATTTGCGTTTCAAGTGTTAGGTGGTACTACACTTGACTCAAGAAAAGCGGTAGCTATGCTTAACAGCTTCAGGTAACAAAAAAAAGTTAGCACATCACATGAATCACTATCATGCTGCTCTTAATGCAGGTGGCATGAACGAAGTTATGCATGCCAAAAATTAACGTATGCTCAATTGATTCTAGAAACTAGGAAGGCACAACCTTTAAAACGGATTGTCGGTTGTGTTTGTGTTAGGAAATGCCATATTAGTATATAGAATACCATCTTGGCATAGCCTGTCAATCCATTACATTCTCATTGGGTCATTCCAATGTTGGAGAGGTGTTTGTGGACTCCATAAGAATTCCTACTCATAGCAGAAGAAGTGTGGCCGTTCCATATCAACTTGGTTCTGCAACCTGTTTCTTGTTCTTTTCCATTTCGAGGTGCATTTACCATAACGAGTATGGAGATATGTTGCAGCCATACTCCTTGTGGAATCACGTCGGTCGGTGGTTCGGTTAGTTCACTTCGGTTGCCCAATTAGGCTATGAGGCAGACATGTTTTTGGCCAATCACACGAATGAAACTTCGATCCCAGCCCAAATCAAAACCTTCGATCCCAACCCAAATCAAAACCTTCGATCCCAAACCAAATCAAAACCTTCTGTACAGCGCATACCTTGACTCTGGCAGATTTCGTTGTCGTAACTCCAGCTTTTGCTAGTACCCACAGGTGTTGGCTGCTCACTACGTGTATCATAGTTGCGCAAGATTGTGCGGACGACAATCGTTTCTCCGCCGTCCTATTCATTCTTGCCACGACTTCGCAAGTGTGTGAGTAGTATGCGACATCAGCGTCGTTTGTGTTATTCGCAGCTTGATCAAAGCTGCCTATCAGACTGCTTATCATCATCCCAGTCACCAGTAGGAGGACGACGGAGGTACGTACCACAGATAACGCACGGACATTGGTGTATAGTAGCCGTGTTTACTGTATTAGCAGCGCGCCGCGCGCTCGAACAGTAAGCACTTATTGGAAAGCTCTACTGTGCGTCCTCTTGTTTGCTACAATCAATGACAGAGACAGACTTGTGACCCACAGTCTATGCGAAGTACAGAAGTGTATCTAAACTTTTTTTTTTAAAGCTACCAAAGAGGTTTGTATTCTTCTATGGGTGAGTCGAGTTCCTCAAGTTGATTCCCCGTCCTCCCTTCCGTCTCCATTCCCCCTTCCTCCTCTCCCCCACTATCCTTTGAGGAGGGGGGGGCTGCTCATCTTTCCTGAGGGAGTCACGTCACGACGACAAGACTACGCAACATACCTAGTGAAACACGCTGTCGTCGAATGGCATCCGACAACTCTTGCAAGTCGTGACTTACATGTCCGGCTGGCCCACGCCACTCGTCCATGGCCACTCCGCTTGCCGCTTCTCGGGATTATCCAGCACGCGCACGCGACGGGGAACGAGCACTGCTGACGGATGAACAGCGGGATTCTTCTTCGCGGTGCAGGCAGCCAATGCGAATTGCGTTGCAAACAAACCCATGCTGGGCCTCCCCAATCAGGAAAGGGCTTCCTTATCAACAATGACCGCACGCAAGCGCTCTTGCAATGCCAGGCGGCGGCGCCTGTCCGGCCATCGGCCTGCTCTGATGCTCCTTCTCCTGCCGGACAGAGAAGTGAACGTTCCCTCTCTCAATCACTCCTACAGTGCAGTGCATCTACACTCCTACCAGAGTGTAGCAGTACGATTGCTACTAGTGATGCTGAGTAACAGGGGTCCTAATATTTCTGGGCGTTCACGTGGTCATCAGACAATCTTTGCATCTTATTTCCCAGTCTGGAATTTTATCTAATCCAAACTAGTGCTGCTAGGAGCACTACTACCACTGCCTGACCTACTACAACCTAACAGGCAATATCTGGGACAACAAACAGCGGCCGCCGTTATGGCAATCCCCTCCGAGTTAAACATCATGAGTCAGCTCTTAGCGAGCCCTCAACAGGAGACGTATAGCCGTCAGTTCTCTGAGCATTCGGCGCCTAGCCGCCAACTTTCTGAGAATGGATCTCTCTCCGAGAATCAGTCGGCCAGCCGAGAGGCGTGCGAGCAGGAGTTGGTGCGGCGGCGTGGGTTGGAGGCGATGGTGGCACAGGTGGTGGGTTCGGATGGGCACAGCTGGCTCAAATACGGCCAGAAGCAAGTCAAGGGCTCCACCGCCACCAGGTCAGCCTTGTTGACTTCCATTGACTCGCGTTGACCTCTGTTGACTTGCTTGAACTCCTGTTGACTCCGTGGGTCAGCTTCGTCTGTCCATCATTGCCAGTGAATCAGATGTACGTTCATGTGAGGGCGGAAACCTCTTCCCGCACACATGCTGGGCTGCGCTCGTGCTTCACGTCTCACCCGTGTTCCGCTCCGCTCCCCGTCTCCTTCCTCCCTCACTCTCCCTCCCCCATCACAGATGCTACTACAGGTGCGCTCGCGTCAAATCCAACCCACGATGCCCGGCCAAGAAGACCGTTGACATCACCTGCAGCAACCGCAACGAGCCTCCCTCCCCCGACGCCTTCCAAGTCACCTACCGCTGCACGCTCCACAACCACCCCTTGCCTCCCCGCCAACCTTTGCTCCCCATCCGCCGTCCCCCCACGCGCCACATCTTCCCCCGTAACCACCCCACCAAGTGCTTCAACAAGCGTCCTGCCTACCGCTCTAGCGATCACCCCAATCACCCTAACAAGAGGGTTGCTTTCAGCCCTGCAGACCTTCCCACCGGCCATGCTACTGACGAGCATTTCAACCTCGCGGATTCACACCGTTTAACACCGGATTCACACCCTGGGGATGGCGATACTCCGTTTAACGCCGATCGACCTGCTGAATTCAGTGGCGGTCTGAACGCCTTGGCGAGTGAGAGCGATTTTGGTGGAGCTGTGAATGCCCCAGCTGTTGATTCTGGTGAGGCTCTGAGCATCGTGGCGCGGGCGTTGCAGAATGGGAGCGTGGAAGTCAGTCCTGCTCATGCTGCTTCCGCCGCCGACGCTGCTGCTGCTGATGCTGCTGTTGAATTTGAAGATTGGGCTGCAGAAGCCCTCTTGCACTCTCCCTGTCAGCAGGAGCGGCTGATTGAGTCCACTTCCCTGCGTGTGTGGGACCTCCCCCCACTCTCTCCCCTGCCGACCCTCCTCCGGTCATCCCCTCTGTGGCTGGATGAGGTTATCCCCGTTAGTGCCTGCTCCACTGACCTCAGTGCTGCTGCTGTTGACCCAGCGAGGTCTACAGTGTCTCTGGAACGGCTGCTTGTGGCTCTCGGATGTCAGACGCTGGAAGAAGATCACAGCCGTCGATTCACCGATCAGGACTCGGAATATCCGACGGACGAGATTGACTCTCTGCTGGGAGCAACATCGCCTACGAAGCAAGGCCTCCAAGAGCTGTCGTCACTGCGCTGCAGTGCTACCAACCACGCAGGCCAAGCGGGGCTCCTACGGGAATATCTTGGCAGGAGAGGTATTGAGGAGGAGCAGACCGCACCCGGCGTGGGGCGCAATGGGAAGAACTCCTTCCCCGATTTTCGTTGTCAAGGGGAGGAAGGGTCAGTGCACGGCCCGACAGGGGCAACACCGGGAGCACTGCTGGGGTGTGTGCTGCCGCACGCTGCTGCACTGGGTGCTGCTGTATCTGATGCTCCTGGCTCCCAGCCCCACCAAGATGTGCCAGTGCCACCTTTAACAGCCACCGCTCTTCACACGCTCGTGAGAGGGCAGAACCGGCCGTCCTATGCCATGAATGCGCCACTGCCGAGGATGCCATTTGATTCGACGCGCAAGTCACCAAGTGGGCGTGCCTCACAGCCACTAACAGGCACCACATTTGATGCACTTGTGAATGGGCAGAATTGCCAAGCCTCTGCAAACGATGCGCTGCTGCCTGCCCCCCGCGCCACTGCCCAGGCTGATGCTCAAGCCTGTGACCAAGCCTGGAGCAGCGGATTTTCGGCTGCTTGTGGCACGAGCTACCATTCATGCAGCACAGATTTCAACACAAGCAGCCCGGGTTACCTGTCCCAGCACACTAGCTGCACGGGGAGTGACATGAATCGCAGCCAGTGGCACTCCCCTCCTCAGCATGCTGAAGCGACTGAGGGAGTGGAGGAGGCAGGACTGGTGCAGCAGCAATGCCAGCAGCAGCAGCAGCAGCAGCAACAGCAGCATTGGCAGCAGCAGCAGGATCCTCCTGGCATGGGAACGTTCGGCTCTCGAAATTCACGTGTGCCTTCAATGCGCAATGCTCCTCCACCTCAGCTTGCAGCATTCCCAACCGCACCCAAGCACGGAATGTCCCGCCCTCAGAAACCCCTTGTGCCTTCAATGCACCAAGTTCCTCCTGTTCGCCTTGCAGCGTTCCTGGCCGCAGGCGAGCGCGAAGTGTCAGGGCCATTGGCCACTGGCTCGGCTCAGCATCTTCAGGGCCATCCCAATGCAAACAGAGATGATGAAGTTACTACACTAGTCACCATCCCAATGCAAACAGAGAACTAGAAAACGAGATGAAATTTGGGACTTACCACTTTGGGCCTCCAATCAAGCAGCTAGCTCTACAAAATATAACAAGATCATCTAAGCAAACGTTTAGCAGATCTTATGCCCTATACCCTACCAAGCCAAAAGTTAGCAAAACAAGTCTACGCATCCACAAAAGTCAATAATGTAGACTTAAAAAGTTATTACCAGATACCTAGCTACAGACGAGCCACCGACGAGCTCACTACAGCGCCAATCTTCCATCAAGTCTTGCATCCAGGTTTGACGCCCTCTGAGATATCACAACCATCCGTAGCATCAGAACGGAGCCAGGGACGAGCCAATTGAAAAAAAAGTACAAAGAAAAAGGAAAAAAAAACGGACTGCAAGACAGCAAGGGCTGGAGAGAGCTCACGTAGAAATCTGAGCCACTTCTCAAGCACCTCCGAATCACGATTTCCCACCGCCCACTCGGAGCAGCATGCTGGGAAACCTCCACTTGTGCTTCAAGTCCTTCACCTTCTCCCCTCCTGCCTTCTCTCCCGGATCCTCAGGCACCTTTGACAGCTTTCCCACGCCCTCTACTGCGCCATGATCCACCTTTCGCTCCTTGCTGAAAGCTGATCCCCCAAACAGATCCCGGCCAGGAGAGGCGGGGATTCGAGCGAACGTGGAGGAGACGAGGGAGTGGGTCGGGGACGGAGGGACGAGGCCGAACCGTGCGGGTGACGGAGGGGTCGAGTAGGAGAGTCTGGCAGATGAAACGGAGGGGACAGCAGGGGATCCCTTGCTGCTGCTCTGGGCCGGGGAGGCCTTGGCAGAGGGAGCAGCAGCGCGGGGGTGGCGGGGAGTGGCGCCTGCCTGTGCTGTGAGGTGGGAGGAGGTGTGCGAGGGGGACTTGGAGCTGCGGCGGGATCGCAGTGGGAGAACCTCCTCGTCCTCAGGAATAGGCGCTGGCATCTGGTGGTTGCCTCCTGCCCCCTGCTGCTGCTGCTGCTGTAGCTGCTGGTGGGTTGGCTGGTGGTGTGAGAGGCGAGCCGGGAGGGAGGAATCACGGACGAGAGGCAGAGGCAGAGAGGAGTCGCGCACAAGGGGCAGGCCAGCTTGCGCAGAATCACGTGCCGCCAGGGGCACACCGTCTCTGAGGCGGTCAATGCGCGACTGGTCATAGTCCTTCATGCGATGGCGCATGGACGATGCAGCTGTGGTGACGCACGGCGTGCACGCCACAGCAGGCGAGGCGGCAGCGGCAGCTGAGGCCGCAGCAGTGGAAGCAGCAGCAGAGGCAGCAGCGGAGGAGGAGGTGTAGGCGGCAGCAGGGGGTGTGGAGGCGGAGCGCACGAGTGGGGCGTCGGACGACTGGGCGGTCTGGGAGACGGAGCGGCGGGGGCGTGCAGGCGTGGGCGCCCTGTGCTCCCTGGGGGCTGCATTCGTGAGAGAGAAGGGGGGTGAAAGAAAGGACGGGAGGAAAGGGAGAGGGGCGAACAGGGAGAGTGGGTTAGGAGGTCAGTGAATGTGGAGGTACGACAGCAGGTAAGAGGAGAGCGAGCAACAGGAGACAGGAGCATGGGCACACAGCCATGAGCACACCACCATGCTTTTTACCTGCTTCATCGCAACTCTCTGACTCATGGTCGCTCCAACCACCACCAGCAGCTTCCCGACTCCCAGCCCTGGCGACACCCCTGCCCGGAGACAAAAGTTCTCTGCCCGGTGAAGCAACATTCTTCCTCCCTGGCGACACCATGCCTGACCCTGCCCTGCCTGAAATCAATCCCCTGGGCGAAATCATCCCACTCTTGACAGACGCAGGAGAGGGAGAGAAGCCTGAAAACGCAGCGGAAGCAGAGCCTCTACCAGGGGATGGGGAGGAGGAGGAGGTCGACGTGGAGGAAGAGGAGGAAGGGTGGGTTTTACTGGGGGAGGGCGAGCCTCTGCCAGGGGAGGTGGAGCGGGCGGGCACGCCGCTGCGGCTGATGAGGGGGGCGCGGTGGTCGTCGGTGTGCATGCGCACTGCCACCTGCTCCACTCCCACGCCTGGTACCAGCAGCAGCGCCACCGCTGCGAAGGACACGCGTGGGATCTGCCTCTTCCCCTCTGCCTCCTGCTCCTGCTGCTCCTGCTGCTGCTGCTCCTGCTGCTGCTGCTGCTGCTGCTGCTGCTGCTGCCCCTGCTGGCCCTGCAGCTGCTGTGGTTTCTGCTCACTGTGGCGCAGAGCAAAGCGGGAGGGACTCCCTGGTTTCTTGAGAGCCCCCTTGCGGACCTTGGGAGCGGTCGCTGCTGCTGCGGCCACTGCTGCCACTGCTCCAGTGGCAGCAGTGGTGGCAGTGAATGCAAGAGGGTTGCGCAACACGGGGAGCGAGGCGGATTTACCAGCAGCGGTCAAGGAAACGCCATCAGCAGACGGATCACTGCCACTCTCACTCGCGCTGCTGCTGCTGCTGCTGCTGCTGCTGCCACTGCCACTGCTGCTACTTCCACTGCCACTCCCGCTGCCGCTGCTGCTGCCGCTGCCACTGCTGCTGCTGTTGCTATTAGCCCTGCCCTTCCTCCCCGCTGCTGCTGCTGCCACTGCCTCGGCACGTGCCTGTGCCTTGAGGCGATCCAACATGCTCAGACCCTGCATCTGCTGGGCTGCTGCTGCTGCTGCTGCTGTGCTAGGCTGCTGCGCTGTGTCTGCTGTGACTGGTGGGCTGTCCCCCACCGCCCGCCTCCACCCACCTGCTGCTGTGCTGGAATGCTGGGCTGCTGCTGTGCTAGGCTGCTGCGCTGTGTCTGCTGGGGCTGCTGTGTCTGCTGTGACTGCAGCACTTGGAACCTCCTTCTCTGCTCCCGCACTCTCCACCTTACCTCGCTGCTGTTGGCTTGCCCCTTGCACCACCTTCACTTCGTCCTGTGATGCTTTCTCTGTGCTGCCTGCGCTGCCAGCGGTGTCATCACCACCAGCAACAGCAACAGTGGCAGCGGTAACAGCAGCAGCAGGAGGAGTGGCTGGAAGAGGAAGAGAAGGGACCTTGTCAGGAGTGGACTTGGAAGCAGGTGGTGGGGTGGAAGGAGCAGCATCCACAGCACCTGCTGAAGTCACCACAGGGGCAGCAGCCGGTGCAATCTCACAAGGCTGAGCAGCAGCAGCGGTGCCAGCAGGGGCGGCAGGCAGGCCAATGCTAGTGAATTCCGAGTGCACGCACGGCAGCAGCGCCACCGGCATGCCAAACTGCTCTGCTGCTGCGTCTGCCACTCCTGACCCTGCTCTTACTGCTTCTGTGCCTACTGCTGCTGCTGCTGCTGCGGCGGCAACATCACCCTCTTCCCCCCCATCAATCACCACCGCCTGAATGACAGGTTCCACTAGGCTCTGCGTGACAGGGTCCAGCACGGGCGCTAGAGGCGCGCTGGCCGTGCGTCCCTTCGTCCCTGCTCCTCCTGCTGGCTTTGCTGTCTTGCTGCTCTTGACGCTGCTTCCCTTGCTGTTGGCACTCTTCCCACCGCTGCTTTTGGCAGTGCTGCCGATGCTGCCAGTGGTGCCTCTGCTCTTACTCTTGCTCTTGCTCGCACTGGTAGCACCAGCCCGTGCCACGCCCGCCGAACCGCTGCCGGACCTGCTGCCACCGCTGGTGGCCTTGCTTCCGGACCTGCTGCGGTTGCCAGACCTGCTGCCGCTACCGGACCTGGTGAGCTTCACCCCTTCAGGCTTGGCGCCGGGTGTGCCAGTCTGCTCGCTCTTCTGACTCTTCTGCTCTTTCGCCTTGGCCTTGCCAGTGCTGCTGCTGTTGCCAGTGGCAGCGTTGACTCCTGGTGTTGCTGCTACTGCCACGCTGGCAGCCAGGTTCTTGCAAGCCCCGCCAGGCGATTCAAGCTCTATCTCACTCCCACTCTCGCTCCCACTCCCACTTCCGCTCCCACTAGCACTCCCTTCCCCACTCTTGCTTCCACTCCCGGAACCACTGCTGCTGCTCGCACCACTGCCGCTGTAACTGCCACTGCTGCCGCCACTGCTGCCACCGCTGCTGCCGTCACTGCTGCTGGCACCGCTGCTGCTGCTGGTGTCAGCAGCATCAGCGCGCTCATAGCTCTCATAGCTCCTCACTGTCACTCTGTCCTCAGACGAGTGTGAAGACGACTGTGTGCACGACTCGCACGACGAACCCTCCTCCTCCACCACCCATCCGTCCATTAGCTCTGCTGCACTGCCACCAGTGCTGCCTGCAACGGCAGCCTTTGCTGCCGCCTCAGCAGCTGCTCTTGCAGCCGCTGCCACCGCTGCGAGTCTCTCCTCTTTCTCCCTCTCCTCCCTCTCCCTCGCTTCCTTCTCCTCCTGCTCCTGCTCCTGCTCCTGCTCCTGCCCCTTGCCTTTCGCCTCTACTTCCTCCGCCGACCCTCCCTCTTCAAAAACCAACACTCCAATGCTCTCGCTCCCCTCCCCAGCCTCCTCCCACTCCACGCTCTCACTCCCTTCGCTCCCCACAACCACCTCTCCCCTCTCAATCCTCCCAATCTCTGCCCAATCCACAGACCGAGACACTTGCCCCTTCTCCCTCTCCCCCTTCCCTTCCGCCTCCGCTTCCCGCCTCTCCCCCTTCTCCCCCTTCCCCCGCCCGCCGTCCCTCCCCCCAAACACCATGGAGAAGTCAAACGATGCAGCAGTCCCGCCGATCCCCGCCCCATGCCCCCCTGCCCCCGCCTTCTTCCCAAACACCCTTCCGCCTGCGCCCTCTCTCCCCTTCGCTCTCCCTGTCTCCTTCCCACCTTCCCTCGATTTCCCACTCCTTGCCTTCTCCTCCTTCTCCTTCCTCCTCTCCTGCACCCTCTCTTCCCTCTCTTCTTCCCTCTCCTCCTCTCTCTCCCTCTCCCTCTCCCTCTCCCTCTCCCTCTCCTCCTCCCTCTCCCGCGCCCGCTCCTCCTCTTTCTCCACGGATCGCCGCATGAGCTCCTGCTCCTGCGCGATGCGCGCCACCAGCGCCGTCACCGCCGCCGCAGCCGCCTCCGCGCGCACCACCGCCGCCTTCGCCGCCATCGATTCCCCCTGCCGCTGCCATCCGCCACTCGTTCTCAACCCCGCATCCCCATTCCCTGATGCACCAGCACCGGCAGAAGCACCAGCAGTAGCAGCAGCAGGAGTGGTGACGTCATGCGGCCAGCTGAGGTCTAGCGGCGGCGGAAGTTCCGCGGCGCGCATCCTGGCGGCATCCGGGGAGCCCTGCGTGGCTCCCTCCCCTTTCACGCGCTGCTGCATTCGCGACAGCAGCGGCGAGTGCACCGCTGACGATGAGGATGGCATGTGAGTGTTGCTCTCCCCGCCCCCTACACCCGCCGCGCGCCCATCCTTGCTGCGGGCGACGGCTGCAGTGGCGGCGGCGGCGGCGGCTCTGGCGGCGGCAGCAGCGCGCAGTGCCGGGGACGTGAAAGCAGCAGGCGCGGCTTTGGGTGATGCGAGCGCGGAGAGTGATGCTGGCGCAGCCTTGGGGGAAGCATACGCGGAAGATGCGGCGGTCTTTCCGCGCCACTCTAGCGCTGCTGACGGCAGCTGCGCGCGGAAGGCGGGTGATGACGTGGCGGAGGACGATTGGACGGCGGGCCGTGCACGCGGAGACATGGGCGGGGAGGCGCAGGCGAGCAGCACAGGCAGAGAGTCCGCCCCCTCTGCAGTCGCACTGCCTTCCGACCCTTGGTTACTGCAACCCCCGCTTCCACTCCCGCTGTCTCCGCCGCTCTCTCTATCAGCCTTACCACCTCTCTTTGATTCCGCCTCACCACCGCAAACCTGCCGCTTCTTCCCGTTCTCCGCCTCTCCCTCCCCCTCCCCATTCTCCCCCACTCCGCCCTCCCCCTGCAGCATACTCTCGCACAGCGCAACCATGTCCCCCACGTCCATCCACTTGCGCGCTCCTCCGCGCTTTACCCCCTCTCCGCTTTCATCTTCCGCCACCTTCCCCCCTCCCCGCTTCTCCTCCGCAACCTCCCCCTCTATCTGCGCGGCCATAGTCTTTCCGCCGCCTGCCTGCGCACAACTCACCAATGCAGCTCCGCCTGCGTCTCCGCCTCCGCCTGTCTGCCCGCTGCTTCGGTCGCACGTCCCTTCCGCCGGCATCAGTGCCGCCAGTTGCGCCAGAAGCACCTCTTCTTGCTCGCCCCCTCCCTCCTCTTCAATCCTCTTCTCTTCCTCCCTCCTCTCCCCCTCCTCTCCCACCTTCTCATCCTTTCTCTCCACCTTTTCCGCCTTCACTCCCTCTTTTCTCACCTTCTCTCTCTCCTCCTCTCTCGCCGCCTCGCCTCCCTCTCCTCGCTCCTCCTCTTCTGCAACGTCTTCCTCTTCTGGAACGCACACGAGGGATTTCTGAGCGCCAGCATCGCCTTGCACCGCGTTGGACCGCGACTCATCATTACCACTCTTGCTCTCCACTGTCGCCTCTTCCTCATTCTTCCCCTGCTCTTCCCCTTCCGCCTGCACCCCCCGTTCCCCCTCCGCTTCTCCCACCTTAACCCCCCTCTGCTCTCCCCCCTCTTCTTCCGCCTGCTCCCCCTCTTCCTCCGCGTCATGCCACTCCTCACTCTCCGCCTCCTCACTCGCAGCAGCGGAGGCGGCGGGGAGGCCAATATCACCAAACGCGCCGGCACCAAGAGAGGCAGCCGGCAGCCCGATATCAGCGAAGGCAGCGAGCTTGGACGGCAGCAACGCCGCCGGCATGCCAAATTGCGCGTCACTGTGTGTTTCCTCCTCCTTCCCGGCTGCTTCTGAACCGCCATTACAGTCACTCTCGGCCGGCACAAGCACCACCGCAGCGGATGTGGCGGCGGAAGCGTCCGAGCCGCGACAAGCGGCAGCGGCGGCGGCGGCGGCGGCGACAGGAGGACCAGCAGGGGAAGAAGCAGGGGCAGCGGCGTCTGCAGCAGCGACGGGGGCAACAGCATCGGCAGCAGCCTGAGCAGACGAAGCATTGCTCACAGAATTGCTACTTTCAAGGCTTGCCACTTCTATCGCCTTCCGACCGCCACCACCCGTAGCACCACCCGCAGCAGCAGGCGCCAAGGACGCCGGGATTTGCGGCTCCAGGACCAGAGTTACCAGAGCCGTTACCTGCTGCTGCATCCTCAGCAGCCTCTCTCGCTCTCCGAGCCTCCCTGCCGAGCCTGCTGCTGAGGCTGTTGTCGAGCCTGAGCGGTTCGCGACCGAGCATGTCACGTGGACGAGGCCCCGCTCCAGCGCCCAGAGTACGCGGTCCACGTCAGCAGCTGCCATGTGGCGCAACGAGGCGTCGACGCATGCCATGTGCACGAGCCAGCGCGCCACGTCACGCGGCTGCGAGGGGAACACGTGCCCGCTTTTGGTTGGCTGGGCGCGGATGTTTGTGTGAGAGAGCTGCTGCTGCGGTTGGCGCTGCTCGCGCTTAGAGAGGGGCAGAACGAAGGGCAGCATCACGAGCTGAAGCTGCAGCGAGGCGGCGGACGACGCGGAGGAGGCGGAAGAAGCGGAAGAGGCCGAAGCAGCAGTATGGGCGCGGCACGGCACGATCACGGGCACCAGGTTTCCGCTTCCTCTTCCGCTCTCCCCCTGTCCCCCCTCGCTCTCCTCCCAGTCCCCCACCCATGCGCGCTCCAGCGCTCCCGCCACGCGCTCTTCCGCTTCTTTCACCGCCTGCGCCTCCGCCGATCGGGCACTCCCCATTTCCCCTCTACCTGCGCTCTCCGCCCCGTCGATCTCCGCCATGCGCTCTTTGAACTTGCCGATGATTTCATGAGATCTGACGGCTGTGATCACTCGAGCGACCACCTCCAACATCTCCGCGCCCTCGCTCTCCCACGAGCCAATAGCAGCCCTTCCCGCGCTTTTCCTGCTTGTGCCGTTACTCTCCCCTCCCCCATCCGCCGCTATTCTCGCTGGACCTTCCGGCTCCTCTCGTCCACGGCAGATCGCCAGCCACTTCTCCGCGAGTTGCGGAGGAGACACGCCGTCATTCCCGCCGTCAGATGCGCAAACGCACGCAGCATCGCCGCGAGGACCGGAGACTTTTCGGCAGCGAGAACAGACGCCCATGGCGGCTTGGAGGCAGCGCAGGTCCGACAGCTTGCGCGCGAACGACAGCGCGATGCCCGAAAACGCCGCCTTCGCACTCGCATTCGCATTCGCATTCGCATTCGGCCCACCAGCCACGTCAGCCGCCTCAGCGCGCGCCAGGGGGCAAACGTCGAGTGCAGCGGCAGAGGAAGCGAGGAGATCGAGCAGCATCTGGCGGCAGAAAACGTAAAACTGCAACAGCGGACTCCGCTGCAGCGCCTCCCAGTCCGCGCATTTTCCCCCCGCCGGCCGCGCGGCGGAGCGCTGTTGCGGAGCTCCCCCTGCGTGCAGCAGGCGCATTGCGACCCCCTTGAACTGCGCCGCCGGTTGCGGCCAGAGGTGGACGGACGATAGCTGACACGAGAGCTCGAACACGCTGTATCCGTGAAGCTTCTTGGAAGCATCGAGGTACGCAAGGAAGAGCGGGGAGATCTGTAGCGCAGAGGCCCCCGCGGGGTGCGCGCGGAGGTGGTAGACTGTAGCTACCGCAGGCTTAGAAAGCTGGTTCGCTTGATTCGACGAACCTGCCCCTCCCATGCCTGTTGCAGTGATAGAAGCGAGTGTGCTTGAATGGAGCAGCTGCGTCATCAGATTGTTGCCTTTCGCTGCAGTCGTGACACTTGAACCCGTGGCCTTTTGTTCACCCACAGTAGCCGACGCTTTTCCGCCATTCCCGCTAACGGCCGCTGCAGAGGAGCCCGCTCGCGCCAGCGCCTGCTCCAATCCACGTAGCTGCGCGGCTTCTGTCGCAAAACGCTGCGCCGTCATTGCGCGGATTGCGGCTGCGCCTGCAACGCCAGCGCTTCCCCCATGCGCCCGTGCACGCAACGCTGCGCGCATTCCCCCACCCTCGGGCTCCGAAAGAAACCCAGAATCAACAGAGTGGGGAACCGCTCCTTGTTGCATGCGCTCTTGCGCCAGCGCCGCCGCCCATTTCTCCGCCGCGCCTAGGGTGCGCGGAGGGCCCTTGGGAGACGCACGTCGAGGAGACGCGGGGCGGCGGCTTCGGGGGGAGCCGTCCCGCAAGGCGCGGGGTGACGGTGTGCGTTTGTACTTAAATCGAGGAGCGTTCTTACCGGAAGCTGCTGCCGACCGCGAGTTGAGAGCGGCACCGCTGCTGAGACCCTCAGCGGCAGCAGTGCTGATTTTAAGACTAAGCTTTCCGCTAGCGCTACTGGCATCTGCACTACCATTCATTCCACTCGTACCAGCCGTTAAATTACTTCCGGACCCACTCGTTCCGGCGCTGCTTCGCTCCGAGCCGGCAGCCGGCCCAGGGATGCGCGAACTGGAGGCAAAACGATCCATCGCCTCACCTGACCGCGCTCGATTCTTGTTAAAACTACAACGGCTAGCTTTCTCAGGTTTCCATACCGATGCTGTGCAGCTACCGTCGGCCGCTCTCGTATCCTAGGTCTTCGTGCCGGCCGTGTGAAGCCGATATCTACTAATGGCGCCGATATCTACTAATGGCGGTGCTTCGCGAGGCGCTGGTTTTTAGCAATCTAAACGCGCATAAATTGGTCTACTAGGAGTTTGGATAACTTCAAGTTGGCATTGAGAGTGCCCAAGCATTCGGTGCATGTGACCTGTTCCAACGTGATTCAGACGGTGCGGGGGTCTATCGCGCCAGTCAGCTTGTTTAGAAAGAACCTGCAAAGCGACGAGGAGATCGTTGACACAGACGTGTGTTGCGGGATGGACGGCCGATGGCTGTCGCATTAGTCATTCGATCAGTTGGGGTCAAGTTGACGTAGTGGTGGCACAAAGTCGTCTTGCGTAAGCTACGCATTGGGGCAATGAGCATGCGTAAGGTGGGGGAGAGGGGCGCTAATGGGCCTCCTGTGATTGGTCAATGTGTGCGAGTCGCTCATTCCGAAGCAAATGGGAAGGTTTGCCTTCTAGTTTTCCAGAGATTGTGTCTCGGGGGTGTTGGGCAACACTGGGCTAGGTTGGTGTGAAGGAAGTGGAGAGGTACGGGTGGTGCTAAAGCACGCGGCAATGGCGAATCGAGATAGAGCATGAAGAGGAGTGGGGGATTGAGATTCCGAATCGGCAAACCGCGATTCGCGAATTTATTTCTTTACAGTCACACAAGGGGGCCGGTCAACCACGGGTCGTGGGGTCACATGTCCTAGCTACTCCAACAATGTATCAAAATTCCATTTGCGACGGGAAAGTAGACCAATCTTAATACGTGTTACATGTGTTCATCATATTCGTGGATGTCGTCAGTCTCTGGGACAAGACGGAGCCGCGTCAAGTCTGGAGCCGGCCATCTTCTATTGAAAGTGTAAACCTCAATAGGTGCAGGGTACAGCCTTCAACTTTATGCTCTTATAAATTTCTTGAAGAATGAATTTGCTACATCATAATCAATCAATTACAACTGTGAAGGATCTGTCAAGTATTTTTTAGTTGTATCCTGTTTATAAAAAGAAATAAACAAATCGTTTAGGACGTGCAGATATCCTTATCATAACACGATTTTTCTCCTTTAATGCAATTGAAATCGCATGCATTCTACTTGGAGGATTCTCAAGTTAAAAGGTATATTATAGATGGTTTGCTTCGTAGGGAGACAAGGAGGGAGTGCGCTAGTTCTGTATACTCTTGTATGATCTGTCTCTCCTATCTCTGTGAAGTCACTCTAAATAGAATACACAATTATTTTGTTGAGTTGTCGGCCGTCTCCTAAACGAGATGCGACTGGTTGCGATGCTTCCGGAACTCGTCAATCTACACGGTGACATGAGTCGCATGCGTCGGAACGTGGTGTTTTGGTCGCCGACACCACCACCCGGTCGTGTAAAGCGGTCGGTTGACCTGCAGGTGCGAACTTTCTGAGAAAAAAAAATCCTCATTTTCTGGGTTCTCACAACGCATTTGTCAGCCCCAGCTGCCCAATCGCGGATTTCCGTGCGCCAAACATCCCACCACACCTCTCACATCCCACTCGTGAGGCGCCTCGTCAGCTCACCCGCCTGGTGCCTGCTTGCCTGCCTCTGCTACTTTCCACACCGATTGTCACACCACACCGACGCGGACAGCCCGCGCAACCGAAATGTGAAACCCAACATGCGGCTCGGAAATTTCTTGCACATTCAAAATCAAATGCGCGCTGCACTGCTTCTCCCAGTCGTTTGTTATTTCACCCCAACTTAGTGACTGGAAACTCAAAAATACAAATCACACGATTCCACGCTCCAAACTGAAGCCTAGTGGTCAACGCTTTCAACTCCAACTCAGGCTACCTTTATTGCCACACCTCATAACGCAGTTTAGACCGAGTAACACGATTGCCTCTGACCAGAAATCTCGCGCTCTTCGCGATGGCTGCTCGAACTACTCAGCCTTGGTCGAATCTCCCCCTAATGGTTCTCTCGACCGCCCTCACCTTAGCCGCCACAGCCGCAGCTGCCGGCGACAGTCTCGCGTTCTGCAAGCAGTACCCCGCGCGCAACCCGAGCAAGTGCCCCGCCGTGCGGCCAGTCAGCAGCCTGAACGTGGCGCGGCTGAAGGGGCGGTGGTACGAGGTGGCGGCGTCGTCGGCGCACAAGTACACGGCGGAGCTCGGCGCGGCGTGCACCGCCTTCGAGTTCGACGCGGCGCCCAAGCAGAACGGCCTCAACGCCATGCGGTATGCAATTTGCCTTCATGCTCCTTGGTCATCCCCCTATCCTTCATGGATTGCAAACCCTTCTCTTCCCCAAACTCATTCGTCCTCTTCTTTTCCCCACTGTTTCCAGAATCTCCTGCCCCCATTCCACAGGGAACTGTCCGATTCCGCCATTTCTCCCCCCCCCCTGTCCCCCTTCCATCTCCTTTCCCTTAACCACTCCCCTTCCCCGTTCCCTTCCCCTCTCCGCTTCCCCATCCACTTCCCATCTCACCTTCCCTTCTCCCATCACGCTTTCCCCCCCGGCACGTCCGCAGCGTCACGAGGCGAGTCGTCGAGGCGGTGGGTCCCGTCCGCGCAACGCAGGTCGGCACCATCGCCTCCGCCTCCCTCCGTTCGGCGCGCAACCTGCGCGGAGTGTGCTCCGCCATCGCCGGCCAGAAGCTCCCCTCGGAGCTCTCGTACGCGTCGCTCGTCGACCAAGCGAAACTCGGCCTGCCGGCCGCCGGCTTGGACGGCAAAACTGCCGGCCTGACGTCCACCAGCCTCTCCGGCATCTCCGCGGCGCTAGGCCAGATCTCCGCGCAAGCCGGCGCCATTCACGCGAGGCTCGCGCGCATCCAGACGGATCTCGCGCCGGTGAATCAGGTCGACCGGGTGCCGAGCCTCAGCACGCTGCGAAACAGGATCGGGAATACAACAGAGGCGATCCGACGGTCGGTGCACGCGATTCAACGGTCGAGAGGGAGGATCTTGAAGCAGGCTGAGCAGATGCGCTTGGGCGTCATGAACGTGCAGGCGTCTTCTGCGTCCAAGAAGAACCGACTCCAGGTACTACCTTTCCCCCACCGACGCGTCTCTGAGCACTTATGAGGCGCCCCATAAGCAGCCATCTCCGCTGCTGCTCACCCCCACGCCTTCCGCACCCCTCCCCCTGCTCCACTTGCCCCCCCCCCCCCCCCCCCTGCTCCACTTGCCCTCCCCCTCCCCCTGCTCCTCCTTACCTAGCTCTCCTTGTGCGCGTGTTTTGAGGTACCCCCTTCCTGCCTTCCGCCTCCCCTGCACCGTTCCCCCTCCTCCGTCACCCTCAACTTCTGAACGCCACGCTCGCCCTGCAACGGCAGGCGCCCGCTCTGCCGTATCCGACACCACCCACCAGCACTCTAGAGTCGACTAGAATTTTACATCCCCTCCTTTTCCTTTCCCTCCTCTGCCCCCCTCCCAGCTGCTAAACGCCACACTCGCCATGCAGCGCCAGGCGTCCGCTGTGGGAGCTCTAGCCGTCTCCGCCGCCAAGATTGGCCTCCTCTCCTCCCTTGCCACTCCCGCCGCCAGCCCCTGGGCGTGGATTGATGAATCTGAAAACGACCCATCATGCCCTCCCTCCCCTGCCCTGTTCTCTTTCTCCCCTCCTCCCCGCAACCCCCCTCCTCAGCTGCTCAACGCCACGCTGGCCCTGCAGCGGCAGGCGTCCGCTGTGGGCACACTAGCCGTCTCTGCGGCCAAGATCGGCCTCCTCTCTTCGCTCGCCACTCCCGCCGCCGCCACGCTCTTCGAGTCGCCTGTCAACCTCACCCAGGCCGTGAGCGTGCGAGGCACACTGGTGCAGGGCAAGCAGGGGGGTGGGAACGTGGCGATGAAGTTTGGAGGGGATCCTGCTGTGAGATACTCGGTTGTGCATGCCACGCCAGGGTTTGATCTGGTTGTGCTGTACGGGTGCTCTGCGGCCAACCGGGCCAAGCTCGCAGCCACGGAAGGACAGGTGAGCTGTTGGCAGGGTTTCAGGAGAGGATGGTGTTAGTGTGGTTCTGGTATGTCATGTCGCTTGTGCCTGTGCTGGTGCCGGTGCTTGCGCTTTTGCGTGTGCTTGTGCCTGTGCCTGTGCTTGCCTGCCAGCCGTTTCTGTCAATTCTTGCACACAAAACCGTCTCACTCCTCCACCCCATGTGCAGGCCAGGGTGTTGGTGCTGGCAAGGCAGCGGACAGTGTCTGCCAGTGAGCTTGCGGGTGTGGAAGCAGCACTGCAGGCCAAGGGCGTCGTGCTGGGTGGTGCCAACGTGCTGGTTACCACAGACCAGTCCTGCCCGTAACCTCTCTATGAATGCTGGTGGTTTCCTCGTGCTGAGGTCCAATAGCAAAACAGAGGTTGACATACCGAGTGGTGTGTCATAGACTAGTGCACCCACTGTAGTTAGCTCTAACATGTAGTTGTAGAGGGAATGAGTTCATTTTGCTGCTGAGATACCAGGGCACCAGATGGTAGCTACCAGAAACTAAAGCTTTAGTAGCACCATATGCCACGTATGACGGCCCAGGGATGGGAATGTCAGTATTCATCCACCCATACCTCCCCCACTCAAGTTTTGTGAACGGTTGGCTATTTTGATCAATATTTATACATCTCCTTTTAGAGACTTGATTGTTTGTTACGGGTGCAATCAATTGAGGTAGCGAGGATTGCACTAAGGTGTCAAACGAGTACAAAATGTGAGCGAAGGCATGAGCGAACATTTATACGCGAAACATGCAAACGGTAACGCGGTGTGTGCGAGCTAGCTAGTGCTATGCTGGCAGTGAGGTTCGAGCTAGCCCCGAAGCGTAGGCCGACACGGCCGGGCCAGCAGTGTGATGTGAGGTTTGGTGAAACAGTGCGCACAAAGTCGGCGAAGCCCCGTTAGCAGTAACGGGC